CAAAAGCTGAGCAGGAGTTGAGCCCCATGGGGCAGCAGCATGCCACAACCGCCAGCGGAGGACCTGGGGCTCCACAGAGGCCTGTGCAGTCCCCTAGCCCACAAAAGCAGTGGAAAGCCAGAGCCCAAGAGACTAGTGCTATCCAGATGCCTGCCCGTGGGAACTGCAGGGTGCGGTGGCACCAGAGATGCCTGTGCAACCCAGCAGGGACTGTGCAATCCAGTTACCCACAGGACCTGCGGTGTTGAAGCACCAGAGAGGCCTGTGTGACCCAGCAGAGACTGTGCCATCTAGCTACCCATGGGACCTGCAGGGTGCTAAAGTACCAGAGAGGCCTGTGCGACCCAGCAGCCCATAACATAGGCATAGAGCCGGCTCCCCAAAGGGACTGTGCAATCCAGTTACCCGCAGAACCTGCAAGATGTGGGGGCACCAGAAAGGCCTGTGGACCCAGCTGCGCACTAGATAAGCGTAGAGGATGCGAAAATGGAGGTGGAGTGAATAGAAGCTATGCAGATGATCTCCTAGGGCCAAACAGGAATTACAATGAAAATAAATACAAATCCTCGGAAAAAAAAGCAACAGAAAAGCAGCAGGACAGGACCCTATAACCAGGGACAGTGGTAGGATCTACAGAGGCACAAGTGGGTGGCAGGCTGGGAGCCCACAGACAGCAGCAGTTTTAACTGTGAGTAGCACCCTTGGAGAATAAAGACCAAGCCCGCTCCAGAGCAGAAAGCCAGGACAGAGCCTAAAATAGACACAGCCACTCACCTAGGGGCTAGGGCAGAGGGAGGGCAGACTGGGTTGGAATTCTGTGGGGACAACCAGGATTTGGAGGGCACTCAGAGTTTTTGCTGAGTTGTGACCACAAAGGATGGTGGCCAGTGTGCTCCTTCCCGGAGCTGTGGGGGAAAGCAGCAACCCCCCCTCCCCCACCACCACCACCACCCGGAGATTCAGCCTTTCCCAGGTGAGGCAAAGAAATGCAAATTGAGGCTCATTAACAACCAGCCTCTATCCCACCCTCTGGAAATCCTCTTATGCAGAACACAAGGGCTACATTCCAAGGCACTGAGTAACTGAGGCTACTAACATCCAGGAAAAAGCTAGAGGATAACTGGATCTTTCCTGGGTTTGCAAATCAACCCAGGAAAGTAAGACTTGACAGTGGTGTTTAATGTGGGTCCACCCAGGCTCATCCAAACCCACAAACAGCAGAACAGCAACACCTACAGGGTAAATTTGGCAGGTTCCAAAACACAGAGATTGCCAAAATGGTGAGAAAAAAAAATCCCAAATTAAAGAACAAGAGAACTCTACCGAAGATGAGATCAATGAAATGCACTAAGCAAATTATCAGAGGTAGAGTTCAGAGCCATGATCTTGAAGAAGCTCAACAGCATGAGTAAGGACATCAGCACCATGAGTAAAGATATAGAAACACTGAAAACCAACCAAGTGAAAATGAAGAATGACATAGCAGAAATTAAGAACACATTGGAAGGACTAACCAGCAGAGTAGAGAAAGCTGAGGACTGGATCAGTGAAATAGAAGACAGGGTAGAAAAAAATCAACCAATCAGAAAACCAAAAGGAAAAAAGAATTAAAAAACAGGAAGACAGCTTAAAAGAACTGTGGGACAACTGGAAACGTAATAATATTCGCATCATAGGAGTCCCCGAAGAAGAAAAAAATGGTCAAGGGTTAGAGAGTATATTTGAAGAAATAGTGACAGAAAACTTTCCTAACGTGGTGAAGGAAGAAGGCATTCAAGTTCAAGAAGCAGAGAGAGCCCCAAGTAAGAAGAACCCAAACAGGCCCACACCAAGACACATAGTAATTAAAATTCCAAAAATTAAAGACAAAGATAGAATGGGAAGGAGAGGGTCAATGGGGGAGAAAAGGGGGAGCATCTGTAATACTTTCAACAATAAAAAGAAATAATAATAATTATTGTCATCTGCTGGGCACTTTCACTGTTATATCCCACAAGCTCCTTAAACTCACAATGTCCAGAATTAAATGTATCAGTGCCACCCCCCAACAGGAAAGAAACTTTTACTTCCTTTTCTGTAACTCAGAGAATGACTACCCAAGCCAGAAACCTGGATTGATCATCTTGCCTAAATATACCATTTGTAACTTCTCTCTAAACCCAAACCTCTGCCTGGCCATGTGGCTCAGTGCTTGAGCACTGACTCATGCACCAAGAGGTCACGTGTTTGATTCCTGGTCAGGGCACATGCCCAGGCATGCAGGAGGTGACTAATTGTTCTCTTTAATCGATATTTCTCTCTCTCTCCTCCCTTCCTCTCTAAATTCAATTAAACCTTTTTTAACCCAAATCTCTCTTGGATTACAGCCTCCTCCCTTCTCCCCTGTCACTTTCCTAGAGTTTTTAAAACCCTTAGCTAAATCAGAGGCTTTCTTGGCCTTTAATGTGGAATTCAGAGTCCTCATGAGGCACATAGGTCTCCATGTCCACCTGTTGGGGTGGCTGCTCTCCAAAGAACACTAGTCCCCACCCTCCAATTTCTATCTGGAAATAGTCACATCTTCTACATTAGGTTACCCAGTGATATCCCCTTTCCCCCAGGACAACTTATTTCACTTGGAGAGATCACCCAAGTGAGCTAGGTCTATCACATTCTTCTGTTAGTTTGAAAGAGAGAGGTCTAAAGAGAAACAGTTACAGCTTTAATCTGTACACATACTTTTATGTTCTCTTCTACATGATGTAACTCAACTAAAAATTATATTTAAAAAATAAGTATTCTATGGAAAAGTTACAGGAAATAAAAGCCCTTGGCATTTAAATGTAACTCTTAGCTCGGCCGGTGTGTCTCAGTGGTTGAGCATCAACTCATGCACCAAGAAGTCACCGGTTTGATTCCCAGTCAGGGCAAATGCCCAAGTTGGGAGCCAAATCCCTAGAGGGAGGCATGCAGGAGGTGATCAATCAGTATTCTCTCTTATCGATGTTTCTCTCTCTCCCTCTCCCTTCCTCTCTCTCTAAAATCAATAAAGGAAATAATTAAAAAATGTAACTGTTAAACACCTTAAGATAGGAAACCCTTCCAGAATGCAGAGCAGAGGCAAAAAGGCAGTACATACAAACTCAAAAGACAGAGCACCAGAATCAATCCAGCCTGGCTGGTATGACTCGGTGGTTGAGTGTCAACCCATGAACCAAGAGGTGGCTAGAACCAGGTTGTGGGCCCAGTACCCCAGTTGGGGGAATGCAGGAGGCGGCCAATTGATGTTCTCTCTTATCAATGTTTCTCTCTCTCCCTCAAAATCAATAAAGAAAATAAAATTCTTAAAAAATCAATCAATCCAGATGGTCCAACATCCAATTAATAGGAGTCAACAGTTTTACTTTTCTACATAGCACTTATTCTAACAAATTATATAATTTACTTCTAATTCTTTATTGTTGTCTAGAACATAAACCCCATGAGGGCAGGAATTTTTGTCTTATTGGCTACCCTTCCCAGTTCCTAGACTACTCCATACATAGCAAGTACTTAAGAATTACTTGTTGAGCCCTGGCCGGTTTGGCTCAGCGGTTAGAGCGTCGGCCTGCGGTCCGAAGAGACCTGGGTTCGGTTCCCGCTAAGGGCGCGTACTTCGGTTGCAGTTTGTCCCCGGCCCTGGTTGGTCGTGCGGGTGGCAGCCACTCGATGTGTCCCTTCACGTCGATGTTTCTCTCTCTCTCTCCTTCCTCTCTCTCCCTCCCACTCTATCTGTACAAAAAATGGAAAATATCCTCGGGTGAGGATAAAAAAAAAAAAAAAAAAAGAATTACTTGTTGAATGAATGAAATAGTTGCTCCAAAATTTATTTGGGGTTTAGAATTTTGTACTCAGCAAAGCAGTCAAATATGAAGACAGAACAGATTCAGGGAATTATCTTCCATGTCCTTTTTTTTTAAATGAAAAGTCATGTAAGATGAAAAAATGACTTAATAGAAGAAAGAGTAGAACTAACCCGGGAGTCCAAACAAAAAAAATTCCTGGATGACAGCTGTCATAGCAACTGGCCTGTGTTTAAAGGAAACATCAGTGAACTCTAAAGAATAAGAAGTAGAATTCAGAAGAAGCAGCTGAAATTCCTTAATGGGGAACAAAATCTTCTCTCAAAATGACAAAAATTAGAAACTAGGGAAAACAACAGCAAATATAAGTCATAATCCAAAAAAGAAGCAAATCAACCTATGGAATGCTAGAATGTAAGAAAAGTGACTTTTCTCATTAGGAATGTTGTCCTTCAAGTGGCATAGAGACTGGAACATTGAACCCCTGGAGAAATTTAGTACTACCTTAGACATGAACAATATTTACATTATCACAACTGTGTAGATAATCTTTATTTGTTTTTAGAATCAACTTTGACACAAAAGATAGAACTATGGTTATAGGTCAAAATGTACATTTTACCAAACTTGATAATATAAAAATAAAGGTATACCTGACCAAAACTAAACGATAGAAAGGTCTTAAAATACTCATTCTTAAAAATGATACATCAATAATAAAAAGTTTGAAGAATAAGGTCTAACTAGGATTAGGGGAATGGAGAAAATTGTTGTTATAAGCTCCTTAGGTTAAGTTCATTTGTTTTCATCTGTAATACATTCAACAATAAAGTAAGTTTAAATTTTTTTTCTTTTTACCATGCATATATTACACTTTGATTAAAAAGCAGTACCTGGTAAAGTTATTTTACTTGTGCCCAAGGTAAATGTTATTATTTTGTTAGAACCATATGCCCATCAGCCACTCTTTTTTTTTTTTAACTGGCCAGGGCACAGGCTAATTTTTAAGTTGATAATTTTGTATGGCTTGAAAATGATGTTATAAATATCCAACTGGCCCTTGACAGAAAAATGTTCCCCACTCCTGATTTAGACAGTAAATGAGAATTAAGTACAGGAAATATCTCTAGGGAGAGTCACTTAAAACACACAAACACACACACACACTCTCCACCCCCCTCAGAAAATCAGATCTGTGTTAGCATTATTTTCGCCAATGCTCTCTTCATTCAAATTTATTTCGTTTCTGACCGTTATGGTTTTCATCTAAGCAGGCTGCCAAAATACAAAACTCTGATTTTACAGAGACTGTAAAATTAGTATACTAAAAGTAAATAAACATGTATAAGTACCAAAACATTTATGACCTTATAATTTTATGATGCAAGGAGAGGCACAGATAATACAAATAAATTATAAAGACTTACATACAATACTTCCTTTGATTATTTATTTAAATCCAAAAGAAAACAAAAGGAATGTTATTAAGCTTTTATAAACAATCATGAATACAACAGACAGTGTTTTCTTTAGTTTCCAGCTCATGTGCCCAGCTTAAGAGGCACTGGAGACAGCCAGCTTCTTCAAATGATCCATGAATACCTGCAAGCTAACGTCGTCAGTTAGGATGGGTGCTCCCGTTTCCTGAAATTAAATGATAAAGGTTTATTGGCAGATATCCTTAAAACTGTTTAGAATTCATGAATTATTAAAAACTCGGGACATTCATAAAAGTTGTCCAACTCAGTTCATGTTGTTCCCGCTGCTGAGTACTCTTGCCAACCCCATCCTCTGCCTAGTTAACTAATTCTTTCAACTGAATCAATTCCTCACAAAATCCTTCCCTGACCCACTAAGCTCAAGCCATCCCTGCCACTAGACAGTTCTGAGCATATGCTCTTCTATATCCCCCTTCTCTCCACAGTTCTAATGATTCATCCAGAATCTGGCTCCTCACCAGGCATAAACTTCTGGAGGCCTGCACACCCTGCCTCTCATCTTCCCCACTACTCTGTCACAGCACCTAGCCCGACGCTCTTAAGTGCTCTGCTTACAACAGAAGCTTGATAATGGTATATTCACAAATGAGTGAATCAGTTATTTTCACTGAACAAATGGATATTTGTAATATCAAAAAATGCTTACGATTTATTTAATGTTAGGGAATAAACTGAATAGAAACCCCAAATTTGTAAAAGAAAAGTAAATAAAGAAAAAAATATATACATTACACATTTTTAAAACATTTTAATTTTTATTTGGGGGGGAGAGAGAGAGAGAGAGAGAGAGAAACCTCGATCGGTTGCCTCCCACATGTGCCTTGACCAGGGATCAAATCTGCAACCTGGGTATGTGCTCTGACTAGGCAATGAAAGTGCCACCTTTTGGAGTATGGGATGATGCTCCACCCAACTGAGCCACACCAGCTAGAACCATGACATACGCATATTATATCACCTAGCAAGAAACCAGAAGTGGTTAACTCTAGATAGTAGCACTATAGGTCATTTTAATTTTCTTTCTTAATCGTTTTTTACACATTCAAATTTTCTGGAATAAAATTATACTATGATTATAATTAGAAAAAAGTTAGCATGATTAAAATTTTATAAAAAGACTTCTAGGAAGAAGAAGATATACCTTCCACTAGGTATAACTAAAAATCCTGGACATTTTATATAAAACAAACATAAGACTCTGAAACATAGAGAGAAGATAGCAGACAAACTAGGGACCCTGGGATCCAAGGAACAACACAGTGGTGAATTCCCTGGGTTTTCTTTTTGCCTCATACATCCCAGACTTGGGGCTACAGAAGCTGGCAAACAGTCACTGAGCACAGACAAAAGCCCACCTTCTCTAGCCAAAGGACCAGGCCAGTCTAGTAAGGCAGAAAAATGTTAGATAACCACCACTGTACTATAGCCAAAGGTGACAGAAAAAACTGTGGCCTCACCCCATCTATGCCACCAAAGGCTGAGTGGGCAGCTTAGACCTCCCCTCTCACAAGGCAGTAAGGAAGGACCCCAACAAACCCGCCAGGGTGGTGACACAGAAGGCCAAGTATTGCGCTGGGAATTTCATCCCCAGTGGCGAGCGATAAGTCTCCTTGCCCCTATGGTATCAGTAGAGACCACTGGGGCAGTCTGGTCTTCTACCCCCACATGTCAGTAATAAATGTCCCTCTCACACCCACTGGGGTAGCATCAGAGGAGGTCTAGTGGAGAGTCAGCACTTTCACTATCACCCAACAGTAGTAAGACCATCTCCACAAGAGGATTAGTGGAAACGGGAGCTGGAAGTGTCAATTGAGGCCAATGGAAAACCTGGACTTCTACCTCCACGTGGCAGTAACAAAATAATATCCCCCCTGTACCCCACACCTTCCCTGCCAGAGCAGCATGACAAAAAGTCAGCTAAAACAGCAGGTTTAAACAGATCCAGAATTTCATAACAAATATAAAAATGTCCATGTTTCGCCCTGGCCGGTTTGGCTCAGCGGTTGGAGCACTGGCCTGCGTACCAGAGTGCCAGGTTCGGTTCCCGCTAGAGGCACATACCAAAAAAAAAAGGTCCACATTTCATTCAAAAATCCTTATCATACCAAGAGCCAAGATCTCAAAGTAAATCTCAAAAAAAAAAAAAAAAAAAAAAAAGAGAGTCAACAGGTGTTAACACCATGTTGACAACAATGTTGGAATTATCTGACAAAGACTTTAAAACAGTCATGATAAAAATGCTTCAGTGGGCAATTATGAACACAACTGAAAACAAAGCCTAGCAAAGAAATACAAAGTCTCAGGAAGGAAGTAGAAGACATAAAAAACCAAATGAAAATTTTAGAACTAAAAAATACAGCAACAAATAAAAAGTTCAGTGTATAAACTTAAAGCAGAAAGGGAACAGAGAAAATAACCAGTAAACTAGAGATTAAAAAACTAACATTCATGTAACTGAGGTTCCAGAGAGAAAGAAAAAAAGAAGACAGGCTGAAAAAATATTCAAAGAAATAATGGCTGAAACCTACCCAATTTTGTCAAGAGACATAAATATAGAGAATCAAGAAGCTAAGCAAATTCCAAATAGGCTAAATCCAATTCTACCCAAAACACATGGTACTTTAACTTTTGAAAAGCAACAACAAAGAAAAAATCTTGAAAGCAGCCAGACATTATCTTGTCTACAAAAGAAAAACAGTAAGAATGACAGTGAATTTCTAATCAGAAACAATAGATGCCAGAGAGTGGCAAAATATTTAAATGCTTAACAAAAAGGAATATCACCAGAATCCTGTATCTAGAGAAAAATATCCTTCATGAATAAAAGGGAAATCAAGACTCTCAAATGAAGGGAAACTAAGATTCTATCACCAGTAGACCTACTGTAAAAGAATGGCTAAAGGAAATCTCTAACAAAAAGGAAATGATAAAAGAAGGAACCTTGGGGTATTAAGAAGAAATAAAGGACATAGTAAGCAAAAATGTGGATAAATATAACAGGCTTTCCATTTTCTCTTGAGATTTATAAATTATGTCTAATGGTTGGAAAAACTAATGTAGAGGAAATATTTAACACAATTATATTATGAACGAAGTAGGGTAGAGGGACATAAAGGGGTGGAAAGTTTTGCATACCTCACTTGTACTGGTCAAAAAGACAACAGTGAGAAGCTATGCATATTATGTAACACAATGCTCTACACTACAGCAACCAGGAGTAACCACTAAAAAAAAGGTCAACAAAGAGACACACTAAAAACCACTATAAACACAGATGGAATTCTAAAAACTGTTTAAATAACTCATAGGAAAGCAGAAAAGAAACACACACACACACACACACACACACACACACACACACACACAGACAAAGAAATGAAAATCAGAGAAAACAAAAAAATAAAATGGCAGACTTAAGCCCTAATATATCAATAATTATATTAATATAAATGGTCCAAATACATCAATTAAAAGAGTTTAGCAGAGTAGATTAAAAACAATGACACCAGTATATGCTGTCTATGAGAAATTCACTTCAAATACACTGATAAGAAGCAGGTTGAAAGTTAAAGGATGAAAAGAAATATATCATGCAAACATTTACTTATTTTTGCATGAAAAATAAAAGGAATAAAGGGGAGGACTTTACCAATGCCCAAGAAAGTATATATTAGTGCCAACAAAATTACCAAAGATAGAGGGAGACATAACATAATAAATAATATAGGTCAACACTAAGAAGACATAGCAATCCTATGTGTACACAACAAACAACAAAACTACAAAATATGTGAACAAAAACTGAAGAAATAGACAAAACTCACAATTAGAGTTGGAAACTTCAACACCCTCTCTCAACAACTGTTAGAACAACTAGACAAATAATCAGCAGGGATAGATAAGAACTCAACATCACTATCAACTAACAGAATCTAACATTTATAGAACACTATCCAACAACAACAGCAAGATACATGTTCAAATGATCATGGAACACATGCCAAGATGTCCATATCCTTGGCCATAAAACAAATGTCAATAAATTTACAAGAATTAAAACCATATAAAGAGTATTCTCCAACCACAATAAAAATAGAAATCAACAACAGACAGATAATACTTGGAAACTAAGCAACAGTTCCAAATACTCCAAGAACCAAAGAACTCTCAAGAGAATTTAAAAAGAACTTAGAAAATGGGTAAAATAAACCTAAAGCAAGCAGAAGGAAGAAAATAAAGATTAGAGCAGAAATCAATGAAATGGAAAACACAACAGAACAAGAAAAAGAAATAAAAGATATTCTCCCCACTTACAGATGATATGATTGTCTACATAGAAAATCCCAGAGAATCTATTAAAAAACTCCCAGAAGTAATAAGTGACTTAGTACATTCACAGGATACAAAATAAACATACAAAAATCAGTTGTATTTCTATATACTAGAAGTGAACACTTGGAAACTGCAATTAAAATCACAATACCATTAACAGTCACTAAAACCAAAAAAAGTAAAAATATACAACACTGAAGAAAGAAATCAAAACATATTTAATGGAGAGATACTGTGAGTTCATGAATTAGAAGGCTCAATATAGTAAAGATGACAATTATTTCCAATTGATACAGAGGTTTAATGAATTTTTTTTTTATCCTCACCCGAGGATATTTTTCAATTTACCTTCAGATGGAGTGGAGGTGGAGGGGAGAGAGGGAGAGAGAAAGAGGGAGAAAGGGAGAGAGTGAGAGAGAGAGAGAGAGAAACATCAATGTGAGAGAGACACATTGACTGACTGGCTGCCTCCCGCATGTCCCTGACCAAAGCCAGGGACAAACTGCAACTGAGGTACATACCCTTGACTGGAATCAAATCCGTGATTCATTGGTCCACAGGCTGACACTCTAACTGCTGAGCCAAACCAGCCAGGGCTAATGAAATTCTTATATCAAAATCCCAACAAGATTTTAAAAATATATAGGAAAGATTATTCTAAAATTTGTATGTAAAAGCAAAGGAACTAGAATAGCTAAGACAATTTTGAAAAAGAACAAAGTGGGGGAAAAAAATCAGTCTACCTGATTTCAAGACAGATAGTCATCATCGAGATTGTGTGGTGTTAGTAGAGGGAGAGAAACAGAGATCAATAAAATAGAGCAGAAAACCCAGAAATGTACTCACTAAAATATGCCCAAATAATCTTGGACAAAGATACAAAAGCAGTTCTGTGGAAGATAGCCGTTTTCGACAAATGGTGTTGGGGCAATGAGACATCCATTTGCACAAAATAAAGTTATATCTCATATCTTATACAAAAGTTAATTCATGGACTAAAATATAAAAATAAAAAATATAAAAATAAAATTAGAAGACAAACACAGATCTTTGGGATCTAGGGCTAGACAAAGAATACTTAAACTTGATAACCAAAAGCACAATCAATAAAAGAAAAAATTGATAAAGTGGACTTCATAAAGATCAAACACTGTGCTCTGCAAAAGACCCTGTGAATAAGACATACAGACCAGCTAAAAGTGAGAGAAATATACACAGACCACATATACAACAAAAGACTAGCATCTCTCTCTTTTAAAAAAAATCCTCACCCAAGGACATACTTTTATTGATTTCAGAGAAAGAAGAAGAGGAAGACAGAGAGAGCATCAATGTGACAGTGAAACATTGATCTGCTACCTCCTGCACACCCCCTTTATCAGGGATCGATCTCACAACCTGGGCATGTGCCCTGACTGGGAATAGAACCCACAACCTTCTGGTGCACGAGACAACTCCAATGAACGGCGCCACACTGACAAGACTAGCATCTTGAGTTCATAAAGAACTCAAAACTCAACCATAAAAAAGCAAATAATCCAATGAGAACATGGGCGAAAGACAGAGATTTCATCAAAAAAGATATACAGATGATGTCCTCTCTTTCCCATTTTTTCGTGTGGGAGGCAACCAAATTTTTGGTGGCCTTGCTTTTGCAAGGCAGAAAGAAAAATAAAAAAGATATACTGATGGAGTCCGGCTGGTGTGGCTCAGCGGTTGAGTGTTGACCCATGTAGCAAGAGGTCGCCTACTCGAATCCCAGTCAGGACACATGCCCAGGTTGTGGGCCTGATCCCCAGTAGGGGGCATGCAGGAGGCAGCCAATCAATGTTCTCTCTCATTGATGTTTCTATCTCTCCCTCTCACTTCCCCTCTCTCTAAAATCAATAAAGAAAAAAATATTTTTTTTAAAAAGATATACAGATGGAAAAGAAGCATATGAAAAGATGTTTAACATCATTAGCCACTGGGAAAATGTAAATTAAAACCACAGAGTTGTCCAGCCGGTGTGGCTCAGTGGTTGAGCATTGATCCATGCACCAAGAGGTTGCTGGTTCGATTCCCGGTCAGGGTACATGCCCAGACTGTGGGCCAAATCACCATTGGGGAGCATGCAGGAGGCGGCCAATCAGTGTTCTCTCTCATCGATGTTTCTATCTCTCTCTCCATCTCCCTTCCTCTAACATCAATAAAGAAAAAAAATTCCAGCCCTGGCCGGTTTGGCTCAGCGGTTAGAGCGTCGGCCTGAGGTCCTGAGAGACCCGGGTTCGGTTCCTGCTAAGGGCGCGTACCTCGGTTTCAGTTTGTCCCTGGCCCTGGTCGGTCATGCGGGTGGCAGCCACTCGATGTGTCCCTTTCACATCGATGTTTCTCTCTCTCTCTCTCTGTTCCTCTCTCTCCCTCCCACTCTACCTGAACAAATAATGGAAAAATGTCCTCGGGTGAGGATGAAAAAAAAAAAAGAGCTAAAAAACAAAAACAAAAACCCAAAAAACAACAACAAAAAAAACAGTGTAATACCGTGTTACACAGTGTTAACCTACACTGCTATTAGAAAAGGTAAAATAACAATACTAAATGCTGGCAAGGATGGAGAGAAACTGGATCACTCATACATTGATAGTGAGGATGGACAAGGGGAATCATTCTGGAAAACAGTATGGCAGTATTTTAGACTAACTATGTAACTACCAAACAACTGAGCAAATGTACTTCTGGGCATTTATTTCAGAGAAATGAAGACTTAGGTTCATAAGAATGCTATACATTAATACTTAAGGTAGCTTTATTCCTAACAGTCAGAAACTGAACCACCCAGATATCCTTTAATAGGTGAATGATTAAACAACTATGGTATATCTATACCATAGAGTACTACTCAGCAAATAAAAAGAACCAAATTATTAATACATACAACAACTTGGATTAATCTCTAGATAATTATGCTGATGGAAAAAAGCCAGTCCCAAAAGTTATATACCATGTGATTTCATACATATAACATTCTTATTTATTTATTTATTTATTTTTTAATCCTCACCCGAGGACATTTTTTTGTTTTTTGTTCAGGTGGAGTGGGAGGGAGAGAGAGGAACAGAGAGAGAGAGAAACATCGATGTGAAAGGGACACATCGAGTGGCTGCCACCCGCACGACCGACCAGGGCCGGGGACAAACTGCAACCGAGGTACATGCCCTTAGCGGGAACCGAACCCGGGTCTCTCAGGACCGCAGGCCGACGCTCTAACCGCTGAGCCAAACCGGCCAGGGCCATATAACATTCTTGATAACAAAACTATAGAAATGGAGAACTGATTAGCAGTTGTCAGGCATTAAGAAAGGGGTAGAGACAGAAGGGAAGTGAGTGTGACTATAAAAGGGTAACATAAGCACTGGCCAGTTTCTCAGTGGTTAGAGCATCAGCCAATAGACCAAAGGGTTGTAGGTTCAATTCCCAGCAAGGGCATGTATCTGGGTTGTAGGTTTGATCCCTGGCCCGGTTGTGCAAGAGGCAACTAATGATGTGTCTCTCTTACACTGATGTTTCTCTCTTTCCCTCCTTTCTCTCTCCCTCCCTCCCTTCCACTCTATCTGGAAAAATATCCTCAGGTAAGGATTAACAAAACAAAACAACAACAGAAAAAGGGGTAACATGAAAGATTCTTATGCTGATGGAAATGTGCATCTGGACTGTATCAATGTAATATCCTATGATAGTGCTTTACAGTTTTACAAAATGTTACCACTGGAGGAAACTACGTAAAGGGTATAGGGAATCTCTGTATTATTTCTTACAACTGTGTTTGAATTTACAATTACCTCAAAAAAAGGTTTAATTTTAAAAATGTTGTAAGAAAACAGAATGAAAGAAAAAACTCATTTGAGAGAGACATAAATGGTTGGAATGATTAGATAATGAAGGAATCAGGCTGAAAAGTAAAGAGGACACAAAACCAGTGGTGAGCATTTGTAGATGTTTTTGCCCTGTCCTCTTGAGAGAGAGAAAGAAGGAAAGGGAGGACTTGGGGCAATGCTGCTGTGTCTATGAGAACCCAATGGAGGCCACACTATGGTGTCCTGTCCTCCAACTCGAACCTGTCATATTATGCTGTGCACTGCAGAAAGGGATCCACACTGGGTAGCCACTCCCAAATCCCAAGCTATGTTTGCAGTTTTTTTCCCAGCAAAATAACCAAGTTATTCTGTCTCTGGGCCAAACAGACTCCAATTTTAACTAGTTTTTTAAAATGTAGCCTGGGCCTGGCTGATGTGGCTCAGTGGTTAAGTGTTGACCCATGCACCAAGAGGTCACCAGCTCTATTCCGGTCAGGGCACATGCCCAGGTTGTGGGTCCGATCCCCAGTCAGGGGTGAGCAGGAGGCGGCTGTTCAATGTTCTCTCTCATCAATGTTTCTATCTCTCTCTCCTTCTCCTTTCCTCTCTCTCTAAAATCAATAAAGAAAAAAAAAATTTTTTTAATAAAATAAAATAAAATGTAGCCTGGTTGCCCTGGCAGGTTTGCTCAATGGTTAGAGTGTCGGCCTGCAGACCAGAGTCACGGGTTCAATTCCAGTCAAGGGCATGTACCTCGGTTGCGGTTTGGCCCTGGCCCTGATTGGGGTTGTGTGGGAGGCAACCAATTGATGTGTCTCTCTCACATCAATGTTTCTCTTTCTCTCTCCCCTTCCCACTCTATCTGAACAAAAAAGGAAAAATATGCCCGGGTGAGGTTTAAAAAATAAATAAATAAAATGTAGCCTGGTCTCCTCCCCAAATTCCTGACAATTTCTTACCTGTCCCCAAGCATACAGGTTATTGTGTGTCTGAGATGGATTCACTTTGGACAAAAGAAATCGAGCCTTCAAAAAAAAAAAAGGTTAAAGATTAAAGTGGCATGAATATTAGTGCACTAGGAAAAAAAACTTTTACATTTCTTTTGTTAAATTAGAACTTTTTATTGCACAGGAACCCATTTCTTTAGCTTAAGATCAATAGAGGTCAATTATTAGAGTTCCAGAAACATAAAATGTATTTTATTTTGGCAATCCTCTACTTTTATATTAACATATTCTGACCACTCATTTAAAAATAAGTCATATTTGGAAGTTTATCTGTACGTCAATTTGTTACCACATAAAATATTAATCATGCTGTTTGGATTTATAGCCATAAAAATAAATCATTAAAAAAATATTAACCACCCTATTTGGATTTATAGCCATAAAGATGTATCATAGAAACAACTGAATACCAAAACCAACCTGACTGCCTCCATGTTCTGTGTTAATGTAACGTGGCATTGGGAAGCGCGCTTGCAGAATTTCTTGAGCATCATCCAATGGTGCCTGCAGAAGGTGCTTGAAGTTTTCATACTCAGGTATGTCCTGGTACCCAGCTTTACGCCACTGGGCTATAGTCTACACCAAAACAAACAAACCAAAACTACTGTGGAAACACTGAAACAATAGCTTTCTTTGACACTTAAGATTCTAACACCACATCTCTACCCCCAAACTTGCTTCAAGTGAAGAAGTCTTACATTAAGAATGGCAAGTTTTAGATGGGAACAAAGTGGAGCTGACTAGAAGTATGAGTAAGCAAAGAGGTACACCCAGGACACCCCCAACCACACAGTTCTTCTGGAAGTATCAGAGTCATCAGTCACACGTCCTCATTCCTTTCTCACTGTACATACCAACTAGCTAAAACTCCAGGGATTAGTTGAACCAAGGAACTATGGGCTCCCTTGCTTTCCACTTCCACTGCCATCGCTTGGTCTAGCGTTTCATTTCCTTAAATCTGGCAGGTAAAGAGATTTGTGGACTGCCTCCATAGAATTCATTCCCCCTTTTCTTTCCAGTCAGCACATGTCATATACCCTCTCTTCCAGGGGATAATAGTTACATAGATCTGGTGGGATTGACCTCATCTCCATCCTATGCTCCCCTGGTCTCTGACTGGGGATATTCCTGGTGGGAAAGTATTTTACAGAATATAAAAGCTATAAGAATCAAAATATGAAACTTAGACAATGAGTAGAAGGCAATCTAAGTGTGGAAAGTAAAGACTGTCTCCCCCACTAGGATAAACACTTTGTTTTTCATTCTTTCTTTCATTACCATCAGCAACTGATCTAGGAAATATCTTAAACACATAGGAAAAAAGTATCTACTGAATGATTAATATATCTTTATAAATAAACTGAAGTGCTATCACATGTGAACTGTTAACTGATACCAGAAAGAGGATTCTCTTTAGATGCTTCCTTCTGCAGCCTCTTCTCCCTTCTGAGAGTTTCTAATAACCTTTTCTAGGTCTTAATTTTTTTACTGACCAGTAGAATGGAGGAAATTTCCATAAGCTTACTAGGGTCCAAGAGTTCATAAGAACACCATAGGGCTTTGGAGGATGAGAATGATGTCATTGTTTTTGTCATTAGAACCAATCACTTGTACACAGAAGGTGCTCAATAAATGCATGAATGAACAGGATCGGGGCTGTAGCCCGAGATGTCTATAAGGAATGAGCTGAAGCAAATAAAGCTATGTTGTGATTACTGTTCTTAAAGGAACCAGTAGGAATGGCAGCTGATCACAAATGGCCTTTGGTTTAGGACCATTACTGATGGTGTACCGTATGTGGTTAAGTGGCTAGCAGACGGTGTTAATATGCTGGAAAAGTTATAAAATGCCCATTAGTATTAGAAAATAAATTCTTTTTAAGTTATTAAGAGAATTCTGGAACACAATTTATATTTTCCAGGATATCTGAAATCACTTCTAATGTACAGACACTAGGGAGTCAAGTCAACCATCAAAGAAACTTACCGAAGGTAGATAATGCACTATAAAAGAAAAAATAATATATCACTGAATATAATGCTCAGTTAAAGAATTTTCTTCAGAGGAGCCATTCCCTTTCTTAGGGAATTAACTGCTTTGAGAAAGAGATGGACTCTGCTCTGAAAACCATCCACAGCCATCCTAGACATCCACAGACCCAGTGTGAGGTTCACTGTGCCACGTTATCTCAAAGAAAAACTATCACCCTAAACGTATGAGTGTTTACTACTAACTCTAACATAACTCTGAAAGGGTAATAGTACATATAAAATATTTACTGAAGAAAAGTAACCAATCTTGCCTAACAACTCAGAAAGTAATAAATTACAGTGATTTGAAAGGACCAGGTGAGATTTACTAATACCAAATATTATTAAAATTATACAAATACTCAAGGAACCTGAAAAAATATTTTCTTCACTAACATATACTGTACTCATTACCATAAACTGTGGGTTTCCTAAGTCCAGATTCTTGTTTCAAATGCTAAATTAATAAGAAGTAAAACAATAGTAAGAAAAAAAATTAGTAATATCATCTTACCTCACCAAAATAAATGACAATTTGGAAGAAAGTATCCATCAGCAAAATTCTGTCAGCTAGAATGCTGCTGCTGTCCAATAGTACTGGCTGGAGAAAAAGGGAAAGAGATGGCATTGGTCTTCCCTCTCTTCCCCACATGGGCAAAACAGAAACCAATGGCTCTCCCCCTCTTCACTGTCATTCCCACTTTGTGCTTCCTGACTCAGGCAGTTCTAAGTTTCAACTCTGTAGAAGAAAGAGGCTCCAAACAATCCCTCCTCAACTGGAAAAGGAGATTAATTATATCTTTTGCTCTAGGAACCAAAAGGTATTCCAAACATTCTGTTTCAGGCTAAAAATGTATTTTATCTATCAGAGATACAGTCCCGCAAACCTACAACTGCAGATGACACACAGGGATGGCTATATGAAAAAGTACAGCTTTTAATACAAGTTTGGAAAGTTTACTACAAAATATATTTTTTATGATTTTTATTTCAGTAGTAAAAGTAATCTATACTTGTTAAAGGAAACTTGAACCCAAGGACAACAAATATTGATAGTTTGGTTTATTTCTATATAGTTTTTAAATTTTGCAGATTTTTTAGAAAGCATAATTTACAAAGTTTCTCTCTTAATTTTTTTTTCATGTAACTTAACATTAGGATGTATCTATTTTTATTATGTTATATAAACTGTGAATGTTTCTTAGATTACTTATTTTCCTACTATTGAGCATTTGGCTTGTTTTTTTAAATTTTCTTTAAGATACGTTTTTTAATGATTTTTTAAAGAGAGAGATAGAAACATTAATGTGAGAGATATATAAATCAGCTGTCTCCTGCATGTCACCTACCGGGGATTGAGCCCGCAACCCAGGCATGTGCCCTGACCAGGAATCGAACCGGAATCTCTTAGTTCATGGGACAACGCTCAATCCACTGAGCCATACCAGCTGGGCTGTTTTCTAATTTTCTATTCTAATAGTTCATTTACTATTTCTTTGAACAAAGCCTTTTCTGTATAAAGGAACATTTTCTTCAGATAGAATACAAGATATGAGACTACTGGGTCAAAGTATCTGAACACAGTGAAAAAAGTACCTACACATTTTTAAGTTTTTCACTTGTAATCCTGCCTTCCACAGATAATAGCTTTACATGCCCATGACCTTTCCTATGCATATTTTTAAGACTCAGATGTTTAAGCACTATAAAGACTCAAAGTTTTCTTTTTTTTACAGCCTTTCAATAAGAGTAAATTTGCTGGGAAAAAAACAATATACAGTAAAACCTTGATATAATGGACTAATTCAGGCGAGGGGGTGTCCGTTAAAGCTGAAAGTCCATTACATAATAAAGCAGGTTTTCTGAATGTGTATGTTAAAAAAATGGACAAAAATCAGTTTACCTATTTTACTCATGTGGACGCATTTGTGTAATTAAAATTAAGTTATGTATGAAAAGTTTAATTCAACAGAAAAGTTTTCTAGATGTATTACTGTAATTTTAAATTTATAAGTCTATTAATTTGTGCATTCACCAGTCACTGTTGAGTAAAAAAATGCACACAGCTGAGGTGTGGCTTAGCCCAGGTCAGAACATGAGCCTAGCACCCATTAAAACTGCTGCAGAGCCCTGGCCGGTTTGGCTCAGCGGTTAGAGCGTTGGCCTGCGGTCCTGAGAGACCCGGGTTCGGTTCCCGCTAGGGGCGCGTACCTCGGTTGCAGTTTGTCCCCGGCCCTGGTCGGTTGTGCGGGTGGCAGCCACTCGATGTGTTCCTTTCACATCGTTGTTTCTCTCTCTCTCTGTTCCTCTCTCTTCCTCCCACTCTACCTGAACAAAAAATGGAAAAATGTCCTCGGGTGAGGATAAAAAAAAAAAAAACTGCTGCAGAGCCTGGCTGGTGTGGCTCTACAGTTGAGTGTTGACCCATGCACCAAGATGTCACCAGTTCGATTCCTGGTCAGGGCACATGCCTAGATTATGGGCCCAATCCCAGTTGAAGGCATGCAGGAGGCGGCCAATCAATTTCTCTCTCATCAATTTTTCTATTTCTCCCTCTCCCTCTCTCTAAAATCAATAAAGAAAAATGAAAATAAAAAATAAAATTGCTGCAGAAAGTCATGCCCCTCAACAACATAACCAACTACCATATGCATTGTGGTGTGATTCCGTGCTAATTATTCACTGAACAGTTTTTACCAGTGGTGAATCTTGGATTTAAACATGTAGACTACAGTTGTAGATATGGAATATTTATTTATGCTACGTAATTACTACAGTGTTTTTTCCAACATATGGCCTATTAACAAAAATTTGTTAAAAATAACAGTGAATTAACAACAACAAAATAACCGGTTAATTTAATTATAAGCAAATCTTGGTTAAAAGCATTTAAAAATTAATAGACTGTGCCCTGGCCGGTTTGGCTCAGCAGTTAGAGCGTTGGCCTGCGGTCCAGAGAAATCCGGGTTTGGTTCTCGCTAAGGGCACGTACCTCGGTTGCAGTCTGTCCCCAGCCCTGGTTGGGTCGTGCACTCGATGTGTCCCTTTCACATCAATGTTTTTCTTTCTCTCTCCCTCCCACTCTATCTGAACAAAAAATGGAAAAATGTCCTTGGGTGAGGATAAAAAAAAAAAAGAGAGAAAAATTAACAGACTGCTACTTTTCACATATGACATAATGGACCGGGAATTCTGTCTGTTAAATCCAAAGTCCGTTAAATTGAGGTCAGCAAAATCGAGGGTTTACTGTAGTATATAAGGGTGATGACAATTCCAAGAAAGGCATTCATGTAAAACCTTACCTCTGGTGGTCCATGGAACGAATAGGAATAGAGAATGGGCTGGATCATGATGAGGGACTGGGTCAAATCCTGTCGGGCAAAATGGTGTCTGTAATACGACGACTCATCAGGACTGTTGTTAAACACTTGAAGAAATGGAGATCTTCTAAGATGGAACATGAACTACATTCACAAAGAAAAAAAGACAAATGCATATAGCTGTAACCTTCTTATATACCCAAAGAGTAGACTTGCTTTAGATCTCTGAAACAGGAAAACCCAGACTTTAAGAAAAAGATCTCTGGGTTCATAAAGCAGAGAATAAAATGCTGGAACCAGGGGCTGGGGAAAGGAGGAAATGGAAAGTTGTTAAATGGGTACAGAATTTTAGTTTTGCAAGATGAAAAATTCTGGAAATCTGTTGCACAGCAATGTGAATATACCTAACAATACTGAACAATAGGTACACTTAAAAATGGTTTGGATAATAAATTTTATGTGTTTTTACCACATTAAAAAATTAATTTTAAAGGGTTGGGGGAGCTTTTGGGTATGTCAAAGATTCCACATGAAATGGGAAAGGCAAAGAAGCGTCTATTTCTGGAGTAACTGGGTTGGGTTGCAGAGACAGAATGCCTGCTCTCAAAGAGATCACAGTCCAGTGGGGAAAAGGCACATTTGGGGCAGCATATTTTGGGCCCCCCGTACAGGAAAGTACTGCTACAATGGAGTGGAGCTGGAGGAGCAGCAGGAGACTTCCCAAAGCTACTGGAGTCTGAAAGATATTCATGAGGAGACCAGAGGGCAGGCGGGTAGGGGACTCCAGGTACAGTAACAGCAGATGAGAACTTATAGAGCTCAGACACAGGCTAGTATATTAGAGTGAGGAATGTAAAGGAGAGAAACAAGATGATGATGCTGGAGGTATGTTTTCTACCCTAAGCATTAGAAGGTGTAGGGGATACTTTTACTCTAAAAAGTTACCAAAACAGCCCAGTTGAGCATCGACCCAAAGACCAAGAAGTCGCCAGTTTTATTCCCTGTCAGGGCACTTGCCCAGTTTGTGGGCTCAATCCCCAGTAGGGGACATGCAGGAGGCAGCCAATCGATGTTGCTCTCTCATCAGTGTTTCTATCTCTCCCTCTCCCAACCCTCTTCCCTAAAAATCAATAAAACATATACATATATATTTTTTATTCTCACCTGAGGACATTTTTCCATTTTTTGTTCAGATAGAGTGGGAGGAAAAAAGAGAGAGAGAGACACATTGACATGAAAGGGACACATCGAGTGGCTGCCACCCGCATGACCAACCAGGGCCAGGAACAAACTGCGAGTGAGGTACGCGCCCTTAGCAGGAATCAAACCCGGGTCTCTGTGGACCACAGGCCAACGCTCTAACTGCTGAGCCAAACTGGCCAGGGCAATAAAACATATATTTTTTAAAAGTTACCAAAACATAGAAATGAGCTGCCTTGAGAAGTATAAAGCATCCCGAGATTCCACATGTTGAAGCATAAGTTCCTAAACAATAATCATGGCTGACATCCAATGCATCCTATGTGCAAGGCATAAGGCACTTGACAAGACTTATTCAATCCTTCCAATAAGCCCATTAGGCCTAGGTTCTCTTATCATCCTTAGTTTACACATCAGGAAACTGAGGGGTAGACAACTGCCCAAGGTCACCTGCTACTGAGTGGCAGAATCAGACTGTAATCCAGGCTGCTGGCTCCAGCAACTGGGTTCTTGACCTCTACCTTGGATGATCTGAGAGAAGGAATCTTAAAAACCATCTCATTCAGCCCTGGTCAGTTTGGCTCAGGGGCTGGAGAGTAGGCCTGTGGACGACAATCATGGATTTGATTCCTAGTCAAGGGCAAGTGCCTGGGTTGCAGGTTTGATTCCAGCCTTGGGCGGAGTCATGTGGGAGGCAACCAATCGATGTCTCTCTCTCACATGGGTGTTTCTCTCTATCTCCCATCTTCCTCTCTCCCTTCCACTCTACCTAAAAAGCAATGAAAAAATATCTTTGGGTGAGGATCAACAACAACAACAAAAAACCCATCTCATTCAGTGGTTTTCACATTGTGCTCCTGAGTTTTAGTGAAACCACAAAGTACTGGGAGTGAGGTGGTGGAGAGTGCTTTGGTGGGACCCAGTGAGCGGGAGTGGAGCCTGGGAAAAACCAAAGCAGCACCCAAGTTTGTCTGCTTTAGCTTTTAAGAGACCTCTGGAAGAAAGGATTCCACAGTTGTAAAAAGACTCAGTCAGTTCTCCAGACCAACTCCTACCTTTTACAGAGGGAACCAGCATTCACAGGGGTCCAGGACCTCATCCAAGATCAATAGCATCAAAGCCAATGCTGGAATTTGGCCCCGATTCTGGCTCTTTCTACAATGCTGCACAGCCTCAACTGCTTGGGTACGGGCCGGAGAAGAGACACACCAGGTACAACAGAACCCTATCCTGAGCCAGGGGTTGAGTGAGGTGACCTCTGAGGCCCCTTTTAACCCTAAGAGTCCAATCTATACAATTTCATAATTAAAACCTGTATCCACTTTCCAAAGCAAGTATATGAAAGGATAATGCACTTTTAGACATCTAAGTCCTCTTTTTATTTATTCCTCATAAAGATGTCTCTGAGGGAAGAGGAAATAAAGTTGAGTTTGCTTCCAGTGCTGGAAAAGCTGCACTTGTGAAGAACCCAACCTGCAAGTCCCAAGCCCCATCTGTAGAGCCATAGGCTCACATTTACAAAGAACTAAACACCCAACTGGCCTCAGCTCATGTAATCCTCACAGCCACCCACTCAGCTAAGCTCATTTCCTCATTTACAGATGAGAATGAAGGTTCAGAAAAGTAAATACCCAGATCCCTGACAGCACCTTCAGGCTCCCTCCTCTTACCCCTCCTTTCCTTTGTCCCAAATGCTTAGTTCCTGCATAAAGTAGTTATTTACAGTAGCTGCTTATTACTATTGCTTCCTAGTCACGATACAGTATAATAACCATGAGCATGGTCTCCTTTATTGTATTCATCTTCCTGTGTGCTTCATTTTTTTGTTTGTTTGCTGCTAAGGTAGCCAACTGTCAACCCAGAACTTCTATAAATTAGATTTTGTTGGGGCCTTACAGCAATGATCCTGTTTTGCCTTTTCATGAAAGTTTATACAGTTACTTTCTCCTTTCTGCATGTCACCCCTGTCTTCTATAGGGCTCAGGCACTGCCTCAGAGACAGAGTATTTGTCTTGAAGTGAACAATCTTCATCTCCTATAGGCCGAGTCTCAAAACATACCAAATGTTTGCCCTGAGACCAGCGAGTTTTATTTTCATCACAATTTATTCTTCTATTGTTATTTTAGAAATATACATTACTTACCTGAGGATACAGAGAGAAGGAGTCTGATAACCTAAAAGAAGTGGGGTCTTCCTTGTTATACTGTCCAAACTTCTGACACTGTTGAAAGAAAACAGCAAAATGGGGAAAAAACCTAGAAAAGTCCTTGGAGCAATAGAGCTAGCTACATTTCAGTCTCAACTCTGCCACTGACTTACTGTGAGTCCAGACCAGCACTTTTCAGCCAGAGACAGGCAGACATATTCCCCAAAGTGTTGTTAAAATGCAAATTCTAATTTGGCAGACTTGGGGAGGGCCTAGAGATCCTGAATTCTAACCAGCACCCAGGCCAGGTGGCTGAAAACCACTCTGACTAGTGAGGGGCTAGATGAGTTCTCAGGCACAACTTCCATTAAAAAAACAAACAACCAAAAAATAACACCTCTAAGACCATGAAAATACTACCAATTAGATCAGCCTTGATGTTCCATCACTCTCCAACTCAATTTTCTTCTTCCTTTCAAAGGCAAATTTATGAACAATGTTTTCTCTTCCTGCCTTTGTTTCCTTTTTATTTCACATATTTCCTCTAGCCATTAAGAGAATCAGACTGCCCACCAATTAAAGAAAGCCCATCTCTGACATTCACCTTCTTCCTACCAAATCCGATACCCTTGCTGTTTTCCTCTTCCTGAAATTCCTAACACCTCAAGCCAAGTGACTCCCCAAACTTCTGGAAACTCTCTTCTTCAGCAGTTAAAATAGCACTTTCCTATTTTCTGTCAACTCCAATCAGTCCTTCTCTGCCTTCTTCAAAAGCTCCTCATCTTCCTACTCCTAACTGTGGGCTCCTCAGAGATTAGTTCTTAGCCCCCTGCCCATTCTCACTGCTTCAGCTACAGATCTAGAGCCAGACCAATGTCATCCAAATTCCTCCTCCAGGTCCAGGGCTGACCTTCACCTAATTACAGGATAGCTTTCCTTGGACATACTTCTGCAATTTCACATTCAGCCTATTAAAACTAAATTAAACTCTTACACTAAAAAAAAAAAAGCATTCACCTTCCCTCACCCTAAAGCTGCTCTCCTTTTCCATTTTTCTATCTCGCTGTCATTCTTGCAGTTACCCACACTTAGAATTTGAGTCAGTGCTGATTTTTCTGGTTTTTGATTTTACATATATTTTCATCAAGTTTTATCAATTCTTCCTTTAACATTCATCCTGATTCCAAACCTCCCAGAATCTGCTGCCACCCTGGTCTCAGCCCCCTTGAGCTGGCAAAACCCTCATTTGGTCTTAACAGTGTAGCCTTTTCACTTTCCAAATTTATCTCATATGACAATAATAAATGTAAATATAAGAATCATGCTGCTGTCACACCCCTGCTGGGAAATCACACCTAAGTTCCCTTTCTCTCTGACATCAAGGTAGTGACTTAACTTTAAAATGAAGACATTTCAAATGAAGAAATTTCATAACTTTCACTGCCTCTCTCTTCCCCCTGCACGTCTGGCCTCTGTGACAGTGATCTGGCCATTGTCCCCAGCATAAGCTGAGAGTACTGCTACCTCCCACAGACTTGGGCCCTCCACTCAGCAAGACTTGCCTTCTCCTCCCCTACTATCCTACTCATTTTCAAGAGACTTGATTCAAAGCTCACTTTCCACATAAGCCAACCATTTGGACCCTCTGCTCAATTTTCAGATTGTGTTTGAAATGTTGATATGCCCTGGAGGAAAAAAAATGGTTCCATGAAACAGCAAAGGCAAACACAGAGCTAAACAAAGTTAATTATCTTTCTTTACTGGGTTTTCAGTGCCTTTGATCATAAATACCTGCAATAAATTGCCAAGACTGTAAAATTATGAGGTCTGACAGTTACTGATTTATGCCTTGTGGCTCAAAACTCATTCTTCCTGCCTGTTGTGAAGTAGATCTGGACTCAAAGTTTTCCTTTGATAGCTGGCACAATGTTGAGCTTTGTTAGTACAGGGTGCTTGAGGCAAGTGTTTGCTTCTAGGTTCTAGTGTGCTCAACTCAGCAGCAGCTTTATGTCTTCTTCAGTGCCCAGTTCTTGGAGCACATGGCAGCCAACAGCTACCCCATAACCTGTGTGCCTCTGATAAGATACTTTCCTGTGAACAGTTTTCTTCCACACACCAGAGTGTGGATTTTCACCTAATTCTAGAGGGTGAATTTCTAGCAAGTTCCTCTGGCACAACACCATGGCAACTTCTCTGCCATGAAACTCAGTGAACCATGGCCATGCCCTCCGCCCTCCCACCTAGGTCTAGACCAGCCTTGGGGGGAAAGGGGCTCTTCCCTGGGTGCTCTATCTCAGCCTAGAAGCAGTGGCTGTGTCTTTTACCTGCTATTCCTATATTCTTTTGCATTCTCTTTACATCTTACTAGCCAATCTTAATTATTCCAATCCCTTGTTGTAATAGTAATTCTTTGTATAAATCTTTCCCTGTTGAAATTACCGTGTGGTTTCACTCTCTTTATTAAATCAATACATCTCCCTACACTCACTGGGCCATGGACGCCTATATTAAAAAAAAAAAAAAAAAACTCCAAGATTTGAATGGAAAATACAGGACACAGCTTTCAGTGACTTATCTAAATCAACTCTCAAATACACAGATTTGCATCATTCTCTAAATGTCCTGTGCATGTCATTTCTTCCCAACTGTAACATAAGCCCTTGAATAAAAATGCCTATTTAGTATTTATCACTCTCAGAATGTCCAGTGTTTGGTATTTATCAAGTAAGCAACTGATAAATTCTTGTTGACTTATTTGCTCAAAAGTAGAGCAGAGACCAAGATGGAACCTAGTGTCACTGTTCCCAAATTACCAGTCGAATGAGTTGTCGGTCCAGCCATCGAAGTATGTCGGGCCCCTCCTCTGACTCCGCTCGGAACACTCCCAGCCGTGCCATCAAGACTGCTGCAGCCTCCTGGTCAAATGCTGCTTCTATGTGCTTGAACTGACTCTGTGCATCTGCCCAACTGACAATTCCAGAGTTAGTACTATGCTTATTATTCAGGAGATCAGAAAGCTAGCTCTTCATTAAGATAAAGAAATGTAAGTCCTGTTCCTTCATCTAAGACAACACAAATTTGAACTGAGCTGTCAATAAAGAATCATAGCAGTTTTACACACATTTACATTTACCCTCATGTGATTTCTAAAAGCTATAAGTACAAAAGAAAATTATAAAGATCTTCCCAATATTCTACAAGACATCATAAAAAGTAGATACCCAAAAGGTACCTAAGTCTCCAGCCAGTGTTCCTTCCTCTAAGACAATCTTACAAAAATCTAAACCTTTAAAAATTCGCAAAATGTCTTCCATCGGGGTAAAGAGAATTTGCACATATACAAGAGTTTTCCACACTAATAAAAACAATATGAACAAAGCTAAATGACAAAAGATAGAACAGGAACAGGTATAAGCAAGAAAATATACAAAGAATCCCTGCAAATCAATAAACAAGGGAAAAAACAGGTTTTATAAAATGGGCAAAGGCTATCACAGAAGAAATACATCTGGTCAATAAATATGGAAAGTGCTCAACCCATTGATAAATGAGAAAATACATATAAAAGTGATATGTTGTTCTATATTTGCATGTTAAAGATTAATAATAGTATTATTAATAAGGAGACAGGATACTCTCCTTACATTACTATTGAAAATACAAAGTAGTTTCCTAGGACACTAGTTTTGCATTATCCAAAATGTCACTTCTTATGAAGTAACTAGAAAGACTCATGTACACAAAGATCTAAAAATATGAATGCAGCACTGCTGGAAGGAAGATAATACCTGTAATGGCCTTTAGTAAAGGAGTGGTACATCCCATCCAAACCATGTGACAGCCATTAAAATGAATGAAATAGAGCCTTATTATGTTATAGGTATAGAAGATGTCACTGACACATTATTTTTTTTTAAGGAAGGTCAATGTCCTTTTTTTGAAATATTTTTTTATTGATTCTAGAGAGGGGAAGGGAGAGGGAGAGAGACAGAGAGAAACATCAATGTGAAAGAGAAATATTGGTTGGCTGCCTCCTGTACAACCCCCACTGGGGATCAAACCCATAACCCAGGCATGTGCCCTGACCAGGAATCAAATCGGAGACCTTCTGGTGCATAGACAATGCTCAACCAACTGAGCCACACTGGCCAGGGCTCCTTGACACATTATTGCAAAAAACATAAATATGTTAACTTAAGAAGCCATACATGTATATAACACACACAAATGATATTATAACTCCACAGAAACGGGACTGTGACGCTAAATCCAGTACAGTAATCACATTTTACTTCTGGGGAGGGTGTGTGAAAAGATTTATTCTTTTTTACTTAATGTATTTTATTGATTTTAGAACAAAAAGAAGGGTGGGGCATCAATGTGAAAGAGAGAAACATCAATTGGTTGCCTCCTGGACACACCCCCACTAGGGATCAAACCCAAAACCTGGGTATGTGCCCTGACCAGGAATTGAACTGGCAACCTCTCGATGCATAGGACAACACTCAACCAAGAATCACACTGGCCAGGGCAAGACCCATTCTTTGTATACCTAAGTGCTGCTTGAATCTTTTACAAGGATGTATTTATGGGTTCCTTATAAATAAAATAATAAAAAATAATTTTGGCCCTGGCCCGGTTGACTCAGTGGTTAGAGCAGCAGCCCGAGGATCACAGGGCCGTGGGTTCATGGTCAAGGGCACGGACGTGGGTTGCAAGTTCGATCCCCAGCCCCAGTGGGGTTGTGCAGGACACAACCAATCAGTGTGTCTCTCTCACATTGATGTTTTTTGCTTTTTCTCTCTCCTCTCTCTCTCTCTCTCTCCCTCCCTCCCTCCCTCCCTCCCTCCCTCCCATCCTCCCTTCCATTCTATCTAAAAAAGAAAAAAAGAAAAAAAAGCCAATGGAAAAACAAAACACAAAGAAAAATAATTTTGAATGAATTTATTCTTCCTGAAAGATGATTCCTCTGGGCAAGTGCCATCAGCCTAACTGGGTTAGCTAACAATTCCTCTTCTTCCAATTGAATGAGCCAGTGAGAACTGGTAAAAAACATTTAATGGAATTGCAAAGATAAATTAACAGATGTTAAATTATCTTTCCTAGGGCGAAACATAAATCAGTAGATCAACAGAAAGGAAATTGGGGCTGCTCACTTTCGGGCAATGGTGGTCACACGGATGCGTCTCTGAGTGCTGGAGTGTTGATACTGCGTGACAAATTGGATGGCGCCTCGGCCTCCTTGGGGAATCGGGGCGTTGTGCTGCAGGGTGAGAGGCCATATACTGCATCACTGTTACAGGCATGACTCAAATAAAACAGTCAGAACCCACTGGGCTCTTCCTCAAATGACTGATATGGCAGTGATGGTAAGTTCTTGAATTCTGAATGGTACATTTAAGATCTGCACATTTCACTGTATATACATTTTACCTTAAAAAAAAACAACAACAAATTCAAATAATTACTGATATCAAGTTAACGATATGCATACTGAAGTGTCTGGGAATGAAACACACTGATGACGGCAATTTGCTTTGAAATGCATCAAAAACAAGGTGGAATGATGAATGGATAGATATGTAACAAAGCAAATACAGTATATATTAATTATGGAATCTAAGTGGTAGATGTATGGGTTTTTGCTATACAATTCTTTCAATTTTTCTGTATGTTTGAATTTTTAAAAAATAAAACACTGGAGAAGGAATTAACACACTAAAAAATTCACCAATATAACAATGACTGATAAAAGCAATTACTCTTCTAATGACCTTGTCAGTTCAACATAAAGTGAGGAAAACACTTTCTGTCTAACTTGGACCAAACCCTGGAGGGAATTAAAGAGACCATGCCAGACTGGTCACAGGCAAACATAAGCCCAAAGTAGCATCAGTTTGTGCAGAAAGAAGCCAGAGGCCATGGGTCTTGTAATAAATCAGAAAACACAACACTGAGACATAAATACTCATGAAGAAATCCAACTCACCTGATTGACTACTTCAAAGTAGATGCCAAGTGTAGATGTGGCATCCAGACCACAGATTTTCCATTGACTTGTGCCACCGACACCAAGTTCCTAGGGGTGAGAAGAGGAATTTTAAAAAAAAAGCTACTCCTGTTGTTAAATGCTGATGAAGAAGCACAGATGCTGAGAATAGGACACTTAAGAATATCTCATTCCAAATGAAAATTTAACTGAAAAGTACAACTATGGATTAGAATATGGTTTAACATTTGTATTTACAATATTTTAAGCTTTTTATACTGGTACTCTCATCAATTTTCATTACATCACTAAGATATATCTCTATATTTACACATACACATATACATGCACATATGGTACATAACACTGAAGTCAAATGATAGAATCAAATCAGGGTTGGGGAAAAGGTAAACAGTAGAAAAGAAAAAGAATTATCTCTGCTAAGCATGAAAGTTTTTATACTTCTTTCATCATTATTAGAATAAGAAATAGTTAAGAATGTTAGCTATTAAATATTAATTTTATATGTATTTTAATTAATTTTTTAGAAAGGAAGGGAGAGGGAGAGATAGAAACACTGATGAAAGAGATACATTGATTGACTGCCTCCTGCATGCCCCTTACTGGGGATCAAGCCTGAAATCAGGACATATGCCCTGACTGGGAATTGAACCAGGATCTCTCAGTCCATGGGGCAATGCTCAATCCACTGAGCCACACTGGCTGGGCTGAAGGCTGCTTTTTACTGAGTAGTTAAATGGCTCCCAGTAATAAATATGAGGCTCACTAAAATGTAAGCATATCACTGTTTTAAGCATGCCATCTGGAGGAAAAGGCTGTGGGTATCAAAGATCTAGGGTACCTAGAATTACCTACTGAGATCACTAGACTCTGAAACATGCATTCTATCATTCTAGAGATAGCAAGTATTACACATTTTAACATATCTCATCAAACTGAGGAATACCATGTTTAGAAAGTAATGTGATTATGCATTAAGAGTGATGATATTTTTCTTTTCCTTGCAAAAAAAATTTTATTAAGTTTTTCTCTCAGCTAAGCTCTGTTAGTTTGTAAAAAGCCAGCAATCCTAGGTTATAGAAAGCTCTGGGGTACTGGTATTTGGAGTTGCTGGTTCAAGGGCAAATTCATTAGATTTGGAACCAGAGAAGCAAGTGTATAAGGGATGATAGAAATTGAACACCTGAGGAGTAAATTTCTGAGTCCCCAGAGATAAGGCCACTTTCTGGGTAACTTCCTGCTGAGGCAAAGAAACTGAGAAGAGCTAATGTTTAGTCAACAGAGATGAGGGTGAAGTTCACGAAGATTAGAACATAGCTAAAAGGCTGTCAAAGAGAAAAATGTATCACATGAGGTTTGAGGTCCTGGGTTGACAGGGGAACCCCAGGGTGTTCAGGTTCACCCTAGTCCTACTGGACCTTTGAAGCCCTGCATGAGCATTTCCAAATATCCCCTCCTCCTCACACAAACCCCCTCCCTGCACGTCCCTCACCTTTGTCTGTGAGATGCCAGGGAGCCCTGGAGCCCCTCAAAGCACTTCCCACCCAGCATAGGTACCCTCTTCCTCCTTTGTTTTGGGCTGTCTTTTCCTCTTTCATCCAATCCCATGTCTCTTTCAGGGGTCTCATAGGATTCAGCAGCATTATTAAATTTTTTCATCTCTTTCCTGTTATTTCTAGAGGTCTGGGGTGGAGTTAAAGGTTTGTGCATATGTTCAATCCACCATCTTTGATACCATTTTGCTTTTAACCTTCTAAAAAATCCTTAAATGTTCTGGTCCCTTGATGGAACGCTCTCTCAACTCCCAACCTGTTGAGCTGCATAACTTTATACCTTTGCTGTCATTTCAGTAGAATCTTAAGTATACATTCAGTCCATCATCTCAAATGGAAGCTTTCTAAAGTGACCCTGGGCTCCAGTGGAAGGAGTGTAGAACAGACTCGAGTTGCATGAGGAGAGACTGGGTTTGTGGCTCTGGAGAGAGAGCTGAAGGGACAGTTGCCAGGATTCCTGGGCTGAGTCCCTCTTCCACACCACAGAGGCCATCTTTCTTGGGTGAAGCACTCCCCTCCTCCATAATATTACCTCTATGTTACTCTCAATCCACCCAAAGTGCATCTGAGTAGAGCTGATGTTAGTCTGGTCTCTAGAAAGCCATGTCAGGAAACTTTATATCTGGCCACAGAACCAGTAATCTCAGGGAAGCAATGGTCAGAGGGGAAAGGGAAGATTCTTAAGTGAAATCAGGTAACAGCTCTAAAGTGGAGAGTGGAGAGAACAAACTGTTTCATCAGTGTTAGCAAAGCAAGACTATGGGATGGATGGATTCACGGGATTCCCTTTTAGCAGCTTTTTCTAAAAGAAGCAGGTAACATCTGCTGAAAGAGCCACACCCAGGAAAAATGGCAAAGTAAAAGAAGCTTGCATGCCTTTCTTGCCTTGCTAACCCATTCTCCTGAATCTCTCTCCACACTTACCAACTCAATTTTTAATATATGGAATTTCTTAAAGTTTCAAATGAGGAGAGCAGGGGTTCAGAGTATGCAACCTCAAAATACACCCCTCATATAATGATTATTTTGAGTTGAAGGCAATTAAAAAAGAGCAGACACAAGAAAAACTCTCTGCCCTCCCCTCTCTACCAGGAAAGGCAGAATGATTTTTAATCACCAAAGACATTAGATGCTTATCAGTCCAGAAAAGGCACCAGAGGAATCTACAAAACAAACCTTGCTGAAATAATCTTACCTTCCATTAGTTTCCCTCTTATCTCTACTTTTCTACAATTTAATACCCTATAAGCTCAAAGTCCCTTTCCTCTGTCTTTCCACTTTTCTACAAATTTACTGTTTTTTGTTAAGAAGCTATAGTCCCAAGTTCTAACCATCCCTTTGAAAGTTGCTCGTCACTGAGTATATAGGTGTGATGTGTATATGTGTGGTACACATGTAAATAAACTTCTGCTTGTCTTTCTCTTGTTAATCTGTCTTTTGTCAGTCTAATTTTCAGAGCCCAAGTCAATGAAGCTAAGACAGGTAAAGAAAAAAACTTTTTTCTTCCCCTACAGCTCCGAGGCCCAGGTAGCCACAAACCCTGCAAAGCTCCAAAGGTACATTTTCTGAATAATACACAAATTCCTTACATAAGCATTTACCCTGCCTTTATCAGAGGAACTATAAAGACAGAATTAGGAAATTACCATTTTATAATCGCCAATGAAATACACTGATTCATGTAAGGATAATCACTGGACACTAAAACCATTAGGTGAAAGGCAAACAAGATTTTCTTGCCAATGGCAAAGGGAAATGTGCCCTTACAATAGAATGACGTGGGACAGTCATCACCTTCACCACACGATGTAACACAGCTTCACTAACACAGGATAACAGGACTGAAGCGCCTCCTGATGAAACACAGCATGAAGTATACAGATCACTCACCAAGTATGCTGGACAGAAAGGTTCAGCCTGAATCTAAGCACCCTTTCAAACCTAACTTCCACTTTAAAGAAAACAGAGAGAAAAGAAACATCTCAAACACCACCACGAAGAAACAATCAGACATACAGAGTATATGAGATGCTCTATTATAGAAAACACTGGGCATTGTCTCTTCAAGAAATCAACAAAACAAAACCAAGTAAAAACAAAAGCCACACATAAATTAAACAATAGAAAGACTATTCTAGATTGAAAATGACTAAGGATAATAATACCAAATGGTTAGAGGGCATTTGAGGGGATATTAGGGAAAAAATATGGACTAGATATTAGGAAATTATTTTAAGTTTGATAATAATGTGGTACTGCACATCCTTATTTTTAGAAGATGCATACTGAAGCACTGAAAGACGAAGTGTCATGATGTCTGTCTGCAACTTGTTTTCAAAGGTTCTGAAAAAACAGATCATAAAGCAAATATGGCAAGTAGGTGATAACCAGATGGATAAAGCACACGTGGCTAATCATGATGACAGAGCAATTATGAGAGAAAGTTAACAATTATTGATTCTAAATGGTGGGTACACAGGAATTCATTATACTTTTCCTTAAACTTCTCTGCATGTTTAAAAATTGTATTTTTCTCTTTTTTTGCATCCTCTATTCCCCATCCAAAAATTTCACGGCTAATGCCTATTGGATCCTAGATCAGTTAAACAGCTTGTACTAATTCATAAAATTATCTTCTTAAACTACTTCAGGAAGTCTTCATCAGGCAGATTTCAAGGTTATCAAAAGTATTTTAACTATGCAGCCTCATAAAGCCCCGCCAGGCAATAGGGGTACAAGTCCTTCAATACACTGGGGTAAAGTGACTTATGAGATGGGCTTTGGTGCAGCAACCTGCCTCACCCAGGATATTACACAAATGTTCCTTCAAATTGCTTGCCTCTGTCAAGCTCAACAAAAACTTTATCTAAGCACTTACTAAGTGAATGTTCGTTGCTGATGAAGAAAATAATAAAATCTAGAGTGGGCTTCCATTGTGCCAGGCACTGTTATAAGTGCTTTACCTGAAATAAATCATTTAATCCTTCTAAGAGTATAAAGAATGGTACTAATATTATCTCCATTTCCCAGATAAAGACGTGGACCCCCAGACTGATTAAGTTCCTTGTCCAGGCCACAGAGCTAGCAGTCAAAAACCTGTGCACTGAATCCACATCTGGCTCTACCGTCCACCCTTTTTTTGAAGAGGACAATGAGGGAAAGACATGGTTGTGATAACTCCAGCCCAGTGCCAGCCTGAACAGGCCTCATCACAATAAATGGTTTGTCTCTTGGCAACTGAAGTATAATCAGAGGAAGCAGGCCATCAGCAAAGCCATCTCACCCTCTAGTGGTCACTTTGTTTGTATATATATTTGTTGATATATGTATGTATATATATGTGTATGTGTGTGTGTGTATACATTAGAAACTTTTACTCAAAGAACATAGATGTCTGCTTATACAACAGTGTTCACTGCACAACCAACTCAAAATGATACGTGAGAACTGAGACAAAGGTATCATCTCTAAGGGCAACAAGCACATGGATTTATTGCTGAATGCTTACCTTGTGCTGAATACACTGCTTTGTGATTCGTTGGCACAGAGACCCAAGCATGGATAGCGGGGTTAGGGGGACCTAGACTCTAGCTCCTCCATATCAGTTTTAACCCTGAGCATGATACTTAACCTCTCTGCCCTGGTCAGTGTGACTCAGTGGTTGAAGCGTTGGCCCACACACTGAAGGGTCATCGGTTCGATTCCCAGTCAAAGGCACGTACCTAGGTTCGATCCCGGCCCATCGGGAAGCATGCAGGGCTTCCATGTCTCTCTCACATTGATGTCTCTCTTTCTTTCTCTCCCATTCCTTCCTTCCCTTCCACTCTCTAAAAATCAAAGGAGAGCCCTGGCTGGTTTGGCTCAGTGCTTAGAGCATTGGCCTGCGGACCAAAGAGTCCCGGGTTCGATTCCGGCCAAGGGCACATACCTCGGTTGCAGTTAGTCTCCAGCCCTGGTTGGGGTCATGTGGGTGGCAACCAATCGATATGTCTCTTTCATATCGATGTTTCTCTCTCTCCCTCCCACTCTGTGTGAAGATAAATGTAAAAATATCCTCGGTGAAGATTAAAAAAATTAAAATTAAAAAATTAAAATAAAAAAAGAAAATATCCTCAGGTGAGGATTAACAACAACAACAAAAAAAGATACTTAATCTCTCTCGGCCTCAGTTTCCTCCTCTCTGACCCTTTAGACAGATGGACAGATGAAAATAAAACCACCTCTCAGGCCCTGACCTGTTTGGCTCAGCGGTTAGGGTGTTGGTCTGCGGACTGGATAGTCCCGGGTTCAGTTCCTGTTAAGGGCATGTACCTGGGTTGCAGTTTGTCCCTGACCCCAGTTGGGATCGTGTGGGTGGCAACCAATTGATGCGACTCTCTCACATCGATGTTTCTCTCTCTCTCTCTCTCTCTCTCTCTCTCTCTCTCTCTCTCCCTCCCTCCCTCCCTCCCACTCTATCTGAAGATAAATGCAAAAATGTACTTGGGTGAGGGAAAAAAAAACTACCTCTCAGAGTTGTGATCATCATTAGCCCTTCTCCCATCACCAGACTCATCCAAACAGGTAACACAATGCAAGGTCATCAGGCTCTGACATTTCTAATGGGCTAATCCCAGGGTACGGGAGGTGAGGGTGATGGAGAAAGTTTTCCTTACATTTTCTGACACACATGGTCCTTTCACATTCAGAGATACACAAGGACCAACAGCTCCCGCAATCTTCAGTTCCCGGGAGGTCTAAAACAGAATTAAATAAGAGTATAGTTATAAACCAGAGAACCAACCCGCTCTCATAAAGGCCACAACTAAAGCTTAGAGGAAAAATACAGCAGCATTATCATTACACCAAGAGAAAATCCCACATGGATTATGGTACACAAATGCTCTTACAAACTTTTCCAGGGACAATGTGATCTGATTAAGACTTTAGTAAAAATCCTCCCTTAGAAACTTCATTATCTTTGTTCCACAGTGGATGCAGAATTTTCAACTTTCTCAATTTTTAAATCATTGTATACATAGAAGGTAACAATTCTACTAACAATACTACATTTTTTTCTAATTCCACGTACAAAGACATAATTACTTACAACTTCTAATCAGTGAATATACTGCTTTGTGTTGCTTTAAAAATAAGTAATTCAGGCACTCTCCCTCTTAGGAACATGCCCACACCTTTCTTTCCTCTCAGGTATGCACCTCCTAAACTCTTAGGGTCTGCACTAGACTTGCAACCAAGGGAGCAATGGGCAGCAATAGCTTGTCTTGGGCCAACCTCCTGAACCTCTCTCCAAGGTCCTTTTCTCTGACTTTCCAGTGAGCCAAAGCAACCCTGTCTGGGCTCATTTCTTTCCTATAACACTTCTAAAGAGTCAAAGCAATCCTGTGTATTGCTTCTTCTATCCTAAGCCCATCTTTGTTTCACTGTCCCCAGCTGTCATAAACACTCTCATCAAACAATAAGTGTTGGCGAGGGTGTGGAGAAAAGGGGACTCTAGTACACTGCTGGTGGAAATGCAGACTGGTGCAACCACTATGGAAAACACTATGGTGTTACCTCAAAAAATTAAAAATTGAACTGCCATTTGACCCAGTGATCCCACTTCTAGGAAAATACCCTAAAAAGCCTGAAACACCAATCAGAAAGACTATATGTACCCCCATGTTCATAGCAGCACTATTTACAATAGCTAAGATCCGGAAACAGCCCAAATGCCCATCAGTAGATGAATGGATAGAAAAGCTGTGGGCCCTGGCCTGTTTGGCTCAGCGGTTAGAGCGTCGGCCTGCGGTCCGGAGAGACCCGGGTTTGGTTCCCGCTAAGGGCATGTACCTTGGTTGCAGTTTGTCCCCGGCCCTGGTTGGTCGTGCGGGTGGCAGCCACTCGATGTGTCCCTTTCACATCGATGTTTCCCTCTCTCTCTCTTCCTCTCTCTCTCTCTCCCTCCCACTCTGTCTGTACAAAAATGGAAAAATGTCCTCGGGTGAGGATAAAAAAAAAAAAAAAGAAAAGCTGTGGTACACATACACGATGGAGTACTACTATGCAGCTGTTACAAAGAAAGATCTCTTATCCTTTGAGATGACATGGAGGAACCTGGAGAGTATTATCCTAAGCAAATCAAGCCAAGCAGAGAAAGACAAATATCACATGATCTCACTTATTTGTGGAATATAATGAACATAACAGTCTGAGGAACAGGGTAGTCCCAGAGAAGTGGAAGTGGGGTACAGACTGACAATCCCCAGAAGAGGGAGGGGGGAGATAAACCACAGAACTTATATGCATGTATGCATGAACAATGGACATGGACAACAAACGGGACAGGGCAGGGAGGGTGGGGGAGGGGTGTATCAGTGGGGAAAAAAGGAGAAACATCTGTAACAAAAATAAATTAAATAAAAATAAATAAATAAAAGAAGGCTACAGAAAATAAAATAATTAAAAAAATACTCTCAAAACCAGTATAAAAAAAAAGAAAAGAAAAACTTAATTCATGAACTCCAACACAATGACAAGGCCAACAAACACAGTTAAGACTTTTTAAATGGAATTCATTTCAGCAAAGTCCACTCCTCTTCATCTTAAAAACAAGCCCAGCCGGTGTGGCTCACTCCATGCATCAAGAGGTCGCTGGTTCGATTCCTGGTCAGGGCCGATTCCCAGTGGGGGGCATGCAGGAGGTAGCCAGTCAATGCTCTCTCTCATCGATGTTTCTATCTCTCCTTTCTTCTCTCTCTAAACTCAATAAAGAAAAATTAAAAAAAAAAAACCAAAACAACAAAAAAAACCACCCCCAAACATTTGAGAATGTTGTTTGAAGTTTAACCAAGATGACTTAACTCTCAAAGTACTAATTCCAATCATATGTTCTAATAGCCCCTTTTGTTTTCTCAACGACTTATAATCAAGAACATCATGCTCTATCAGTCCGTACATGGTAAAACAAAATCCAAACTCACAATCTGCACTGTTTTAGAGCACTCTAGGTATACTTCAGGCTGGCACTAAACATAAACCAAGGTTCTGTGCATGCAGTGACCCATACCAACAGCTGGGAGAATGCTCCACACAGTGTGGCTGCCTCTGTGCTCAACCCACCACCCCTTCTAAGGCCTGCTATCCTACAGCAGAGCACAGTACAGCCTATAGGGGAGCCAGACAACTCTTTGTTTAGAACATTAATAAATATATAGGCCATCCTCAAGAATCAAAGATTTAGAATGAATACATGTTGTTGGGAACCTTTTAATTTACCTGTATCTGGCAGGCTGAGGCTTTCACAAGTCTGACTACTAAATAAAGAAGAACACTATTCTTCCACTCAAGTTTAAACAATTTATTGTACCTTTACTTCTAAAGTAGCACCAAATGCCATTCGGAAATCTCCATTAAAATCTTTACTAAAAATTCTTTGGAATGTCTGCTTGAAGAGAGATGTGTTGAAAGAATCTCCCATCACCATGTAGCCTCTGGAAAAGAAAAAAAGTGAATATTTAGGATGGTTGAAAACCATTCAGATGCTCCCTCAGTATTTACAAACAATAATTTAAAGATTAAGGGAAAAAAGGAAACCATGTCCATAAAAGTGCTACTAACTTAAATGGAAACAGAAAATTCAATTTGTACTTAGGAAAGACACTATTTTTAAAATATTAAAAACAGAATACTTTTGAACAGTTCTGTATCTCGATCACTGTGGCAGTTACACAAATCTACAGAGACAACAAAATTCTCATACAACTACACACACACACAAACATGTATAAAAACTGGTAAAATCCAAGCAAGGTCTATGATAGAGCAAACTGTATTGTGCCAGTGTCAATACCCTAGTTTTGACAGTGTACTCTGTATTTACATATGATACCACTGGGAGTAGATAGACCAGCAGTATAAACAGATTTCTATGTACTATTTTTACAATTTGTGAATCTGCAATTATTTCAAAATAAAAAGTAAACAAACAAACGAACAAAACCCCCAAAACCTCCAATCAATAAACCCACAGGTGCAGGTTTAATAGGTCATCTACTGAGAAAACATCTCCAACTCTTCTCATACTTCTTTGGTATGGAAAATACACAGGCCTATGGGAAATCCTTTTCAGTTTAATTTATTGCCACAAAACAGTGAACCTCTGGCTTTACATGAATTACTTTTTCTGGCTTATAAATATCTATATTCATCTTTTTTTTTTTTTTTTATCCTCACCCAAGAACATTTTTGCATTTATCTTCAGATAGAGGAGGAGGAAGAGAGAGAAACATCGACGTGAGAGAGACACATTGAGTGGCTGCCACCAACACAACCCCAACAGGGGCCAGGGACAAACTGCAACCAAGGTATGTGCCCTTAGCGGGAAACAAACCTGGGACTCTCTGGTCCGCAGGCCAACACTCTAACCACTTAGCAACACCGGCCAGGGCTATAGTCATCTCTTTTTGAAGTTAGAGAAAAATATTGTTCAGAATTTCAGTATTTCGCCCTGGCTGGTGTGGTTCAGTTGGATGAACATCCTCTCGTACACCTAGAGGGTACTGTTCAAATGGCTGTCAGGACACATGGGAGTTGCGTGCTTGATCCCCAGTAGGGGGCATGCAAGAGGCAGCCAATGGATGTTTCTCTCTCTTTCTCCACCCTCCTCCTTCCTTACTCTCTAAAATCAATAAAAACATATTAGGAAAAAAAAGTCATTTCATGTATTTGGGCACACAAGCACAGCAAATTCATTAAACAGGATCTCAGAATTGGGAAGAACACAAGATAATCTGGTCTAGCTATTTCAGTGTCAAGCTCCTCCACTGATAGTGATTGCTATTTGGCCTCAAATATATACCCTTCCCACCTTCCTTATCATGGGATCCTTGGATTCCTGGAATAAAGACTATTTCCCTGACTGCTTGGCATATGGCTGTGTGACTCAGCTGTGCCTATTGGAAGTGGCCCTTGTGATTTAAGGAGAAGGGGGTGTTCTGACAGGAAGGGATGTGTACTTATTCAACCCTTCCTCCTTCCTGCTGCTATAGACATGGCTAGAACCTAGCAGCACATTGAGGTGGTGGAGCAACACAGGAGCCTCAGCTCCTGATAATGATGAAATTAATATTCCTGCGCTGCTGCCTACCTCCAATGAGAGAGAAAAAAATCTGTTTGGGGTTTCCGTCACAATCACACAAACCTAACACTGACTCACACCTGCCCTCTACCAAAACAGCTGCCAAATTATCATCCAGATTAGACATCTCCAGTACGGGAGATGCAGTCCATTCCAAGCTCAGAGAGTGCTGACTGCTAAGAAAGGTTTTCCTTTATACCGTAAAATTCTGTTTTCTAGCAGCTTCCAGCACTGACTCTAGTTCTTCCCTATGGTCACATACAGATCTGATTCCATCTCCACAGAACAGGCCTGCAATTATTGAATAGTTCTCACACCCCATATGTCTTTAGCCATCTTTTCTAGCTCCTTCAATCATTCTCCATATAACATAGTTTCAGGCTGTCTCCATCACTCTTACTGCTCCCTTTTGAACATCTCCAGTTCATCTATATGTCACTTTGAATAAAAATGGTCAGAAAGGGAAATGACACAATGGAAATAAGGAGTGACAAGCATCAAGGAAATCAAGACTATGATCTTCTTTGAAGATAAGCAACTCCTATAACACAGTATAGGATCACCTTGTCTTTGCTGGAAGTCATCCCAAACTGTTGGCTTGTTTTAGGTTAGTTATCTACGAAAACCTCTACTTTTTTTTTTTTTTTAAATATCACTGCTAACACACCTCCCTGATTCTATATTTGTGCAAAAGATGATGTGACCTAAATACTAAAGTCATTCAGGAGTCAAAGACCTAACTGAAAATCTGATGGAAATGATGGTTCCACTCCACAGAAAAAATATACATACACATAAACTTTGGTGTACAAACTCAGGAATGTTCACAAGTACACTAAAGCTTTTGTGTGGCTGCTCCATGAACTCCTGGAGGGCACTGTAGAAGTTCACCTGATACAGCTAGTGTCACCTAACACATCTGCTGCTTTCCAAGACAGCTTCAAGTAACTTGGTTCTATCTTCCTCCCTCCTCTCTTTACTCGGTGAGGACTAGCAGCAACACAGGCCCACACAAAGCCCTATACCAGTGCTTCTCAAACTATTGTGTGCATATAAATCACCTGGGATCATATTCAAATGCAGGTTTTGAGTCAACAGATCTAGGGTAAGGTTCAAGATGCTGTGTTCCTAATAAGCTTTCAGGTGGGCTGATGCTACTTGTGCTCAGTTACACTTTGAGTAGTAAGGGTCCACACCAGTGGTTCTCAAATTCTGCTCCTCAGTAGAATCACTAAAAGTGCTCATGCCCAGGCCACACCCACGTTAACTAATTCAGAATCTCTGGGAAGACCCAAAGCAAAAGTAGTTTTTCAAGTTCTTCAGGTTATTCTAATGTGATTCCCCAGCTTCAGAACAGTGCTGTACATCAGTGGTTCGCTCACTTTCATGTGCACCAGAATCCCTAGTTAAAACCAATTGTCAGGTTGCACTTCCACAGTTCCTGATTCAGGTCTGGAGTGAGGCCTGAAGACATACATTTCTAAGCAGTCTCCAGGAGCCCTGAAGGTTGCTGGCCAGACACCACTGCACTTTGAAAATCATGGCTCTACACTGTGATCTGTGTGCACGTTATGGACTTAGGCTCTAATTCAGCAGCACACCCTGTGATGCACCCTCTAGGTTTAGCGTGTGCTCAGTGCTACTCATGAGGAAAGGTCACTAAAGCCAGGTGAAGGGTCTCTTAATTGTTCCAGCATTCAGACCCAATTTTCCCCCTTCTCACAAAGAAGTACCTTGCTGAAGGCCACATACACTGTACTTACTTTCTTTCCTGCTCTGGTATCTGTAACAACTTTAAGAAAGAAATGAACGCTCAGCTGGTATGGCTCAGTGGATTGAGTGTCAGTCCCATAGACTGAGAGGTCCCAGTTCGATTCCTGGTCAGGGCACATGCCCAGGTTGCAGGCTCAATCCCCAGTAGGGGATGTGCAGGAGGCAGCAGATGGATGTTTCTCAGTTACATTGATATTTCTCTTTCTCTCAAAAATAATAATAAAAATCAAAATCAATGAAAACATTCAAAGAAAAAAAAAATAAATGAAATTAATCTGATAATGATTAGTTAGAATGATTTATTCGTAGTGAACCCTTGAGACCTCCTATTCACCACTGTCTCGTCCTCCAAGAGGCCCACACACCTTCTAAGCCACTGAAGCCACAGCCTGGAGCTATCTGAACACTTATGTAAGACAGCCATCCCCTTTCCTATCCTTCCATCACACATCTCTTTTCTTAAAATAAACACCCTCACACTTCCAAGTGTTTGCTGTCAACATACCCAGTAAGATTTGCACAGCATTTCATCTCCAAAAGTCCAGTTTGATCAAGGGCACAAGCATAAATATCAATGCAGTGGCCATTTGTAGCAGTTCGATTAGCAAGCATTTCATAGTGCTGTGAAAAGAAGTAAACCATCTTTATGAAACAGTAACATTATTCACTAGGTATGCCTCATTATACCAAAGAGATATAATCAAAACAGGAATATGAAGATTTTTTTTAAATAATTAAAATGGAGTTTCAATCTCAAAATACTTTTGGCAGTTTTAAGGCCACCCACTCTAAGTTCTCAGAATTAGGGTAGTAATTTAACAGCAGCCAAAATCTTCTCAGCAAGAGCAACTTGCTGACCACAAAGCATGCCTCAACAAAATAGCTATCACTCCAGAGGAACCCAAACCCAACACTGGGTTACCACAACTTGATTACAGCCTGTATCCAGGAGCACCTACCTTGGTTGCTTTCTTCATAAAACGTGCATTATCTTTCTCAATATCATGCCAAGAACGAATAGGAACCTTTAATTCATCTCCAACCACCATTCCAGGACCTTGGGTCGGGGGACCCCCTGTAAACACCATAATCCTGGCTCCTGTATTTGGAAAAGTGCCCTAAAACAATAAATGGCAACATTGTAAAAGCAGGCAACTCCACCCCAAGTATGTTTCTGCTTCCCTAAAAAAATACTACAAAGATGAATTCTCATCAGCTATACTGAATACTAATATTACAGAATAACACAGATGACAATGCAGAGAAGCAGCCTTCTCTCTTCCAACCTGAAGGTTTTGTACACTTTTATTAATTACTGTTAGCACTTCCCATTGCCCTAATTACTTTGTGTTTCTCATGAGAACTTGATCTTTTTTTAAAAATAATTTTTCTTGCCCTGGCCGATTTGGCTCAGCAGTTAGAGCATCAATCTGCGGACCAGAGAGTACTGGGTTCGGTTTCTGCTAAGGGCACGTACCTCGGTAGCATTTTGTCCCCTGCCCCAGTTGGGATCATGTGTGGGTGACGACCAGTCGATGTGTCTCTCTCACAATGATGTTTCTCTCTCTCTCTTCCCCACTCTCTCCCTCCTGCTCTATCTAAAGATAAATGCAAAAATGTCCTCAGGTGAGGATAAAATATAAATAAATAAATAAATAAATAAATAAATAAATAAATAAATAAATAAATAAAATAATTTTTCTTTATTGATTTTAGACAATAGGAAAGGAGAGGAAGAGAGAGAGATAGACATTGATGAAAGAGAACTTCAATCGGCTGCCTCCTGCATGCCCCTCACTGGGGATCGGGCCTACAACCTGGACATGAGCCCTGACTGGGAATGAACCGGCGGGCGACCTCTTAGTGCATGGGTCGATGATCAACCACTGAGCCACACTGGCCGGGCGCAACTGATTTTCAAATAGGGCCAATAAACACAACTTCTGATACCAAGTATGCATGGTTTGAGGGGTCCCAGTAAAGTCTCAGTTACCTCCAACAAGCCAACAGCAATAGACAAAGCAACACCAGTGGATCGCAAAGGTCTCTTCCCCTGAGTTACAGGCCAAGGGTCCCTCTGCAGCTCCCCAAGAAGGTCAGTGAGGTTCATGTCAATCTTGTAAACAGGCTGCAGAAACCTGTGCAATTTTGAATAGACACATCAATTCTGGTTTACAAAAGTACTCTGGTCTTCAGCCCTAAGTAACACATAGTTACGGCTCTTCAAAATAAATTTTCAGAATAGAAAAACATGCAATTTTCTTTCTTCAAAGGTATCTCTAACTACAAAAACAAAACAACTCGAAGCAATTTTATTCAAAAATACATCTTAGCCCTGGCCAATTTTGCTCAGTTGGTAGAGCACCAGTCTGCCAAGGGCATATGCCTGGATGGCAGGTTCAATCCCCGCCTTGGTTGGGTTCCTGAAGGAAGCAACCAATCGATGTATCTATCTCACATTGATGTTTCCCCCACTCTCTTTCCCTCCCTCCTTCCCTCTCTCATATATCTAGCAATTTATATATGTAGCATGGAAAAGAATAAATTTAAATAGGAACAAATCATAACGTTCATTATGTGGATAACCTTCATCATTCTAAAGATTCATAATTTGTGTTTCTCTTAAGCCTTGGGAGTAATAGAGAGAAACAATGGTTTCTTTTTTTGTTCTTTCTTTTTTAATTTTTCCCCCTTTATTGATTTTAGAGAGAAAGGAAGGGAGAGAGAGAGAAACATTGATGAGAGAAAACATCAACTGGCCACCTCCTGCATGCTCCCCACTGGGGATTTGGCCCACAACCAGGGCATATGCCCTGACTGGCGACCTCTTGGTGCATGGTTCGACGCTCAACCACTGAGCCACACTGGCTGGGGAACACTGGTTTCTTAACAGGGTACAAGACTGTTCCCAGCAGGTCAGGCAATGCATTTTATCATGTTTGCTGAATATTAATCCAGGCCAGGGCAGCCCCAGACACTCAAGGGGCCGAGTGAACTATGTGCCTTGTTTCAGGTTTGAGGACACCCAACAGAAACCTTTTCAATTTTCCCAGTTTTACTTCAGAATCAAAAAGGACAACAGCCATATGTTTAAGAGGAGGGGCATGACTGAACCCATGGTCTGGAAAACCTTTGAGATGATAGAACATTAGCAGGAAAAACATTCAAACAAACCCGCCCCACATGTATGTGAACACATATATAATTCAGTTATACTTAATACATAAGTTCTGTTGCTAAATACATTACTAAACATTAAATACTGGTTAGGCTTAATAATTTATTTTTTTCTCTAAAAATAAGAAACTACAAATTCTAATGTTTTTCTTTACTCACTTGAGTGGATTTCCCTGTATACTAACTACTGTATGTGCAAAACTCTATGTCAGTACCTCACCTGCTTGAAACAAAAGGGTGCTCCTGTGGTTGAGGTCTTGCTTGTTGCATGGGCATGGCAGGCTTGGTCAGGCCAAGCATATCCTAAAAAAGAACCAAAAAGACTCATTTCCTCTAATACTGAAAGGAAAGGACTACTTAATTTTTTTTAAATACCCTTGCTTCTGCTTGTATACGATTTAAAGCACAGGCCTGGCTGGTTTGGCTCAGAGGTTGGAGCGTTGGCCCACAGACCAAAGAGTCATGGGCTCAGTCCGGTCAAGGGCACATACCTCGGTTGCAGTTCAGTCCCCAGCCCTGATTGGGGTCATTAGGGAGGCAGCCAATCGATGTGTCTCTCTCACATCAATGTTTCTCTCCTACCCTCCTCCCACCCCCACACCACTCCTCACTCTATTTAAAAATAAATGGAAAAATACCCTTAGGCGAGAATTATAAAAAACAAAAAACAGCCCTGGTCAGTTTGGCTCAGCGGTTAGAGCATCGGCCTGCGGTCCGGAGAGACCTGGGTTCAGTTCCCGCTAAGGGCACGTACTTTGGTTGCAGTTTGTCCCCGGCCCTGGTTGGTCGTGCGGGTGGCAGCCACTCGATGTGTCCCTTCACGTCGATGCTTCTCTCTCTCTCTCCCTTCCTCTCTCTCCCTCCCACTCTATCTGTACAAAAATGGAAAAATATCCTCGGGTGATAAAAAAAACAAACAAACAAACAAAAAAAAAAACAAATTTAAAGCACAAACCTGTATCTGCTTTGCAGTTAAATCCTTGGTCCCTCGAAAGACATAACTTTTGGAGATTCCTTCACAACTCAATTCGTGAACCTGCACCATCCTCCCAAATGTGATCAAACCCACCAGAGCATCTGGAGGAAGAAGACTCAGGGACATTTGTAGAGATTCTTTGAGTGCTTGAAGGTCTTCTTCTTCTAGGCATGTGTCAACCACATAGAGAAAGACTAGAGGAGTCTGTGGACCTCGCTTTATGCAGAGAAAAACAACATTATAATCAATCTAGAGATAGACATATCCAGCTCTTTTAAGTCAAATCAGGTATGCAAATAAAAAGTCTTCATCTACAGTTACTGTCAGGGGACAAGAACAGCTAAAACAAATGACATTTAATGTAAGGTTCTATTAAAATAAAGTCAAAGAAAAAACTATTTGTATCTAACAATTTATTCCATGTTTTTGAAAGCCTTCTAAGTGTCATCAGACACTGTTCCAGATCCTGGGATACATCAGTGAACCAAAACAACAAAGACCTCTGCCAACCTCAAAGAACTAACTTTCTGGAATGGAGAAGGGAAAGGGAACTGCAAATGCCAGAAGTGGAGGTAGGGGGCAGGTTCGAGTATTAAATGGTAGGTCAGGGCAGGCTCATTAAAAAAGTAACATTTGAGTAAAAACCTGGAGGACCACAAGAGTGTGCCTAAAGAAAAGCTAGAGCAAAGCCCACAGGCACAAGTGCTCCTGGCATGCTTGTTCTTGGCATGCTTGTTCCTGGCATGCTGGAGGCAAGTCAAGGAGGCCCATCTTGCTGAATAAGGACACAGGCAAAATCTGAGGTCAGAGTGGTAACACAGAGCTGGCTCACAAAGGGCTCTAAAAACTGTATGTTACTCGGGGTGAAAATGAAGCCATTTTTAGCACTGGAAGTTTCTGAATACAGAAATAACATGATATGTTTAAAAAAAATTTTTTTTTCCTTTATTTTAGAGAGAGAGGGAGAAACAGACAGAAACATCGATGAGAGAGAACATCAACTGGCCATCTTCTGCATGCCCCCCACTGGGGATCAGGCCCACAACCTGGGCATGTGCCCTGACTGGGAATCGAACTGGAGACCTCTTGGTGTATGGGTCAACACTCAACCACTGAGCCACACTGGCCGGAAACATGGTATGTTTTTAGAGTTCCTCTGGCTGCTGGGTTAATAAAAATTTAAGTGGACAAGCGTAAAACAAGAAAGAATAGTTGGGACTATGCCAGTAATTCAAGTGAAAGGTGGTGAATGGCCCAGGATAGGAGCAGTGGGAAGAAAGAAGTAGACAAATTCTGGATAAATTTTGAATACAGAAGCAATGGCATTTCCTAATGAATTAGATATGGGATGAGAGAGAGAGAGAGAGAGAGAGAAAGAGAAGGATGAATTTAAGGTTTTTAAGCTGAACAACTAGAAGGTGGAGTACCATCAACTGAAATGGAGAAGGCTGTGAAAGGAACTGAATTTAATCAGTGCTGCCTTGACCTGGCCGGTTTGGCTCAGCGATTAGAGCGTTGGCCTGCGGTATGGAGAGACCCAGGTTCGGTTCCCGCTAAGGGCACGTACTTCGGTTGCAGTTTGTCCCCGGCCCTGGTTGGTCGTGCGGGTGGGAGCCACTCGATGTGTCCCTTTCACGTCGATGTTTCTCTCTCTCTCTCTCTCTTCCTCTCTCTCCCTCCCACTCTATCTGTACAAAAAATGGAAAAATTTCCTCAGGTGAGGATAAAAAAAAATAATAATAAATAAAAAAATCAGTGCTGCCTTTTTTATAGCCTTCTCCCAAGACCTGAAAACAATGCCAGAAAGTGCACACACACCATAACCTAATGTTTAGGATCTTGCTGCTCTTACCGCTTTAACTCCATATGGAAGACAAAGCCTTTCAAGAGAATCTCGGTATTTAACACTACTCATTAAATGTGTGACAAACAAGTTACCTGTATCACATACTCAATTGTAGAAAACTGGGGCATTAATTCAGCAGGCTGATTCACCTCAGATATGCCTGTATAAGCTGGAGGAAACTGAAAAGAAAACAAAGCCATGTTTTATTAAGGCTGAAATATTTGTACATTTTACCTTTTATTTTTCACTTCCAAAAATAGTTGATTACAATATATTAATTCTGAAAACACAAAATAAACGTGTTCCTAAAATACAAATATCATAATTTAAAATCTATAACCATTCCTTATATTTATATCACACTATAACATTTTTTAATGCAGTTTTAGGTTACACTGTAGTTTCTGAATGATTAAAAAACAAACTATTAAAAACCATTTCTTGGAGATGAAAAATGGCGGCGGAGTGAACGGAAGCTACACAGACCTTCTCCCAGAACCAAACTGGAATTACAACTATAACACAGACAAATTGATGGGAAAAAGCAGCTTGCAAGGACCATATAACGAGGGACCATGACTCCATCCCGGTAGCCTTGCGAAGGCGCGAGATGGGGGCTGGGAGCCCATGGTCCACAGCTCGGCAGCAGCCTTAGCTGGAAGCGGCACCCTCTGGTTACACTCCCTGGCGGCTCCACAGCGCAGAGCCGGACAGAGGCTAAAACAGCCACAGCCACACACCTTGGGCTCCGGCAGAGGGAGGGCAGACTGGACTGGAACTGTGTCGGGACACTCGGGATTTGGAGGGCACTCAGAGCTTTTGCTGAGTGCAGCTACACAGGACAGTGGGCATATTGCTCCTTCCCAGGGCTCTGAGGAGAGGCAGCAGCCCCTCCCTCGGAGATCCAACCCCACCCTGTGGGCCATTGAAGTGCTAATTGAGGCTCACTAACAACCAGCATCTGCCCCACCCTCCGGAAATCCCCTTGTGCTGAGCACATGAGGGAGCTTATCAATCAACTGACAACCCAAAACTCATCAAGTAACTTCGACTGCTAGCCTCCCGGCAAAAAGCTAGAGGATAACAGTACCTTTCCTGGGCTGGCAACTTTAACCAGGAAAGTAAGACTTGACAGTGGTGTTTAACGTGGGTCCTCCCTCGCTCATCTAAATACTGGAGAGGGAGCCACAAACAGCAGAACACCAACACCCACAGGGAAAACTTGACAGGCTCCAAAGCCCACAGTGATAGCCAAAATGGTGAAACACAGAAACAGAAGCCAAATGAAAGAGCAAGAGACCTCCACTGAACATGAGATCAATGTGGAGCAATTAGGCATGTTAACAGAGCTAGAATTCAGAGTCATGATCTTGAGAAGCTGAACAGCATGAGTAAGGACATAGAGACACTGAAAATAAGCCAAGTGGAAATTAAAAATCATCAGGAAGAGCCCTGGCCAGTTTGGCTCAGCGGTTAGAGCGTCGGCCTGCGGTCCGAAGAGACCCGGGTTCGGTTCCCGCTAAGGGCACGTACCTCGGTTGCAGTTTGTCCCCGGCCCTGGTCGGTCGTGCGGGTGGCAACCACTCGATGTGTCCCTTTCACGTCGATGCTTCTCTCTCTCTCCCTTCCTCTCTCTCCCTCCCACTCTATCTGTACAAAAAATGGAAAAATATCCTCGGGTGAGGATAAAAAAAAAAAAAAAAAAATCATCAAGAAGAGATCAAAAATGACATATCAGAAATGAAAAACACTTTGGAAGGTTTAAAAAGCAGAGTAGAGGAAGTTGAGGACCGGATCAGTGAATTAGAAGAAAGGGTAGAAAAAAATCAACCAATCAGAAAAACAAAAGGAAAAAACTATTAAAAAACAGAAAGACAACTTAAGAGAACTGTGGGACAAATGGAAACATAATAATATTCGCATCATAGGAGTCCCCGAAGAAGAAGAAAATGAGCAAGGGTTAGAGAATATATTCAAAAAAATAGTGACAGAAAACTTCCCTAATTTGGTGAAGGAAGAAGGCATTCAACTTCAATAAGCACAGAGAGTCCCAAGTAAGAAGAACCCAAACAGGCCCACACCAAGACACATAGTAATTAAAATGCCACAAATTAAAGACAAAGAGAGAATCCTAAAAGCAGCAAGAGATAAGCAACAGGTTACCTACAAAGGGAACCCCATAAGGCTCTCAGCTGAATTCTCACAAGAAACACTACAGGCCAGAAGGTAATGGCATGAAGTAATCAAAGTCATGAAAAACAAGAATCTGAATCCAAGACTACTCTACCCAGCAAGGCTATCATTCAAAATAGAAGATCAAATAAAGAGCTTCCCAGACAAAAAAAAGGCTAAGGGAATACATTAGCACCAAACCAGCACTGCAAGAAATGTTAAAAGGACTGCTGCAATTAGCAGTAGAAATGGGAAGAAAAATAGAACCACACAAAACAAAAATGGCAATAAATAAGTACATATCAATAATCACCTTAAACGTAAATGGATTGAATGCTCCCATAAAAAGACAGAGTAGCTGACTGGATAAGAAAGCATGACTCATCTATATGTTGGTTACAAGAGACCCACCTCACAACAAAAGACTCACATAGGTTGAAAGTGAAGGGATGGAAAAAAATTTTCCAAGCAAATGGAAAGAAAAAAAAAAGCTGGGGTAGCAATTCTCATATCTGATAAAATAGATTTCAAAATGAAGGCCATAACTAGAGACAAAGAAGGTCACTACATAATATTGAAAGGATCTATTCAACAGGAAGATATAACCTTGATAAACATATATGCACCCAATACAGGAGCACCAAAATATATTAAAAATCTTCTGGAGGACTTCCAAGGAGAAATCTACAACAATACAATCATAGCAGGGGACTTCAACACCACGTTGACAGCACTGGATAGATCCTCTAGGCAAAAAATTAGCAAGGAAACAGAGACTCTAAATGAAGCACTAGACCAAATGGATTTAATAGATATCTACAGAGAATTATCCCCAAAACTACAGAATACACATTCTTCTCAAGTGCACATGGGACATTCTCAAAGATAAACCACATGATAGGACACAAACTAAATCTCTACAAGTTCAAGAAGATTGAAATCATATCAAGCATCTTCTCAGATCACAATGGCATGAAACTAGAAATCAATTGCAACAATAACATGCAAAGACATTTCAACACATGGAGGATAAAGAGCATGTTATTAAACAATGAATGGGTCACCGAGGAGATCAAGGAAGATATTAAAAACTTCCTGGAAACAAATGAAAATGAATACACAACAACACAAAATCTATGGGATGCAGTGAAAGCAGTTCTGAGAGGGAAGTTCATAGCACTACAGGCCTACCTCAAAAAAAAAAGAAAAATTTCTAATAGACTGTCTAACCTCACAACCTAAAGAATTAGAAAGCAAACAAAAAGAAAACCCCAGCCCTGTCTAGTTTGGCTCAGCGGTTAGAGCGTCGGCCTGCGGTCCGGAGAGACCTGTGTTCGGTTCCCGCTAAGGGCACGTACTTCGGTTGCAGTTTGTCCTCGGCCCTGGTTGGTCGTGCGGGTGGCAGCCACTCGATGTGTCCCTTCACGTCAATGTTTCTCTCTCTCTCTCTCCCTTCCCCTCTCTCCCTCCCACTCTATCTGTACAAAAAATGGAAAAATATCCTCGGGTGAGGATTAAAAAAAAAGAAAACCCCAGAGCAAGTAGAAGGAAGGAAATAGTAAAGATCAGAGCAGAAATAAATGACATAGAGACCAAAAAAACAATTCAAAGGATCAATGAAACAAAGAGCTGGTTTTTCGAAAAGATAAACAAGATTGATGGACCCTTAGCTAGACTCACCAAGAAACAAAGAGAGACAACCCAAATACACAAAATCAGAAATGAAAGAGGAGAAGTAACAGCCAACACCACGGAAATACAAAAGATTATTAACAACTACTATGAACAACTATATGGCAACAAATTCGACAATCTAAGCGAAATAGACACATTTCTAGAAACACACAGTCTCCCAAAACTAGACCCGGAAGAGATAGAAAACTTGAACAGACCAATAACAACTAAGGAAATTGAAGAGGTAATCAAGACTCTCCCAGCAAACAAAAGCCCAGGCCCAGATGGCTTCACCGGGGAGTTTTACCGAACATTCAAAAAAGAACTAACACCCATTCTCCTCAAACTATTTCAAAAAATTCAAGAAGAAGGAAGACTTCCAAACACGTTCTATGAGGCCAGCATAATTATAATTCCAAAACCAGAAAAAGACACTACAAAGAAAGAAAACTACAGGCCAATATCCCTGATGAACATAGACGCCAAAATCCTGAACAAAATATTAGCAAATCGGATCCAGAAATACATCAAAAAAATTATTTACCATGACCAAGTGGGATTCATTCCAGGGATGCAAGGCTGGTACAATATTCGCAAATCAATAAACGTGATACACCACATAAATAAAATGAAGAATAAAAACCACATGATCATATCAATAGATGCTGAAAAAGCATTCCACAAAATCCAGCATCCATTTCTGATAAAAACGCTCAGCAATGTAGGAATAGAGGGATCCTATATAGACATAATAAAGGCCACATATGAAAGACCTACAGCCAACATCATACTCAATGGACAGAAACCAAAAACATTTCCATTAAGAACAGGAACAAGCCCTGGCCGGTTTGGTTCAGCGGTTAGAGCGTCGGCCTGTGGTCCTGAGAGACCCAGGTTCGGTTCCCGCTAAGGGCGCGTACCTCGGTTGCAGTTTGTCCCCGGCCCTGGTCGGTTGTGCGGGTGGCAGCCACTCGATGTGTCCCTTTCACGTCGATGTCTCTCTCTCTCTGTTCCTTTCTCTCCCTCCCACTCTACCTGAACAAAAAATGGAAAAATGTCCTCCGGTGAGGAAAAAAAAAAGGAACAGGAACAAGACAGGGATGTCCACTTTCGCCACTCTTATTTAACATTGTACTGGAAGTCTTAGCCATAGCAATCAGACATGAAGAAAAAATAAAAGGGATCCAAATTGGAAAGGAGGAAGTGAAATTGTCATTATTTGCAGATGACATGATATTATACATAGAAAACCCCAAAGACTCCATTAAAAATCTACTAGACTTAATAAATGAATTTGGCAAAGTAGCAGTATACAAAATTAACGTCAAGAAATCGACGGCATTCTTGTACACCAATGATGAACTCACAGAAAGAGAAACTGAAAAAACAATCCCATTTACCATCACGCCAAAAAAATTAAGATACCTAGGAATAAACTTAACCAAAGAAGTAAAGGACCTATTTGCAGAAAACTACAGGTCATTGAAAAAAGAAATAGAGGAAGATATAAAAAAGTGGAAGCACATACCCTGTTCATGGATTGGAAGAATTAACATCATTAAAATGTCCATACTACCCAAAGCAATCTATAGATTCAATGCAATCCCCATCACAATACCAACGACATATTTCATAGAACTAGAACAAATATTTCAAAAGTTCATATGGAACCAAAGAAGACCCCGAATAGCCACAGCAATCTTGAAAAAGAAGAACAAAGTAGGTGGGATCACAATACCAGATATCAGGTTATACTACAAAGCGACTGTAAACAAAACAGCCTGGTACTGGCACAAGAACAGGCATATAGACCAGTGGAACAGAACTGAAAACCCAGAAATGGACCCAAGGCAATACGCTCAATATTTGACAAAGGTGGCAAGAGCATACAGTGGAGTAAAGACAGCCTCATTAACAAATGGTGTTGGGAAAATGGGACAGCTACATGCAAAAAAATGAAACTAGACCATCAACTTACACCATACACAAAAATAAACTCAAAATGGATAAAAGACTTAAATGTGACCCGTGAATCCATAAAAATTCTAGAAGAAAATGTAGGCAACAAAATTTCGGACATAATACGGAGCAGAATTTTCACTGATATATCACCTAAGGCAACAGAAACAAAGGAGAAAATGAACACACGGGACTACATCAAACTCAAAAGCTTCTGCACAGCAAAAGAAACAATCATCAAAATGGAAAGGCAACCCACTGTATGGGAGAACATCATTGCCAATGATGTATCAGATAAGGGGTTAATTTCCAATATATATAGAGTGCTCATACAACTCCACAAAAGGAAGACAAAAAATCCAATTAAAAAATGGGCAGAGGAGCTGAATAGACACCTCTCCAAACAGGACATACAAATGGCCAAAAGACATATGAAGAAATGCTCAACATCACTAATCATCAGAGAGATGCAAATTAAAACAACAATGAGGTATCACCTCACACCTGTCAGAATGGCCGCCATCAACAAATCATCAAACAACAAGTGTTGGCGAGGATGTGGAGAAAAGGGGACTCTAATATACTGCTGGTAGGAATGCAGACTGGTGCAGCCGCTGTGGAAAACAATATGGTGTTACCTCAAAAAATTAAAAATTGAACTTCCATTTGACCCAGTGATCCCACTTCTAGGAATATACCCTAAGAAGCCTGAAACACCAATCAGAAAGAATATATGTACCCCCATGTTCATAGCAGCACTATTTACAATAGCTAAGATCTGGAAACAGCCCAAGTGTCCATCAGTAGACAAATGGGTAAAGAAGTTGTGGTATATATACACAATGGAGTACTATGCAGCGGTAAGAAAGAAAGATCTCTTATCCTTTGAGACGACATGGAGGGACCTGGAAAGTATTCTAAGCGAAAGAAGCCAAGCAGAAAAAGACAAATACCACATGATCTCACTTATATACGGAATATAATGAACATAACAGTCTGAGGAATACAGTAGACCCAGAAACATGGAAATAGGGCACAGACTGACATCCCTCAGAAGAGGGGGTGGGGGGGATGGGAAGAGATAAACCACAGAACTTATATGCATGTATGCATGACCAATGGACATGGACAACTAAGCCGGGGATGGGGCGGGGTGGGGGGGTGCCAATGGGGTGAAAAAAGTAAAATATCTGTAACAAAAAAATAAATAAAAAATTTATAAAACAAACAAACAAACCAAAAAAAAACCATTTCTTAAGCATTGTCCTGCAAACTAAAGGCAGAGATTTTAGCTGTCTCATCAACAGCCTATGTGGGAGACCAAAGCTTTCATTTGGGTTTATTATTTCAGTTGTTAATCAATAAAGTAATGCATGTTCACTGTAAAAAAAAACTGGCAAGTACAGGAAAATGTTAGAAAACAGAAAGAAAAACCTCATAATTCTATCACCTTGAGGTAGTGACTGTCAACATCATGGCATTTTCTTTCAGACTTACACACAGCCTAGGTTGCCCTATATATATAATTTTGTGACCTTTTTGTGAACATGTCACAAGCATTTTCTTTTGTTTTTTATAACTCCCTCCTAACATTTTAAATCCTTAGTTTACAGGTTGAATTTTTCTCCCAAATTTTTATTATAGGAAAGTACATATACATTTCACCATATTAATCTTTTTTCAGTGTACAGTTCAGTGATGTTAAATACATTTATCATTTTCTGCAACTCTTTTCATCTTGAAAAACTAAGATCTGGAATCTATTAAACAGTAACTCTCTATTATCGCCTCCCCCTATACCCTAGAAACTGCAGTTCTAATTCCTGACTATAAATATGACTACTCCAAGCAGCTCATCAATGTGGAATAATACAGTATTTGTCTTTTTTGTAAATAGCTTATTTAATTTAGCATAACATCCTCAAGATTCATCCAAGTGGTGGTACATGTCAGAAATTCCACTTTAAGGCTAAATATTCCATTGTATGTGTTATACTACATTTTGTTTATCCATTCATTTGTCAATGGACACTTGGGTTTCTTCTATGCTTTAGCTATTGTGAATAATGCTGCTATGAACACATGGATGTACAAGTATTTCTTTAAGACTTTGCTTTCAATTCATCTGGGTATATATCCAGAAGTGGAAATGCTGCGTCATTTGGTAAGCATCACTAATAAATATCTTTTCATATCTTTGGAGAAATATCTATTCAAGTTCTTTACCCATTTTTGAATTGGGTTGACGGTTTTTTGTTCTTGTGTATTAGGAGTTCTTTATATATTCTGGATATTAATGCCTTTTTAGATAATTATTTGCAAGTATTTTCACCCATTCTGTGGGTCTCCTTTTTAGTCTGTTGACAATGTCTTTTGATATTCTCGAATTTTCACAATAAATTATATTAAACACAGACATCAATTCAGAACATACTACGAGGTAGAAATGTCTTTAAGATTTAAATGTTTAAGATATACTTCTAAATCATGATTTAAGATATAAATCATGAATGGTATCAGCTTACAGTTTCCAAGCCTATATATAGTTAGTCATCAACTGTACATTATTCTTTTCACCACTGGACTTATGGTTGTTGTTGTTTCCAAGAATTAGACTGTTAATTATAATGATGATCAAATATATGAATAAATAAATGCATGTTATTAATATCTTAAGATTTGCTAAAGCACTGTACATTATGTTGGGTACAAATTTTTTCTAACAGCTATATTGAGGTACAGTTTATATACCAAGAAATCCACCCATTTTAAATGTACAATTCAATGACTTTTAATAAATATAGAGTTGCGCAATGATCACCACAATCCAGTTTTATTTTTTTTATTTTTTATTTTATTTTTGTTACAAATGTTTCTCCTTTCACAATTCAGTTTTAGAATGTTTCCATCATAGGCACATTCACTTTATTTAAAATTTTTTTTTTTGTTAATCCTTGCCCAAGGAGATACATGTACCTATATGTATACATATTTTCTTACTATGTTTTTACTGATTTTGAGAGAGAGAGGAAGGGGGAGAGAGAGACAGAGAGAGAGAGATGGAAACACTGATCGGCTGCCTCCTGCATGTTCCCTACCTGGGATCAAGCCCACAACCCAGGCATGTGCTCTGACTGGGAATCCTATCCATGACCTCTTGGTACATGGAATGATGCTCAACCAACTGAGCCATAATGGCCAGCCCAGGCATATTTTTTTCATTGATTTTTAGGGAAAGAGAGCGGGAAGAATGGGGAAAGGGAAAGAAGAGGGGGATGGAGAGGGTGGGAGGGGGATGAAGATGGAGGGAGGAAGGGGGAAATGGGGGGAGGGAAGAAGGGCGGGGGGGGGAGAGGGAGAGAGAGAGAGAGAGAGAAACATCCACTGGTTGCTTCCTGCACAGCCTCCTGCACACACCCTGAACAGGGCTGGGGATCGAACCTGAAACCCAGATGTGCCCTTGACGGAGAATTGATCCTGCAACCCTTCAGTGCACAGGCCAATGCTCTAACCAATGAGGCACATTGGCCAGGGTAGCACATTCATTTTAAAGAGAAGTCTTTCTTGTGATTTGTGAGCTCTTTTTAGTTTAGTAGTTTAAAATCTTCTTAGCCAAAGGAAGCTTTACACCAATACTTGGACCCTAAAAGTTAGAAAGATCAGAAAATGGAAATGCAGTAACATACACTATCCAATTAGAATAAACTGAAGTCAAATAAAACAGAAACAATTTATCTGTTTTCCTTTTTTTTTAATCTTCACCCGAAGATACTTTTACATTTATCTTCTGACAGAGTGGGAGGGAGAAAGAGAGAGAATACTGATGTGAGAGAGACACAGAGATTGGTTGCCACCTGCACAATCCCAATGGGTCGGGGACTAGCCGCAACCGAGGTATGTGCCCTTGGCCAGAATCGAACCTGGGACTCCTTGGTCCGCAGGTCGACGCTCTAACCACTGAGCAACTGGCCAGGGCATTATCTATTTTCTTATGGTAACATATTCACTGCCTACAGAGAATTTACAAGAAAAGAGATTCTATGTCTCCTCCAGAGCAAATAACAAGGATGCAAATAATACAACTGAGTCATCATTCAACAGAAAAATCACAAATGTTCAATATTCAATATCATGCTTAACTAGAGCTATCATCTTGCTGCAAGCCAAGGCACAATTCAACCTCACTTAATTTTTCACAGTACAACTCAAACATGGAAAATATTTTTAAAAATAATTCACATACCTGATTTCTTTGGAAACAGAAATTACAGGCCCAAAGTTTTGCCCGATAATCGACCTGACTGTGAAAAAAATAAATATTAAAACTGGGTAACATTTTCATTTTTAAGGTAGAAAGCATTCAAATGTAAACTTTAAGTTTAGTAAATTACATAGGCATGTTTCTGTGTGGGTATATGGATAAAGGTATGTAAAATCTTCACTGCAATTAAAGTTCTGGCTGTTACGTACAACAATTTCTTTCCAAAGGCAGTAGAGAGGAATTAGTAAGTCCTTTTTTCTCTTTTCCAATTTCCTGGATAATGTTTAAAATTTTATGCCATATATGAATTACAGGTTACATCTTTTGCCCTGTCATTTCAACAGTCTTTGTAGTTTTTCTAACATCTTCATTGTTCAGATATGTGAAACTACTAAATTTCAATTTAGTATACTTCACACAAGGAAAAACTTCCATCTCATTCCCATAAATTCTAACTTTATCTAAAGTATTATGCCAAACAGATCACTTAAAAAATTTTTCTATTGGCCTCCTGGTGCTTACCACAGGCTGTGTTCTTGCACTGACTATACAGAAAGAGGCGGTAGAGTAAACCCACCCCATATACACCTTAGCCCGGGCTCCCTTTGCCTGGTTTGTATTGTGAATGGGAGGACATGAGGTAAAAAAAAAAAAATTCTATTTATTGATTTTGAGAGAGAAAGAGGAAAGAAAAGAGAGAAACACAGATTAGTCATTCCACTTATTTATGCATTCACTGGTTGACTGTTGTATGCGCCCTGACTGGGGATCAAACATGCAACCTTGGCATATCGGGATGATGCTCTAACCAACCGAGCTTCCTGGCCAGGGCACCAGATATCTAAAAGTAATCATCAACTAAGAATCTCACCATCTACTAATCACAAATTTGGCAACTTGCCAAAATCCAATCACTTATATGAGAATCAGAAAATGTCATAATTTAGCCCTGGCTAGTCTGCTCAGTGGTTACAACACTGGCCCAAGGACCAAGGGGTCAGAGATTCGATTCCCGGTCAAGGGCACATACCTGGGTTGCAGGTTCATCTCCTGGAAGCAGCCAATCAATGTGTCTCTTTGACATCAATGTTTCTCTCTTTCCCTTCCTCCCTTCCACTCTACCTAAAAAAACATATCATAATTTATTATATTCATCATTTACTAGTTTTTAAAAGAATTCATACCAAAGTGGATTAAGAATGGCTTTGCAGGTTGGCCTGCTGCAGAGCACGGGTTCATATTGTACAGGTGGCAAATCTAAACGTTCTTTCAAAGGTGTAAGAAGACAAGCCAGAGGAACAACCATTCTCGTAGCCTCAAGTCGGCTGGAAGGCCACACATTCCAACTGAAACGCACACCATCCCGCTCTTCATTCTGCTGAATGAACTCCAGATATGTTGCCATAGTCTAAAAACAAACTGAAGATAAAATTTTAATTGTATGTGAAATTATAAACTAAACTTCAAGACAAAAAAAAATGGTCCCCTAACATAATGTTTCTTAACACTTAGTCTGGACGAACCTGTCACTGTAGGGTGACAGTATCTTGCTTCCCACTGACCCCCAAAAGCTGATTAACTTCACAGTTATCTTTGACTACTGTTCCTTTCTCAACTCTCCTCTCTAAAACTTAAAAAAAAAAAAGGAGGAGGCTTACAATCATTTGATCATCTCTAAGCTGCATTTAAACTTCCTCATATCATCTCATCATCTCTGCCAAGCTAATTTCAGCTCCTTGCCCAAGGGTTAGTATCAAACTATGTTTTAGCATCCAGCTACCTTCCTCCCTGATCCCTTTCCTTCCTTGCTCTACTAAAGTAAACACTACTAAATTTTACATTCCAAGTGGTCTTGTTTTTGTGTCCTTTTCCCTCCTCCCTTTGTTACCTGTGGAAAAAAGAACTGGATACTGATGTGCAAATCCAACTCAAAATGGGAAAAGCCACCAGTTCTGAGTGTTTTACTTGGTATAACCAAAATTACAAAGGAAAGTTTGCTGTTATGCTGAGTGACTTCCTCACCAAGACTTCTCTCCTCACCATGGTTGCTTATGTCCATGCCCTGAATGACTCCAGTAATAAGATACTCATTCAGACTAACCTTTTCAAACCCCGATGATGCCAACTCCATGAATGTTTTATACATCCTGTTTAAATCCTAAAACCTAGGCTACACCTCAGCTATTAGGCCTGAAGGGAACAACCACATCAAGAAAAATGGGGGTGGGGGTGGGAGCAAATTGAAGAATCAATGATGTTATTGGCCTCTGGTGTTTATTTCATACAGAGCTGAATAATAATTGTCTCCATGTTATCATCAAAAGTGCCATACTGTAAATAATTTGAACCAAGGTAATAATATTATATGGCTAGAAAAGCAAATGAATGAATTACTCTACTATACACATCCCAGCCCACAAAAACTCCAAATGTTTGCTCCATCTGAAACTCTAGTCTAAGGTATGTATTTGTTATTTCTGGAAAAAGCGGGAAATTGAAGCACTGTGTACACAGGAGGCACTTCTGCAGCTTTCTGGATGGCAAAGGGAAGATGTTCTAATAGCACAATTCTCAGCAAGTACCTCAGTAGACTTCATTGACAGCTTCCCCTCTCAAAACAGTTCATTATTAAAAAGTATTGGCTCCAACCAATATCCTCAAGCATCTACATTTTAAAACCTGCTCTCTGTTTCCCAAAGTCTCTTCCCCTTGTACCTTCTACAGCATGGATTCTTTTTTTTTCTTTTTCTAGTTACAGTTCACAAATAAAATTATATTAGTTTCAGGTGTAAACCCCGTGATGAGACATCATATAATTTTCTAAGTGACCATCCTGATAAATCTTGCACCCACCTGATACCATACATATTACATTATTGACTATATTCCCTATGCTGCACTTTACATCCACATGACTATTCTGTAACTACCAATCTGTACTTCTTAATCCCTTCAACTTTACCCATACCCCTAAACCTGCCTCTCATTTGGCAACCATCAAAATGTTTTCTGTATCTACCAGTTGGTTTCTGTTTTGCTTATTCACTTTTTTTGTTTTTTAGATTCAATTGCTGATAGATATGTATTGCCATTTTATTGTTCATATTTTTTATCTTTTTTTTCCTCCTTCCTGTTCTTAAAGAAGACCCTTTAACATTTCATGGAATACTGGTTTGGTGGTGGTGAGCTCCTTTAGCTTTTTCTTGTCTGGAAAGCTTTACTAGGTAGAGCAATCTTGGTTGTAGGTCCTTGCTTCTCATCACTTTATTGCCACTCCCTTCTGCATTCAAAGTTTCTGACGAGAAATCAGCTGACAGGCTAATGGGAGCACCTGTGTAGGTAACTAACTGCTTTTCTCTTGCTGCTTTTAAACTGCTCTGTCTTGCTCTGGCCGGTTTGGCTCAGCGGTTGGAGCATCGGCCTGCGGACCAGAGAGTCCTGGGTTCGGTTCCCACTAGGGGCACATACCCAAACAATAAATAAATAAATAAATTGATTAATTAAATAAATAAAATGCTCTGTCTTTAACCTTCTGCATTTTAATATGTGTCTCAGTGTGGGCCTCTTTGGGTTCATCTTGTTTGGAATTCTGCACTTCCTAGACTCGTATGTCTATTTCCTTCACCACATTAGAGAAGTTTTCTGTCATTAATTCTTCAAATGGATTTTCAATTTCTTGCTCTCTCACTTCCTTCTGGCACACTCATGATGTGAATGTTGGATCACCTTAAGTTGTCCCAGAGGCTTCCTACACTATCTTCATTTTTTTTGTATTTGTTTTTCTTTTTTATTTTTTTTTATCCTCACCCAAGGACATTTTTTGATATTTTGTTCAGATAGAGTGGGAGGGAGAGCAAGAGAGAGAAACATCGACGTGAAAGGGACACATCGAGTGGTTGCCACCCGCACAACCTAACCAGGGCTGGGGACAAACCGCAACCGAGGTACGAGGTACGTGCCCTTAGTGGGAACCAAACCTGGGTCTCTCTGGACCGCAGGCCGACGCTCTAACCCGAGCCAAACCGGCTAGAGCTGTATTTGTTTTTCTTACTGTTGTTCTGATTGGGTGTTTTTTGCTTCCTTATATTCTAAATCACTGATTTAATTCTCAGCTTCATCTACTCTACTGCTGATTCCCTGTAAGTTATTCTTCATTTCATTTAGTGTATCCTTCACTTCTGATTGCTTTTTTACGGTTTCTATATCCGTTTTTTGTTAAATCCTCACCCAAGATATTTTTCCATTTATTTTCCGTCAGAGTGGCAGGAAAAGAGCGAGAGAAACATCGATGTGAGAGAGACACATCGATTGGTTGCCTCCCGCATGACCCCAATCAGGGCCGGGGACCGAACTACAACAAAGGTATGTGCCCTTGACCAGAATCAAATCCACGACTGTTTGGTCCACGGGTCAACACTTTAATCGCTGAATCAAATCAGTCATGACTCCATGTCCTTTTTCATGCTGTTGAAGTTTTCACTAAGTTCCTTGAGCATCCTTATAACCAGTTTTAAATTCTGTCTGGTAGTTTGCTTGCATCCATTTTATTTAGTTATTTTTCCAGAGATTTCTCCTGTTCTTTCATTTGAGATCTGTTAGTTTGTCTCCACGTTTTGCCTGCTTCCCTATGCTTGTCTCTCTGTATTAGCACAGCTGCTACATGTCCTGGCCTTGGGTAGTAGGTGTCCTGTAGGGTCCAGTGGCACAACCTCCTGGTTCACCTGAGCTGGGTGCTCCAGATACACCCTCCCACCCCCATGAACTGTGTGCAGCTCCTGTTATACTTGAGCCTTCACTGCTCTTGGCATCACTAGGAGGGACTGACCCCGAAGCTGATCAACTGTGAGGACCTGCTGTGACTACAGCAGAGGAGCTGCTATGCTGGAGCCAACCCTAGCAGACTTTTGTGCTCAGGGAGTCTGACCCATGAGTGTGTCAGTACAGCATAGATTCTTAACCCTAGGCACATAACCCACTGGGGACTTCGGGCTCAAATAATCCTGAGACTTATACAAAATTCTGTGCATGAACGAATGTGCATTTTTCTAGGGAGTTGCGTCTATGGCTTACACCAAATTCTCAAAGAGGAAGGGTATCTCAAGAGATTAAAGGCTGAATAAATGAAAGGGCTGGAACGATTCTATAGGAATATCTGCCAAAAAAAATGGAAACCACTCGTATCCCACCAAGGTATACGTTTTTAAGACAGAAACCAAGTCTAACCAAAGCTTGAACCTAAGGGAGTCAGAAGACCTGAGTTCAGGAAGCAGAAGTCATGTCACCTGAAACACGAGTTCCTCAAATGAAAAAGGAGGTTGGGGGTCCTTCCGCACCCCGCCATTCTGAGAGATTCCGAGTCAGAAGCCATGCCGATGCCAGGCCTGGAGGGGAAATCTTTCCTCTCGGAAGACTTCTGGATCACCAACTGCCCTAGTTCCTCTGCCCGACCGTAAAAGAACTCACCCCAGGAGCAAACCATTCGCCGCCTACAGACCCATGCCCGTGCGCTCAGACCTCCGGTCCCCACTCACCTGGCCGTAGCAGTCCGTGCCCACAACAGCAAGAGCCGGACTCAGGCTCCCACCGCCAAGTCCAGCTCAGCTCTCCGCGGATTGGTCAACGCCCCTGTGAATCAAGCCACAGCGCCCGTCCACGGGCCAATAAAGAGCGCCTCCCGGCAGACGAGCGGAAGTAAGACACTCAGGGAAGCCGCGCCGCCATCTTGGAAAAGGGCAAGACCGTCGTACCACACTGTACAAAACCCTAGTTCTTTGGAATATATATTTCTCCACGTTCACCTCTAAACGTTTCCGCTTTAGAAAACCCCGGAGCTTTCCGGACTGTTTTCTAGGCGCAGGCAGCACGCCTCAGGAACTCGCCCTGACCCAACAACGAAGTCCGCTCGCCTCAGTGGGAAGTTCCTCTCATCGCCTTAGTTACCCGGAAGCGAGAACGATGACGTATGGCTCCGGAAGAAGGAGTGGCGCTGCGCGGAGGAAATGAAGCCTGCCGGAAAGAGGCGTCAGCGCGCGGCAGGGGCGGGCAGGGGCGGGCAGGGGCGGAGGGAGCGTGGGAGCGGTGGAGTGCGGAGACGCTTGCGCGGACACGCTTGTGCGGACACGCTTGTGTGGAGGCGGGTGTTTGAGTCTAGTTATGATTCATCGTGAATTCCACAGGCTTGGTTCTACTTCATCCCCTCGTTCGCTCTAATGTCTCTCGCTGCCTGCGGGGATTGGCACTACAGCACAGTTCCCCTCTGCTCTTCCATCCTTGCCATTCCACCCGGAGGTGAAGGACTGAGAACTGTCATAGTCAAGCACGGGAGAAGACTAAACCTCTAACTACGTAGTGCGCAACTTATGCAGCCACCACAACTGATTTTACGCCTTTTAATAAGTGGCAACGTGAAATTAAGGTTATTAATCTGGCCCAGAGAAATAGCCTCTCTGTAGCATATAAAAATAAGCAAAACTATCTAAATTTAAAATTATGCTTAGAACATGTCGAGGCGTCCAAGAATTACAATTAATTAGCTCAATTTAGTATTAGTAGAGAGTTTTAAATTACAGATCGTAGAAATTCGTTTAAATTGATGTACTGTGAAACAATTACTGTTAATATAGAAAGTTTGTCGGAATAATTGTTCAGTTTTGTTGAGCAAACTTACATTTTCATGTTCCAAAACATTATGTAAGAGTAATGTTAGGTCATTTGATCATTACACTTGTATAAATTGAGGAAATTCAAATTAGTTATTTTCTCAGTAAGGGAATAAGCTAAAATAAAATACTTTACTTGCATTATACTTTACATTGAAGAAAGACATTGATGTGTGTGTTTAACCAACCATTAAATATAATTGAATAGCCCTGGCCGGTTTTGCTCAGCATTTAGAGCGTCAGCCTGCGGTCCACAGAGACCCGGGTTCGTTCTGGCTAAGGGCATGTACCTTGGCTGCAGTTTGTCCCCGGCCCTGGTTGGGTCGTGTGCAGGTGGCGACCACTCGATGTGTCCCTTTCACGTCGATGTTTCTGTTTCTCTCTTCTCCTTTCCCCCGCCCTCTCCATCTGAATTAAAAATGGAAAAATTTCCCTCGGTGAGGATAAAAAAAATAATATTATTAAAAAATATATATATATATATATAATTGGACAAAGATATGTTTTGATTATTTCAACCTAGATTCTTTCTGTACTAGAAATTTCTGTAAGAAGGCTTTAAAAAATATATAGCACATTTAAAGTATTAGAAATTTAACTTCCTTATTTCCTGGGAATTTTAAGAACAGGTAATTTATATAAGTGTATTTGTCTTCACAAGCCAATCACAGAGCTCCTTCAATGGATGTACTAACCTGATTTCATCTTCTTCAGCAACATGATTTCCCTGGTTTTGTCAGGTGAATCGATTGGGATGTTGATGAAACCTCCAAACTTTTAAAGAAAGTTTCAAAAAGGTAAAATTATGGCCCTCATACAAATGTAAGATGAAATATGTAAAAAATTCTACATAACTTATTCATTAATAATAGGACCAGTAAGGACATTCAAATTGGTTCATAGAAAATTTTGATTGATAGAGACATTCTCTACCACGCAAAGTTCATTTTCATTGCTGTGAACAGTAATCATTTGCATTGTTATGGGAAGAAAACATTTGTATTATTGTCCATTTTCTATAAGTTAATTTCTATCTCTACAGAATTGTAAAACCGTTTAGTCAAAGAAAAAGGCATGCATCTCTTACCATCAGATCATTCCATAGGATCCTTTAAAAAATGCACAGCATTCTTCCACAATTTTCCTGAGATATGATACATCATGTATAATCTATATCCTGTATTTCTGGCTTATACTTCTCTAACATCAGATTCATATATTCAACAACATGCTGGATATCTCTGGATATTTTTGGGATCTCAATCTCATTATGTCCTAAACTGAATTTATATTTCCCCTTGCCCCTAAACTAACCTTCTGTCCCTTGTACGTTCTATTTCACTTGAATATTCCATTTTTTCCCCAGTTACTCAGCCTGAAAACTAGAGTGTTATTCTTGGCCCCTCCTCTGAAAGGGTTCCAGGACACACTACCCCAAAATATGCCACCTTGGCATATTGAATATTTTAACTTGAAGGAATTTGAGAAATGATAGATGCATGGAAGGGCTCTCTGATCTACCCTCTCTTCCTTAAAGCAGGTTCTAAGATCTTAATTTTAAAGGTCCTCTCCCTTTACCAAGAGTAAAGGAACATTCTTCCTTCTGAAGATGAAACAGAATGAAGAGGTCTTGCTAAGTTCCCCCATACTGCTCATATCTTTTGTCCTATCACATTTCCCCATGACTTTCCACACTTCATCAAAACTAGCATTAAAACAGTCAGGTTTAACTGCTTCTTTGGGTCTTCATTTCCTTATGAAGGCTCCTACGTCCTGTAAAATTTATAATAAGTAAATCTGTATATTTCCCCCTACATTTCTAACCTCCTCACCCCTGAAACTAACAATGAATCACTTGACCCTATCTTCTTACTTCAGGCCCTCATCCTCTCTCATTGGATTCTGCCACAGCCTCCCAAATGATCTCTTTGCCCAAATTTTGCCAAACCCAAGTCTCACATTGGTTGCCAGACAGATTTTTCGAAATCAGACATCTGACTCTGACATTTTCTTGTTTAAATCTTTATTTAGTTTTCCTTTAACTCACAGGATAAAGTAGAAGCTTCTTATTGTAGTGCTCAAGGGCCTTCATGATTTACATACCTCATTCCTACATCATTGAATCAATTGTCTTTCCCATCTCACTGGTGCTGTGTCCTTGCCTCTGCCCTTTCACATGCCCTCCTGTCTGCTAAGAACCACTTACCTCTCTTCTTTTCCCAATTAACTCCTATGTGTCCTTCAAGACTCTAACGAAGCTTTCCTTTTATTTCCTTTTCTTCTCAAGATGGTTAAAAAAAATAATATGAAAGAAATAGAAAAGTAGAAGAGGGGAGAATGCTTGGAAAGTGAGTTTGAAGGATTAGCTTACAGCCAGCCTACAGAAGAGATCCTTACCTGAAAACAAAAGTTCAAGCAGAGGAAGATTTATCAGAAGGAGGGCCTCTCCTGGCCAGTGTGGCTCAGTTGGTTGGAGCATTGTCTCAAACACCAAAAGGTTTAGGGTTTGATTCTTGGTCAGGACACATACCTGGGTTGCAGGTTCAATCCCCAGTTGGGGCACATAGGGAGGCAACTGATCTCTCTCTCTCTCCCCCTTCCCATATGTCAAAAATCAATAAACATGTCCTCAGGTGAGGATTAAAAAAAAAAAAAAAGGGTTGCCCTGGCCAGTTTGGCTCAGCAGTTGAGCGTTGGCCTGCGGACCAGAGAGTCCCGGGTTCAGTTCCCACTAGGGGTATGTACCACCAAAAAAAAAGAAGGTCTCAGAGGAAGGTGGCTGAATCCATTAGAAGGAATAAAACTTCCATGGCAAGTTCTTATGAATAGCTCTTTCAAAATTAACAAATGATGTGCCAAATATAAATTGCGCACTTTCAGATTTTTTTAATTCATAAAAATGTTGTTTTGGAACTAAGCTATTTCACAAGCTCAGAAAATGCTTGTACAAGAGATATAAAGTAGAAAAGGTGGATTTATGTGTAAATATATAATCTCTGTAATTATTATTGATGTAAACAATCTGAGAAAAGTGAGAGTTGAGGCCATTACCTTAATTTTCTCCTTCTCAGAGGAAGAGCCAACCACCTTGTGAGTTAGAAGAAGGTCAAATCTTAAAGGGAACCCCAAGGAAGGATAGATCCTTTTTCAGTCTACAGTTACTGTTAAATCCCGGTCATTGTTTCTTGAACTAAAAACCACTAAGCAAACAACCACTTAGCTACAGAAATGCCTCTGGCTGTTTTCATTTATTTTTACATTTTTTTGATTGTTTGTTTTTGAAGCAAGTTTTAAATAGTCTTTATTGTTACAAAGTGGGTCCTACCAAGCAGGGCCTTACAAACCAAAATATGTGGACCCAGGATATCACAATGAAGAAATCAAGAGGTCATGATTGCAGAAGAGGCCACTGTAACTGAAGGACATGATCCAGGGGAGGCCAGCCAGGAATGCAGCAGACATGATCAGGGCAGGTGGGGGGTGGTCAGGTCACAGGGAGAGGAAGAGGACAGCCCCCTTCACTCCTGCTTCTTGTAGCTCTTCAGGTGAGACAAGATCCAGCCCGCCGGCAAGCATATACCCAGGAAGCAGGAGGTGAGCCCAGTGTCGATGTCCATGGTGCCAAGCTGCTCCGGCAGCGGGGGGTGGGGGGTCTTGGAACAGATTTGGGCACTCGGCACCAAGAGCCGCCAGGCGGGCTGGCTAGGGCCCTGAGTAAGTGCAGCTTCAGCGCGGACCTGACTGCTGGGAACGGACTGTGGACAGTAGACAGTGGGAGCCCAAGGTCAGGAAGTCAGAATCTATTTTTACGTTTTAAACAACTTTATTGAAGATAATCGACATACAATAAGATGCACAATTTTTTTTTTATCCTCACCCCAGGGACATTTTTGCATTTATCTTCAGACAGAGTAGGAGGGAGAATGGGAAGGAGGTAGAGAGAGAGAGAGAGAGAGAGAGAGAGAGAGAAACATCGATGTGAGAGAGACACATCGAGTAGCTGCCACCCACACCACCCCAACGTAGGCCGGGGACAAACTTCAACCAAGGTACGTGCCCTAAGCGGAAACCGAACCCAGGACTCTCTGGTCCGCGGGCCAACGCTCCAACCACTGAGCAAAACCGGCCAGGACAAGATTTACACATTTTTTTAAAATATTTTTTTATTGATTTTTTTTTTTTTTTAGAGCGAGAGTAAGGGAGAGGGAGATAAAAACATCAGTGTGAGAAACATTGATCAGTTGTCTCCAACACACCCCCTACTGGGATGGAACCAGCAACCTGGGCATGTGCCCTGACCCTTAATTGAACAGGGACCTTTCAGTCCATGGGAAGATGCTCAGTCTACTGAGACACATGGCTGGGCAAGATGTACAAATTTAGCCCGGCTGGTGTGGCTCAGTGGTTGAGCATAGACCAATGCACCAAGAGGTCACCAGTTCTATTCCCGGTCAGGGCACATGCCCAGGTTGTGGGCCCAATCCATAGTGGGGGACATGCAAAGACAGCCAATTGATGTTCTCTCTCATTGACGTTTCTAGCTCTCTCTCCTTCTCCCTTCCTCTCTCTCCAAATTCAATAAAGAAAAAAAAATTTTTAAAGATGTACAAATTTAGCCCTGGCCACAGACCAGAGAGGCTTGGGTTTGGTTCCCACTAAGGGCATGTACCTTGGTTGCAGTTTGTCCCCCGCCCCGATTGGGGTCGTGTGGGTGGCAGCCTCTGGATATGTCTCTCTCATGTCGATGTTTCTCTCTCTCTCCCTCCCTCTCTCCCTCCAGCTCTATCTGAAGATAAATGCAAAAATGTCCTCAAGTGAGGATTTTTTAAAAATGTACAAGTTTAAAGTGTACCATTTGTTAAGTTTTGACACTCACCACCACAGACAAGATAATGAATGTATATATTTACTCCACAATATTTCCTTGTGCTCCTTATATATTTTTTTTGTTTAGAGTTTTAATAAATGGAATCATATGGTACATACTATTTTTTGTTTGGCATCTTTCACTCAACATACTCCTTTTGAGACTCATCCATGGTGTTGTGTGAGTCAGTAGTTCATTTCTTCTTAAGTGAATAAGTTTACATTTAAAGTTAAATAACATTGATCCTTTTAAGAAAATCTAGAGTTTAAGGTCCAAGAGGAAAAAGTGTGTCTTGCTCTTCCTAAAGAATGTGGTGGTGTGGCAGTGTATCATTGATCATCTACTCAATCCCGTTTAAAAAATAAACTGCTGAAGAGTGTTTCTCAATGTCAGATGCTAATACACATGTGATGTACACAGTAAGGCCATGGGAAGAATAAGGAACAAGAAGGACTTTCTTCTTCATTCCCATGTATAAGGCACACTCTGCCCACCTCAATTCAGTAAACTTTGAATATATAAGATAGGACCAGTTCCTAAAAGTTCAGGACTGCCATATTATAATAGGTAAACCATTTCATCAGTATCTCAGTTTCCCCAGTCTCTAAATCGGTTTAAGAATGAATGTTATCCACGTGCTCTACACAGAGGGTGAAACCTTTTAAAGGACGGCATTTAAAGAAATAAAAAATACAAACAGGGCTGATATTGACTATTATACAAAGAAATATTTTGAAATCAGAAGGAAAAATTATAAGGATTCCAGGAAACCACAGCTAATAAATAGGCTGTCTTCTGTATGTTTGGAACTAAAAGCAAACTTTCCTAAAGAAATATCATTAATTCTAGTAAAATGCCCTGGCCGGTTTGGCTCAGCGGTTAGAGCGTCGGCCTGCGGTCCTGAGAGACCCGGGTTCGGTTCCCGCTAAGGGCGCAGTACCTCGGTTGCAGTTTGTCCCCAGCCCTGGTCGGTTGTGCGGGTGGCAGCCACTCGATGTGTTCCTTTCACATCGATGTTTCTCTCTCTCTCTCTTCCTCTCTCTCCCTCCCACTCTACCTGAACAAAAAAATGGAAAAATGTCCTCGGGTGAGGATAAAAAAAAATAATAATAATAATAATAATAATTCTAGTAAAGAGATAACACTGGCACGTCATAGCCTGTCTTAATTAAGGGGTGGGTGTGAAGTGGCGGTGGAAATACAAGCAAGTAAAAGGTGATTTCCATTGGGTGCTCTGTAGAGTAAGGAAGGCCAGAGTGCACGAACTACCTGCCCTATTGGCGCCCTAGAACTACAATTCCCAGAATGCCGCAGTGCAGGCTCTCCGCGACTCAATCTAGGGCTCTACGCATGCCCTTCTGCGATCATGGCTTCTCCTAGCAAGGCTGTAATTGTTCCTGGGAACGGAGGTGGAGATGTGTCCACCCACGGATGGTATGGCTGGGTGAAAAAGAGATTGGATCAGGTAAGAGACACACCTCGCTGTGCTGGGAAATCAGCCTGGAGCTGGAAGGGATGGAGGACTGAAGTTTGAACGTTGTGTTTCCCCAGTCCTCCCCAACCCCAAGCCCTGTGTATTTTCATTCCTCTGCTCTGCAGCCCTGTCTTAAACTCTAGAACTAGTGGTCAGAACTTAGATAAAACTGCCTGGGAGTCTTCTTTGAAGGCGTAGTCCTTAGAGTACAGGGCACCACCTCTTAGGACTGCAGAGATGGAGCCCTCCTCCCTCTCCCCCATAAAGTTTCACAGCTGTCTTCTTTGCTACCTGGCTCAGATTTCTAAAAATTCAACATATAATATTAATTAATATATACAAAGGATGTATGTAACATGTGTGTCAATTATAAATCAAAATGTAATCACTACCTGAGAATCCATCATCAAACTAAAATCTAGAAGGTTACCAGTTAGAAGCCATCTGTGGATCCCCCTCCCATTTCCCTGCCATCAAAATTTTTTTTTATTGGCTCCTCTTTTTAAAGTTAAAGCACTTTGCAATTTATGTATGCATTCTTTAAACAACATATTGTTTAATTTGGCTTCTTTGTGAGCTTTATAAAAATGGCATTCTACTGTAGGTTGTCTTGTACATCTTGATTTAAAAAAAAAACTCTTCCATAAACAGACAAGATTGCTTCCTGAATTGCTGTCATCTAGAGCCCTAAAGTAGATTTCTGGAATAAAAGCCCTGGGTTGTGACTGAAATCCTTGGCTAGAGCTATAAATCAAATGGTCAGGGCTGGAGCTGTCCAAGAGGATGGGATCTCCAATTTTCTATACTACATTTTACTTACTCCCTGACCCCTAGTCTGGCTCCAGGTCATTCTGTCTAGAACACATTCAGTCATACCCTCTCTATGAATATAGGTCTTTCTAAATAGAGACCTACCGAGTTGGCTACAGAACTAAAGACACATGAAGTTTATGAGAGGGATTGTATATTCATATGTAATCCTATAGTGCTTAATCCATTTCATTTCATAACATAAGAACACTTATTGAATAAAGATTATATTAGGTGTCTCATTTTTTATTAGCAAAGTATTAGTTATAATTAAGCTGCTTATTATAGCTCTTTTTTCCCCCCTCATGTCACAGATACCTGGTTTCCAGTGTTTGGCTAAAAATATGCCTGATCCAAGTAAGTATTAAAAGTGTTTTTAAATAACCTTATCTTGTTAGGTTTTGGTCTTCATTTTCCTTGTAGAGAACAAGAATATTATAGCAGAACAGAGAACCCAGAAATGGACCCAAGGCAATATGCTCAATATTTGACAAAGGTGGCAAGAGCATACAGTGGAGTAAAAACAGTCTCTTTAATAAATGGTGTTGGGAAAATTGGACAGCTACATGCAAAAATATGAAACTAGACCATCAACTTACACCATACACAAGAATAAACTCAAAATGGATAAAAGACTTAAATGTGACTCATCAATCCATAAAAATCCTAGAAGAAACTGTAGGCAACAAAATTTCAGACATCATATGCAGCAGAATTTTCACTGATACATCACCTAAGGCAACAGAAACAAAGGAGAAAATGAACACATGGGACTACATCAAACTCAAAAGCTTCTGCACAGCAAAAGATACAATCTTCAAAATGGAAAGGCAACCCACTGTATGGGAGAGCATAATTGCCAATGATATATCAGATAAGGGGCCAATTTCTAATATATATAGAGTGCTCATACAACTCAACAAAAGGAAGACAAAGAACTCAATTAAAAAAATGGGCAGAGGAACTAAATAGACACCTCTCCAAACAGGACATACAAATGGCTAAGAGACATGAAGAAACGCTCAACATCACTAATCATCAGAGAGATGCAAATTTACACAACAATGAGGTATCACCTCACAGCTGTCAGAATGGCCGCCATCAACAAATCATCAAACAACAAGTGTTGGCGAGGGTGTGGAGAAAAGGGGACTCTAGTGCACTGCTGGTGGGAACGCAGACTGGTGCAGCCACTATGGAAAACAATATGGTGTTACTTCAAAAAATTAAAAATTGAACTACCATTTGACCCAGTGATCCCAATTCTAGGAATATACCCTAAGAAGCCTGAAACACCAATCAGAAAGAATATATGTACCTCCATGTTTGTAGCAGCACTATTTACAATAGCTAAGATCTGGAAACAGCCCAAATGTCCATTAGTAGACTAATGGATAAAAAAGCTGTTGTACATATACACAACGGAGTACTATGCAGCTATAAGAAAGAAAGATCTCTTATCCTCTGAGATGACAAGGAGGGACCTGGAAAGTGTCATCCTAAGCAAAACAAGCCAAACAGAGAAAGACAAGTATCGTATGATCTCACTTATTTGTGGAATATAATGAACATAACAGTCTGAGGAATGGGGTAGTCCCAGAGTTGTGGAAGTGGGGTACAGACTGACAGTCCCCAGAAGAGGGGGTGGTGGGGGAGAGATAAACCACAGAACTTATATTCATGTGTCCATGAACAATGGACATGGACAACAAGCTGGGGACAGGGTGGGGAGGGAGGGGAAGGGGGAATCAGTGGGGGAAAAAGGAGAAACATTTGTAACACAAATAAATAAATTAATAATAATAAAAGAATATCATAGTAGAGCAGCCAAAGAGAATATGTACCTAAGAATGAATGATAGCAAACAGTTTGGGAAGGAGGATACAAAAAACATTGTAGACAATTCTAGTAAGGATCAAGAAAAGCACTTGGGCCCTAGCCAGGTGGCTCAGTTGGTTGGAGCATTATGTCATACACCATAAAGGGTGCGGGTTTGATCCCCAGTCAGGTCATGTACAGGAGGCAACTGATCAATGTTTCTCTTTCACATCCATGTTTCCTCTCTCATCGATGTTTCTCTCTCTCCCTCTCTCCCACTCTATCTGAAGATAAATGGAAAAATATCTTTGGGTAAGGATTTAAAAAAATAAAAGATGTGAACTGCTGAGTAGTCATCTGTTAGAAAGGTGGGCAGTGTTAGACTAAGGCTGTCCCTATCAAATGACAGACTCTTTCTTTACCCTGAACCTCAGTTACAGCTCAAGAGAGCATCTGGCTGCCTTTCATGGACACAGTGCTACATTGTGATGAGAAGACCATCATCATAGGCCACAGTTCCGGGGCCATTGCAGCCATGAGGTGCGATCTTTGTTGAATTATCACCCCCGTGTGGGCTCCAACCAAGTCTGCTTGGGAAGTATCTTGGGTGTATCTGGTTTCCACTGTAGAGGAAACAGTGCTGACCTCAAAAGTGGTAACAGAATGTATCCTAGTCCCTTTCTGGATTGGTTAGTGGATTGAAAATTTTTTTTCTTTTATTAACTGGGATATAGTGATCTTTTAAAAACATTTGTGGCTCCAACCCTAGCAGCTGCCTATCCCTTCAGGAAAACTACTCAGCCTTCAAGGCTCCCAGAAGCTCTGATGTCATTTCTACCTTCACTATCCCCAGCCTGGTTTACAGACTTCATTGCAGTTCCTTAACATGCTAAGTGTACACCTACCTTATGCCTGTGCTTGCTCTTGTTCTATCTGGAACTCTGTCCCTAGATACCTGCATGGTTTTTTTTCTCCTTTTTAGGCTCTGCTCAAATGTCCCCTTTCACTGCACCCTTTGTCTAATCACTCCATTTGAAACAACCTCACCCCACTGGTTCCTATTCCCATGATACATTATTATCCCCCTTATTATCTATACCACTTTCTACCATCTGACATACTGTTGCATTTCTTTTCTTTCTCCTGCCAATAGAATGTAAGATCCATGAGGGTTAACTTTGTTCATTCTGACTCTGAAACCCCAGTGCCTAGAAGAGTAGTGTCTGGCATATGGTAGGTGTTCAATAAATATTTTTTAGTTGTTAGAGGCTGTTACCTTCCCTCCTTAACCCCTCAGTCCTTAGGATTCATAGGCATATCCCTGATGCTCTCCAAAGAACATTACAACTCTCCCTTTAGGTTTATAAGGCCTAGAGGGTAGCTGAATAAGCCTGTTGGGGTTGGGTTTCTTCCATATTTGCCAGGCTGGGTGACAAAGATTGCTGTCTGATCACAAGCAGTCCTTCAGGATGTCACATGAATTGCATGTGAGAGAATCTTGCCAAATTCTACAACCTTTCAACCACAGTAATCAAAGCTACAAGAATAATAATGCTTTCCAATATGGAACTACAGAATTATAGTACAGCCAATGTTTATAAGCTGCCAGGGGTTGTTTAGAAAATGAAGAAATCCCTTTATGCTGAAATCTGTACCAACTCAAGGCCAACTGAATTTTTCTCAGACCATTGCCTAATAAAGATGTGCCTTCTTTTAAAGATCCCTGTAACTTACTGCAGAATTGTCAGCCACCTTCTAAGGACTAACTTCTAAAGTTAAGGTAGGCAAAGAGAAAAATAGATGCCAAGACCATCGGGGATTGTACGGGAACAGGATATTGACAGAGTCACAGAGGACCACCCCACAGATTAGTTGTTAATCACAAAGGGGAAATAGTGTCTCTACCATAAAAGGATTTGATAGATATCACCTTAAGCCATCAATGTTCTTTGTTAAAATGTTTTTTTTTTTTAATTGATTTTATTAGAGAGGGGAAGAAAGAGAGAGATAGAAACATCAACATGAGAGAGATACATCCATCAGCTGCCTCCTTCATGCCCCTCACTGGGGACCAAGCCTGCAACCCGGGCATGTGCACTGACCAGGAATTGAACCGGGACCTCGCAGTCCATGGGATGACACTCAATCCACTGAGCCACACCAGCCAGGTTTAAGCCAGCAATTTTCAACCAGAGTGCCACAGCAGGCACACTGGTGTGCCGCAACAATTTTTGAAACATGCAATACTTGACTATCTATTTAGGGTCACTAACCTCTTTTCCCTTAGATTGTCAAATAACAGAATGACATCAGCCTCGGCCAGTTTGGCTTAACCGTTAGAGCGTTGGCCCACAGACCAGAGTCTTGAGTTTGATTCCTGGTCAAGGACATGTACCTTGGTTGTGGGTTCGACCCCCAGTCCGTTGGGGTCATGCAGGAGGTAACCAATCCATGTTTCTCTCTCTCTCCCTTCCTTCCTCCCACTGTATCTAAAAAAAAAAAAGGAAAAATATCCTTGGATGAGGATTAAGATAATAGTAAACAGCTAACACAATAGCTGTCCAGTGTGAATCAAAATTATACCTATATTTTGTCAGATTGGCAAAAAATATATTTTTGTGTGTGCCGCAGAGTTTTAGTAATTAGTGTATGTCTGCCATGAGATGAAAAAGGTTGAAGATTGCTGCCATAAGCAAGTAATCAAACAATCTCAGCAATAATAGGACAAAATGGCTTCAGGTGCCCCTAATGGATGGGCTGGGAGGTTTACATCATTGCCTATGTAGTAACCTTGCCTAAAATGTCTAACCTCAGTCTAATCATGAGGAAACAGGCAAATACATTATGGGATAATGTACAAGACAACTGGCCTAAATTTTAAAAAACTGTCAATGTATTTAAAAGATTTAGAAGTGACCATAGAGTCATGAAAAGCAAATGCAATGCATGATCTTTTTTTTTTTTATCCTCACCCGAGGACATTTTTCCATTTTCTGTTCAGGTAGAGTGGGAGGAAGAGAGAGGAACAGAGAGAGAGAGAAACATCGATGTGAAAGGAACACATCGAGTGGCTGCCACCCGCACGACCAACCAGGGCCGGGGACAAACTGCAACCGAGGTACATGCCCTTAGCGGAAACTGAACCCGGGTCTCTCTGGACCGCAGGCCGACACTCTAACCGCTGAGCCAAACCGGCCAGGGCGCAATGCATGATCTTTGGCTCTAGGATGGAAAAGCAGTTTTAAAAAGCATTTTTGGTGGAATTGGGGAAAAAGAAGTTAATATTAGTCTCTCAATGTTAAATTTACTAGATGTAACAGTGGTACTGTGGTTATATGAGAATGGCCTTAATCTTAGGGATATGTGAAGTATTTAGTGGTGAAATGTAGCAAAATTAATGAATCAAGGTGCTTATTATTATTTTCTATAGATTTGAAAATTGTTCAAAACAAAAGGTTGGGGAAAGAAGGTTAGGGGCAAGAACAAAATATCAGCCCTAACTCTTTTCTGGCACAAAGGCTCCTTGAAACTGTTACCATTCTGTCTTACCTTAAGCCTAGTTTTTGCTGTTTGCAGTAGTTAACTGTTTACCAGGCACTGTACTAGGCACTAAGGTCACAAAGAAGCTGATTGTTTACATTGAGGAAGATAGATATAATAAATATAATATGTAATATAATAAATATAATAATAGTACACAAACGAGTAATACAATGTAACATAGAGTGTGTGGTAAAAGAGGTACATTTCTGCTGTTCAGTGTTTATTAAAATACGGTTAGGTTGCCCTGGCCAGTTTGGCTCAGCAGTTAGAGCATCGGCTTGCAGACCAAAGAGTCCCCGGTTACATTCCAGCCAAGGGCATTTACTTTGGTTGCAGTTCATCCCGGCCCTGGTTGGGGTTGTGCGGGTGGCAACCAGTCAATGTGTCTCTCTCACAGTGATGTTTCTCTCTCTCTCCCTCCCACTGTCTGAATGTAAATGTAAAAATATCCTTGGGTGAGGATTAAAAAATAATAATATATATAGTTGGGTTGGGAGAGGTGGCATGCCTTGAAATGCAGATTCCTAGGCCTTATTCCCAACCTTCTGAATCATGCTCTGGGACTGAGCCTGGAAATCTACGTATTAACCAAATAATGCTGATGCATATTAAAGGTAGATTGCACACACCAAAAAAAATGATTACACTTTTTATGTGTATTCAGAAAGGATTGCGGAAGAGGTTTGGATACCTTGAAAAATGAGTAGAAACTCAAGTAGCCAAGGTTAAGTGATTAACCATTGGGCTTGTAGTTCTGCAGTTTCCTTATTATTTTTCATATTAACTTGAACAGCATATAGCACATGCTTCCTGTAAGCTAAACCAAATGAGTTTTTTTTGTAGTTAACTTTCATGATCAGATTTAACATTAAATATTAGCTGCTATCATTTCTCTCTCCCCAGGTATGCAGAAACACATCGAGTATATGCGACTGTATTAGTGTCTGCATACACATCAGACTTAGGAGATGAAAATGAGCGTGCAAGTGGTAAGTTTGAAGGCAGAAACCCCAGAAGAGCTCTTTCTCTGGTCACAGGGCTGCTTGTTCAGGTTATAAAACAGCATTGTCTTTTGGATAGGCTAAAAACAAAATCTAATAGCACATGAAATATTTATTTTAAAAATGTTTTTATTGAATTTTTTTTGAGAGAGAGAGGAAAGGAGAGATAGAAACATTGATGTGACAGAGAAACAGTGATTGGCTGCCTCCTACATGCCTTCTACTGAGGATTGAGTCTGTAACCCAGGCATGTGGCCCGCCTGGGAATTGAACTGGGACCTCTCGGTCCATGAGATGATGCTCAATCCAGAACTACACCAGCCAGGCACAGATGAAAAATATTTACAACCCACCTTTACATATAAGTTTGGCACTTTGAGAGGTCATAGACCATTTCTAGTCTATAGTCTAGAGTTGAACCCTCAAGGCCTGACTGTATTTGAGTCATACTTCCCCTTCACTAATACCTATGGCATCAAACCCTATAGATCTGAAAACCACTTAGGTTCTGATTCTTTGTGTTTCTGTTACGGTCTTCACTAGTAATTTTAGAATAGCTAGAATGGAAATCATCCATTGGCACTGATAGGTTATATATATTTTTCTCCTTAGGCTACTTCAACCGCCCCTGGCAGTGGGAAAAGATCAAAGCCAACTGCCCTCACATTGTACAGTTTGGCTCCACTGACGATCCTTTCCTTCCCTGGAAGGAACAACAAGAAGTGGCTGATAGGTTGGAAGCCAAATTGTACAGATTCACTGACCGCGGCCATTTTCAGAACACAGAGTTTCCTGAACTGATTAATGTGGTAAAGTCTATGCTGAAAGTACCAGCACAGAAAGAATGATTTCTGCTATTTTGCATGCCAGTATAGTAGAGCAATGATCAGATTATAGGTAAATAATCATAAAAAAGTTTCTAAGGATCAAAGACAAAAACAAAGTTTCAATTTTCAAACTAAGTTACAAATAGCATTTCCATTTTCTATAGAATCTACATCTCTCCAAATTGCTATGAATTAAAGTAATATTTTCTCTGTATGATAAGGGACATAAGGACATCTTTACCACCCAAAGTAAGATAGAGATGGAGCCCTGGCCGGTTTGGCTCAGCGGTTAGAGCGTCGGCCTGCGGTCCGGAGAGACCTGGGTTCGGTTTCCGTTGGGGGCACGTACCTCGGTTGCAGTTTGTCCCTGGCCCTGGTTGGTCGTGCGGGTGGCAGCCATTCGATGTGTCCCTTTCACGTCGATGTTTCTCTCTCTCTCTTCTTCTCTCTCCCTCCCACTCTATCTGTGCAAAAAAATGGAAAAAAAAAAAGATAGAGATGGAACCCAGATTTCTTGATTTCCAGCCCAGATTAAAACTAAATAAATTTCATATGCTATAGGAGTTGTACTCCTCTTTGACGTAAAACTTTTCTGTATTGTTGGACAAAGAAAACATCACTGAAGATCCAGAGTGTTGGCCTGGAGCTCAGAACTCTAGCTGTTGTTTTGAGCTAGCCCAGGATATTAAACCCAAACTGAGGCCTTCACCTTTGACACCTTGTCTCCCAACCCCCAGTCCTTCAGACAGGCTGAGAGGGAATTTGAGCAGTCAACTTTATATGTGTAGGTTTACAGTGGTGAGGATAAGGGCAATGTAGAGAACTCATGACATGTGGGAATGTAGCAAGGTGTTGCCAATTTTTTGATTTTTCAAGGAAAAAACTTTATACAGTGGTTTTTGTATGCAGGGAATATATAGGTATATAAAATCCATATATACATTATGTCCAGTCCATATATGTACCAATTAGTTGGCAACTAAATAATAAATTTACAAACACTGCAACACACACAAAGGTCATTCACTTGTGGCCTCTGCCATAATTATTAACTTAAGCAGGGGCTCTCTACTGCCCGGCCGGTGTGGCTCAGTGGTTGAACATCAACCTATGCACCAAGAAGTCACCGGTTCGATTCCTGGTCAGGGCACATGCCCAGGTTATGGGCCCAATCCCCAATGTGGGGGCATGCAGGATGTTCTCATTAATGTTTCTCTCTCTCTCTCTCTCTCCCTAAAAATCAATAGAGAGCGGGGGGAAAAAAAAAAAACTCTCTACAAAGCCTGAGAAATGAACATGTCAAAGGATAAAATCATGAAAACAATTTGAATTTAGATCAAATTTTTAAAAATAATCTTTCCATTCCTCAAATTTTTGTTCTGTAGAGTTCTTCAACTTCCACGGTCTTTTAGATCTCTTTCAAGCATCACTCCATGATTTTTCTTCTGATCATGATACATCAAAAAATCCCTTTTCATTTCTCAACAATTTTTGCCTATCACTAAGTATTGCCTGAAACAATTCCCAGTCCATTACTACAGAAAGTTCTACTGGACAGCACTGACTGGAGTCTAGGGCATATATTTTATATTCTATTTCATCCACAATCTAATAATAGTTCAAAGTAAAAATGACTCAACTTGAAATTACTTGTTTGACTAGTTTGCTTAATAAAAATCATGGTTCCATAAAATTTACTCATCACCAAACTTAGATCATAGTAGTTTCACAGAAGAATCCCACATCAACTATTCATTTAAGCCATCAAATCGTAGATTGCCATGAATCTGTTTGACTGTGTATGGCTCACTAACCACAGCAAGGCCTTGACAGACTCCTATTCTCAGGTGAGTAAAATATCTTATACTAAATGAAAATGAACTGTAAGGATTAGGACTTCACTCACAACTAGATTTTTGGTGTTGTCATGAGTTTAGAGCTCCACTATTTGTTTTGATCAAAGTTTACTCCTGTACATAAATATACAATTACCGTAAGGGTAGCTGTATTTTTAAATTATTGTCTCTTTTCTCCTTCAGTTAATATTCAGACTTTTAAAACATGCTATGAGAAAAATGTTGAGATTCTTTATTCTAGTAAGGCAAGGGATACTTTTGTTTTAGCCATTGATTATAAGCTTTAAAAATCAATCTCTGAAAAAAAAAATCAGTCTCTGATTATCAAAGACATAATGCAAAGTCTGTAATTAAAACTGGTTCCTATGAAAACAACAATGAGGTATCACCTCAGACCTGTCAGAATGGCCGCCATCAATAAATCATCAAACAAATGTTGGCGAGGGTGTGGAGAAAAGGAGACTCTAGTACACTGCTGGTAGGAATGCAGATTGGTGTAGCCACTATGGAAAACAATATGGTGCTACCTCAAAAAATTAAAAATTGAACTTCCATTTGACCCAGTGATCCCACTTCTAGGAATATACCCTAAGAAGCCTGAAACACCAATCAGAAAGAATATATGTACCCCCATGTTCATAGCAGCACTATTTATAATAGCTAAGATCTGGAAACAGCCCAAGTGTCCATCAGTAGACGAATGGATAAAAAAGCTGTGGTATATATACACGATGGAGTACTATACAGCTCTAAGATAGATCTCTTATCCTTTGAGACGACATGGAGGGACCTGAAAAGTATTATCCTAAGTGAAACAAGCCAAGCAGAAAAGGACAAATACCACATGATCTCACTTATATATGGAATATAATGAATATAACAGACTGAGGAATAGGGTAGACCCAGAAACACAGAAGAAGGGTACAGACTGACAACCCTCAGAAGAGGGGTTGGTGGGGGGTGGGAAGAGATAAACCACAGAACTTATATGCATCTATGCATAACCAATGGACGTGGACAACAAGGCCGGGGACGGGGCAGGGGGTGGGGTGGGGAGGAGGGTGTCAATGAGGTAAAAAGGAGAAATATCTGTAATAAAAATAAAATTAAAAACAAAAACAAACAAAAAAACTGGTTCCTGCTCTCCAATTCTAATTCTCCTCCAACTTCAGTTTGCTTAGTAAGTAAGACTGCCTCTGCAGATATTATCCTTCCAACTCTCACTGGGGGTAGAAGAGAAACCTGTAGTTGCAGGCTCCCAGATTCTTTGTATCTTATATCCAATACCTACAGTGATCTTTGTTTCAAAGAGCCAGTGTCATCAAATGCTAATTCTATACAGTTGGCCACAGAATTTATCTGGTTCTTAAAAATTGTTTTTTGAGCTGAATTTATTTTACTAGCTCCATTTATCTCAAAAGAACCATTCTAATGGTTGCTCACTTAGAGTATCTCCAAACCGGTGTTTGAACTCAGGCCTAGGGGGTAGCTGAGCTTGAATTCCTTTCCTTTGGTACCATGCTTTTGGCCTAGACACAGAAACGTTTTTTAAAAATATTTTAAAATTGATTTTAGAGAGAGAGAAGGAGAGGGAGAGGAAGAGAGAAACATCAATGAGAATCAGTGATCAGCTGCCTCCTGCATGTCCCTCACTGGGGAAAGCCTGCAACCTTGCCATGTGCCCTGACCAGTAATTGAATTGGTGACCTCTTGGTGCATGGGATGACACTCAACCAACTCAGTCACACCAATCAGGGTGACATAGAAACTTAAATGTAGTTAAAAGGGAAAATACAACAGCTGAGACCCTAAAAAGCCCTCCAGCTAAATTCTGTACAATACTACATCAAATAAGCTAGTGTTTTCTATATAGCTAAAGACTGGAATTGAAAATGCTATTAGAACTGAGGACAGTTATAATGGCTTTCTGCTCAGTTTAGACTTACCGCACTATGATTCTTAGAATAGAATAAGGAAAAGAAACAAATCTAAAACCAGACAAGAACAGAAGAATGGTACCCTTCCCCAAAATAACGTGTGAATGGAGGGCAATAGATTATTTTTAGTTTTAATTTTAGTTAAATAATAAAAATCTAGGAAAAAATTCTAGTAAATAATAAAATTGAGCCACCAAGTGAAATCGTAAGACTTTAACAAAGAAGGTCTAGTGAAAAGAATCCTTCAGAATGAGAATAATAGTTAATATTTATGGACTGAAAACATATCCTTGACAATGGTCATTTAGATTTAAAGTAAATACAGTAGCATAATCCTCTGAAAGAATAATTCTGACATGAAAAGGAATTAGGAGTGTGGAAAAAGGATGTTCCAATTCTCTCCTCCACTCATGCATAGACTGCTTTATTCCTTCCTTTCCTGTTTTGATTTCTTCTCAATGGAACCATTCAGAAAACAGAAATGTTGATAATGAACCAGATATAAACAATTTCCAATGAAGTAACCTTAATAACTTCAAAACAAGCATTTTTAGGCTCTAGCCATTATCCATTGGTAAATATACATTTGTTGGCTTCTTTTTCCTTGGACAATCAAGTCTTGAAAGCTTCAGGTGTTGTCCTCCAGAATTTTGAGAGTATTTTATTTATTGAAGAATGGATTTCACTACTAACCTTATCTGCTTCACATTCTGTTGGTTACTCTACCAATATAAATTTAGTCTTCATAGATAAAAAATATATTTTCATAGCAGCAAGTCTGTATCCATTATTGTGAAGTTTCCTTTCAAGGGAATTTGATGTTCCATCATGAGTTAAATAGCTCTCTATTAAAATTCGAGCCACTCTGTCATGTAAATACAGTTAGATGGTGAAATCTCACCACCTTCATGGCAGTCATCGAAAACCTTTAAAAAAGAAAATGTTTATATTCAAACTGAAGGTTTAAAAAAATTATTATACTAATAAAGTCAAATTAAATGTCAGTTATAACTCAAATTTATGTTAACAAAATATTCAAGACACAACCATTTATTTAAAGTGCTATTAAAAACAAAACTTTCAAACTGAAAGAGATTAGGACTGTATTTAAGAACATAACTATAATAGGACCTGCTCTGTGATCATATAGTTAACGGGAAACCTTTTACTACATCATGAAGATGACCACGTTTGCCTGTCCACTAGGGAAAAGGCTGTGTGCGAGTAACACAGGAGTACAAGAATGGAGATCTATACATAAGAATGACTTAGCCCTGGCCAGTATGGCTCAGTGGTTGAGTGTTGGCCAGCGGACCACAGAGTCCTGGGTTCGGTTTCCGCTAGGGGCACGCACCACCAAAAAAAAAAAAAGACTGACTTAATTTTGACTAACCAAACATTTCATGTTTGGCCACCTTCCTTTTTGTGAAGGGTAATGAATGTATTCCCAATATGCTAGCCTTTTTTTTTAGTAATTGAAACCATGGCATAGAGTGCTTAATGTATAGGAAAGGGCCAGTATAATGGAATAAAACAGACTTGCAGCCCAAGAATATAAATGCAATGAGGGCTGGGACAGTACCTATATATAGTATACAGTTGGCACTCATAAACTATATGGGAAATGAATGGATGAAGAGTGCTTGGACATGCTGCAGGGGAACGAACATTATCTCTGAGTTTGAATCCTGGTTGTTACTTCTAAACTACATGCTCTTAGGTCTTCCTTAGCCTAAGTTCTCTCCTATTTAAGGGGAAGTAACACCATTAGCTCAAAGGGACATGAGGAGGATTAAATGAAACCACATAAATTTTTAAAAACATGTCTGGCAATGGCATGTTCTCAATAAATCTCATTTCCACCCTGGCCAGTTTGGCTCAGCGGTTAGAGCATCGGCCTGCGGTCTGGAGAGACCCGGGTTCGGTTCCCGCTAAGGGCATGTACCTTGGTTGCAGTTTGTCCCCGGCCCTGGTTGGTCGTGTGGGTGGCAGCCACTCGATGTGTCCCTTTCACGTCGATGTTTCTCTCTCTCTCTCTCTCTCTCTCTCTTCCTCTCTCTCCCTCCCACTCTATCTGTGCAAAAAATGGAAAAATGTCCTCGGGTGAGGATAAATAAATAAATAAATAAATAAAAATAAATCTCATTTCCCACCCTACTTAGGTTAAATGATTCATCGTTGTCAAAAATTGTCCATTTTAGGGCCAAGAGCAGAAAACACAAGTTTCTTATGTAAGGCAATGATTTGTTCATTAAACATCAGTCATCAAGGATACATGGAGGTTTGAGTAGTTCTTGGTCAACCCTGAGGGATAGAAAACTTAAGTGTGCTTGCTGGTACATTTTGTGGCATTTGCATTTGGTAGCAATCAGGTGTAAAGTGAAGCCACTTTAACTCACCGGGCAGAGTCCACAGGGGGCCCGGACCAAACCCGTCGGTGGGATGATTGGATTGACCGCCCTATATAGTTTCATGTGTCCATCTACACTGCCAACTGTGCCTTCTTTTGCAGCGATGATAGTCATCTCCACTTTCCCATCATATATGAGTGTATTCAAGATGGTTTCAATGTCCTCCATGGACAACTCTACCTATAAAAGGGATATATTAAAAAAGAAAACAAAAAGGATAAGAAGACATTCTTTTGGAGGAGGTTAAAAACAAGTAATCAAACGCACAAAGAGGCTGAATAATGGTCTAAGTTGGCGCAAATCACTCAAATTCTGGGGACAGAAATCTTAAACTGAATTTGACACTTTCTAGTATTGTCCCTCTTTTAATAAAATCTAGAGTATTGTAGTAACATTTATTTGGCAAGAACTTGGAGATTTATGAAATGCCTGAACAGAAAGGTACTTTGGGAAATGAAAAATGACTTGCCCAAGCGTCCACTTCAGTTTCTTCTCTAACCATGAAAAGCATTCAGCAGTTTCCTTATGTAGAGGACCCTATGTATAGGTCTTCAAAAAATATGCTGATAACACCACATATCTCTTAAGAAGGAAAATACCAATAAATGACAAGTGATGTGATGACTGATGTTTAGCACAAATGTGCCTGAGAAAGTCAAGAACTTGTCAAAAGAGACTTTTGAATTCTGGTAGTGAAGTGTACTACCAGGCCTCCACTCTGCTGCTCTATCTCCCAAGCTCAAGTACATATAGTTCAGACAGCGCCAATGGCAATGACCAACTTTGCCTAACTGGCTCAAGAAAGTACTTTCTCATGTATGCACGAACAATGGACATGGCCAAAACTGGGGACAGGGCAGGGAGGGGGGAATCAGTGGGGGGAAAAAGGAGAAACATCTGTAACAAAAATAAATTAATTAATTAAAAAAAAAAAAGAAAGTACTTTCTCAAAGTGGGTTCTGTAGAATGTCCACAGGTTATCACCTGAACAAAGGGTCTGGGTCAAATATGTTTGCAATACACCATAAACTATACCCCTATGATAAATAAGTTTTTAAAAATAAGATTAAAATTAGAAATGGAATTCTGACCTTACTGATCCCTAGTTCACAGATATATTTCCACACTTCGTGTGATGAAGCAAATGAACTATTTCTTTGTATCATTGGATTCTGTTTGCTTTCTCGGGCTGTTTCTGCCTATAAGGATAGAAATGCAAATCTCAGCAAGAACACTAGTGTTTTCTAAATACAGTTTATACAGAGTGAAATCAACAATAGAACGTATTTTGGTAAGCAAAAAGTACCAATTTAATTCCTATAAAACAAGACCTAAAAAATTAAACATTGTTTATGAAGAAATTTTAAAAGAAGTGGTTGTTTACTCAATTATGCCTCACCTTGGTTTGTAGGAACTTAAAACACTGCTGGTTAAGCACCTCTACAAATTCAGATTCAAAATCTTGGTCACTATACCAGGCTCCCCCAGTCACAGACCGGTCAGGCTGCAGGTTATAGAGCATATACACCTTTTTTTTTGAGGCCTAGAAAAAAACATGCACAGCAGTTGTGGTTATAAGCTAACAGTCTCCCAAAACAGATTGGAAAAAACCCCAAAACATTCTATTTTAGAATTTTATTTTGCCCAGCCAGTGTGGCTCAGTGGTTGAGTGTTGACCCATGCACCAAGAAGTCGCTGGTTCAATTCCTGGTCAGGGCACATGCCCAGATTGTGGGCCCGGTCCCCACTGTGGGGGGGCATGCAACAAGCGGCCAATCGATGTTCTCTCTCATTGATGTTTCTGACTCTCTTCCTCTCTAAAAATTAATAAAGAAAACAAATTATTTTATTTATTTATTTTTGTTAATCCTCACTTGAGGGAGAGAGAGAGAGAGAAACATTGATGTGAGAGACACATCGATTTGTTGCCTCCTGCATAACCCCGAGTGGGGCTGGGATCAAACCTGCAATCTAGGTACATGCCCTTGGCAGAATCGAACCCACAACCTTTTGGTCCAAGGGCCAATGCTCTTAACCACTGAGTCAAACTGGCCAAGGCATATTTTAGAGTTTTAGATTCACAGAATTATTGTGAAAATGGTATAGAATTCCCGTTTACTTTGTGATGTTTTCCCTATTACTGACACCTTACATTAACAGGGCACATTTGTTACAACTGATGAACCAATACTGATATATTGTTATGAGCTAAAATCTACACTTCATATTCCTTAGTTTTTCTGTAATGTCATTTTTCTGGTCCAGGATTCTATTCAAGATACGGATTATATTTAGTTGTCATGTCTCCTGAGGGAAATTTTAATTGTGATAGTTTCTAAGTGTTGTTATTGATGAAAGTGACAATTTTGAGGATTACTGGTTAGATATTCTGTAGCATGCCCTTATTTGGGATTTTGGTATGATGTTTTTCTGATTAGACTGAAAAAAAGACCACAGAGATCAAATGACCTTATCACATCATGTCAAGGGTATCTGTTACCAAATGATGATTGGTTGTCATTAATATGACTTACCAGTGTTGACATTAACCTTACTCACCTGGCTAAAGGTTGGTTCACAATTTTGTTCACTGTAGTTAGTTTTTAATGTTTTTATTGATTTGAGAGATGGAAGGGAGAAAGAAAAACACTGATCAGTTTCCTCCTGCATGCACCCTGAATGGGGACCAAACCTGAAACTTAGGCATGTGCCCTGATTAGGAATCAAACCTGTGATCTTTTGGTGCACGGAACAATGCTTAACCAACTAAACCACATAGCCAGGGCTGTAGTTCCTTTTTATCCTGCCCTTTCCTTGGAAGAAAGTCACCATGTATGGCCCACAGTTAAGGATTGGGAATTATGCTCTACTTCCTTTAGGGTGGAGTATCTAAATAAATTTGGAATTCTTCTGTATAGAAGATTTGTTAACCTGCCCCATTTATTTATTTATCTAAACATTTATCTACTGGCATGGATTCATGAATATTTATACTACTTTACTTTGTAACCTCGAACACATCATGCTAAGTGAAAGCCAGACCCAAAAGACCATGTACTGTATGATTCCATTTATAGGAAATGTCCAGAACAGGCAACTATAGATACAGAAAGTACATTAGTAGCCCTGGTAGGTTTGGCTCAGTGGTTAGAGCATTGGCCCTCGGACCAAAGGGTCATGAGTTCGATTCCTGGTCAAGGGCATCGAACCTGGGTTGGAGGTTCTATCGCAGGTCCTCGTCAAGGTCATGTGGGAGGCAACCAATTGATGTATCTCTCTCACAACAATGTGTCTCTCTCTCCTCTCATTCCCTCCCTTCCATTCTATCTAAAAATCAATGGAAAAATATCCTTGGGTGAGGATTAACAACAAAAAAAGAAAGTATATTAGTGATTGTCAGTGTCTGGGGGCAGGGAGGCTGGGAAGTGGCTGCTAGTGGGGTCACATTTTGAGGTAATGGAAATGTTCTAAAGTTAGAAGAGTGTGATGGTTGCACAACTCTGTGAGTATGTTAAAACCCAATGTATAATATACTTTAAGAGGATTAATTTTATAATATGTAAATTATATCTCAATAAAGCTATTAAAAATAAAGATGTAGAAGAATGGTTAAAATGAAGCTAGATAATGGGTATGTGGAAATTCATTATATTTTTTTCGTTACTTTTGTATATATTGGAAATTACCAATTCAAACTAAGAAATTATAGTCTAACGTAAGGAGTGGTATGACATAAATATCATTGATAAATAAAATCAAATGAATATCAAATCTTTTTTTTTCTGGCAGTTCACCTGATATTTTGTTTTTGTTTTTTTCAATTACAGTAGACATCCAGTATTATTTTATATTTGTTTCAGGTAGAAAGCATAGTAGTTAGATAGTCATATACCTTACAAAGTGATGCCCCCAATATTTCAAGTACCCACTTGGCACCATACATATAACATTATCAACTATAATCCCTATCTATGCTATACTTTACACTTCCATAACTATTTTGTAACTATCAATCTGTACTTCTCAATCCCTTCACCTTTGTACCAAGTCTCCAAATCCCCCTCCCCTCTAGCAACCATCAATTTGTTCTCTGTATGTATGTTGTTTTATTTATTCATATATTTTATTCTTTAGATTCCACATATATGTAAAATCATATCTGTCTTTCTCTCTGACTTACTTCACTTAGAATAATACTCTCTGGGTCCATCCATGCTGTCACAAATGGTAAATCCATTCTTTTTTATGGTTGAGTAATATTACATTGCGTAAATGTACCACCGCTTTTTTTTTTAAAAGATTTTTTTTTTTTTTTTTTTAGAGATAAAGAGAGAGGGAGAGAGAGACAGAAACATCGAGAGAGAACATCGATTGGCCGCCTCCTGCATGTCCCTCACTGGGGATTGGGCCCACAACCTGGGCATGTGCCCTGACCAGCAATTGAACTGGTGACCTCTTGGTGCATGGGTTGATGCTCAATCGTTGAGCAATGCAGGCCAGGCTATACCACTACTTTTTTATCTACTCATCTACTGATGAGCACTTGAGTTGCTTCCATATCTTTGTTATTTGCTACAATGAGCATAGGGGTGCACATATTCTTTTAAATTAGTGTTTTGGATTTTTTTTTGGATATATACCCAGAAGTGAAATTGCTGGGTCATAAGGCAGTTCCATTTTTAATTTTTTGAGGAACCTCCATAGTGTTTTCCATAGTAGCTGTGCCAATTTGCATGAATTATCAAATTCTTATATGCTGAAATTTGTGCTCAGGCAAACTTTAGTCTAGGGGAATTTTGGCTCCTCTGACACCTAAATCAGTGAGGTCAGCAGCAGATATCCCTAATGGACCCAGCTCTGGAGCATGGAGCCCCTCAAGGATGTGATGGGTAGGGCAGGATGAGGAGCAGAAATGCTATGTGCTGGAACAGATGTTCTACCTAGGCAGGGATCTTTCTCTGATTTGTTCATTAATATATTCCTAGCACCCAGACAGTGCCTGGCACATAGCAAACACACAACAGACATTTGTTCAATGAGTAATCTAATATACCAGGATGATGTAAATTCTCTTACACATCACAAAATCCAAGAAAAATGTTCATGATTCCAAAAATTCTTTCCTGAATAGAGTAAATTAGCTTTAGATTTTTGAGTGGGCAAGATAATAAGAGTTAACTAGACAGTGACATATCTAAACAGCATCTCCAAACCAGTATGAGCTAAATGTTTAAAAATCGTTTTTGATCAGCTGTTTTAAATCACAACATAGCTTAAAAAACAATACAAATCTGAAATATATTTGGAGTCAACATCTGGGAGAAGAAAAGAGAACACTACTCACTGCCACAGACTTAACAGCTTTGATAAGCTTTTTACTTTCCAAATTCTTTAAAATTTTGTTGATTTCTGTTAATGGCAAATTACTTTTGTATCGGATATCTCTGCTCCATATTCCTATAAGAAAGTAAAGTAAAAAGAAGTAGAAAACTATAGATATTGTGCTTATAATCCCATTACTCATATCACATTTCAAAACCAGCAAAAAATATAAGTATATATCCCTAGAGCATAGCTATAGGAAAAATTAAGTGACTTAGAGGTAAGAATCTCACATAAAGTAACAAAATTATGCAAAACAATACGTAAGTTATATGCTCTATTTTCTATGGAAATTTCTTAGAATCCTAGTGTGGAACCTTTTAAAAAACAATTGAAAAGGACATTTTTGTGATGGAAGAAAAGTCTTGAATGTTATTGAATTTATATAGTCATGTGCTACATATTAACATCTCAGTCAATGATGGACCACATGTATACTGGTGGCTCCATAAGATAATAGAGCTGAAAATTCCTATCACCTGGTGACGTCACAGCTGTCCTGATGTTGTAGCCCAACTCATCACTCATGTGTTGTGGTAATGATGCTGTAAATAAACCTGCCAGTCCTATAGCATATACAATTATGTATAGTACATAATACTTGATAAGTGACTATGTTACATATTTACTATACTATACTTTTAATCATGAGTTCAGAGTATACTCTTCCTTACAAAAAAAAAAAAAAAGTCTGCTGTAAAACAGTATGCTGCAGTAGCCTCACAAATCTCCAACCTCATACATCTCATGTTTACTGTGTCTCTTGAGTGTATCCTTTTCTCTTGCACTTGATTCTTGTGTTATTTTGTACAGTAACGTGCTATATACACTTGTAGTTTAGGAGCAATAAGCTCCATATAGCCCAGATGTGTAGTAGGTTTATACCATCTATGTTTGTGTAAGTGAACTCTATGATGTTTGCACAATGTCAATAAAATCACTTAACAATGCATTTCTCAGAACTTATCCCTGTTGTTTGTTAAGTGGTACTTGACTGTATTGTCTCTTCCATCCCCTCCTGCACCCCAACCTCTATTTTCTAGAAATTTCACTTCAGATTGTATATGTGAAACACAAACTTAAATTTGGGCTATGCTTAGTCGCAATCCTCAAGGGAGAGCAAAAACAGCCTTTATGTGAGCACCTATGTCCATTGTTTATACACTATATTTGGGAGATGGAAAATAGGAAGATTATAGTTCTTACAGCCACTAAAAGCCCTTCACAGGAAGGTATAATTTTTCTTTCAAAGAAAGAAATAATGTTATCTGTGAAAAAGAAATTTTACATAAAAATATTTTGCCACATTTTCTTTCCAATGCAGAAGCATAATGAGATAGGAAGAATTTTTTTTTTTAAACAGAGTATGACTTCATAGATCGATCTATCTATCTATTTATTTATTTCAGAGAGGAAGGGAGAGATAGAAACATACATTCATTTCCCTCCCTCCCTCCCTCCCTCCCTCCCTCCCTCCCTCCCTCCCTTCCTTCCTTCCTTCCTTCGAGGAAGGGAGAGATAGAAACATCCATTGGTTGCCTCCTGCATTGGCTTGATCCCTACCAGGGATCAAGGCCACAACCCGGGCAAGTGCCCTGACTAGGAATCGAACTTGCGACCTCCTGCTCTCCTGCTGCATGGGATGATGCTGAACCAAATAAGCCACACTGGCCTGGCTCGTAGGTCTGTCTTTAAAATGTTCCCTGAACTTTCTAATAAACACAAGAATTACATGGTTCCAGACTACATTATAAATGTTAAAACTAATAGATCAAATAGATCCTAAGCAATTTAGATATAGTTCTTCAATGAAGATAGAGGAACTAAATAGCTGTTGACATGATCTAGTCAGACACTGCCATATTACACTATATATCTGTTTTTTTTTCAAAACCAAAGAGACTTTATTAGCCACAATTTATAGATAAGATGAAGAAACTAAGACTTCCAAAGTACAGAGAGTGAGAATTAAAAAGAACCTTAAACCCTGGCCAGCGTGGCTCAGTGGTTAGAGCATTGGCCCAAGTACTGGAGGGTTGTAGGTTTGATCCCCAGCCTTGGCTGGGGCACATGTGGGAGGCAACCAATTGACGTGTCTCTCTCACATCGATGTTTCTCTCTCTCTCTCCCCCGTCCCTCTCTGTCACTCTTTCTAAAATTAATGGGAAAAACATTGTCCTCAGGTGAGGATTAAAAAAAAAAATAGTAAAAAAATAAAAATCAATGGAAAAAATATCCTCAAGTGAAGATTAACAACAACAAAAAAGAACCTTAGGCTTTCATTTATTTTAAATAGATAATACATTCACGTGGTTCAGTATTTGGAAGTTTCTTTCATTCTTGCCCACAGTCATCTAATTCCTGTCCTTTGAGGTAACAATGACATTACTCCCCATGTCCTTCAAGCATATGCATAGTATAGGGCGGGGCAAAAGTAGGTTTATAGTTCATATGGAAAATAATACAATAATTAATAATAAAAGAATAAACTGTTTTGCATACTTAAAATTGTAAACCTACTTTTGCCGCAACCTGTATGAAAGTATGTTATATTTTCCTCTCTTTTTCACATAAAGGGTAGCATACATACTTATCCATACCCTTGGAAGACAGGATCTCAGTCCCTCTATCTGGTTCTAAAGTCAATGTTTTTTCCTACTTCTTCCTTCACATGCTTACCTTTATTTCCTGCATCCTCTATGATCTGATATACTAGTTTTTCTTGGTTATCTGATCCCTTCATTTTACTGCAGGGGAATAAAGTAGAATTAAAAAGGCAAAGAGGTACAGGACAATCTAATAATCTACATAACTACTTAAATGAATTAGCAGGCAAGGTCGTCACACTAACTTATTTACCAAAAGGACTTACCTTAAAAAGAATGAGACAGGGCTATATGTACCAGAATGAAAAGATGTCCAAGAGAGAGTAAGTGAAAAACAGTATGGATAGAATGATCCCATTTTTGTTAAAAAAAAAGAGAGAGAAAGAGATTATATATAAATATATAATCATCTACATGTATTTATATATATCTAGAAGAAAAGATATATACCAAATTATTATGAGCAGTTATCTCTAGGAAATAGAACTCACAGCAGGAGGCAGGATGATATGCAAGAGGTTTAAATTATGCAATTCTGTATCAGCTTTTTGTCAAAAATATATATTACTTTTTTAATAATGAAAGTTTTCTTAATATAATTAGGTAGGCACTTACCCAGCATTCTGAGAATCCTTTATTCTATACAAAAGGCCTGTATTGCTTCTTAAAAGATCCAACTGACCCTAAATTTTTAAAAAATAAAAAATAGCAGTGAATTACTTTGAAGATACATCAAATCCAATGACAAATGTTAATGCATTCTTTAATATTTTACACAGACTAAAATATCCCACCTCCCATAGTTATGTCAGTTCCTTGAGATTTATGTTTTTGATTATCTGTCACATGCAGTGTATTATTTATTTATTATTATTACTTTTATTTTAATCCTCACCCAAGGATATTTTCCCACTTTTGTTCAGATAGAGTGGGAGGGAGAGAGGGGAAGAAAGAAAAAGAGAAAGAGAGAGAAAGAGAGAGAGAGAGAGAGAGAGAAAGACATTGACGTGAAAGGGATACATCAAGTGGCTGCTTCCCCCACGACCCCAACCAGGGCTGGGGAATGAATCGCAACCGAGGTAAGTGCCCTTGACCAGAATCAAACCCGCGACTCATTTGTCCGCGGGCCAATGTTCTCACCACTGAGCCAAACCAGCCACGGCTTATTACTATTTTTAAAATGTTTATAATTGACTTTTTAGAGAGAAAGGAAGGAAGAGAGAGAGAGAAATATCAATGCGAGAAACATCAATCGGCTGCCTCCTGTACACCCTGTACTGGGGACTGAGCCCGCAACCTGGGCATGTGCCCTGACAGGAAATTGGGACCTCTCAATCCACTGAGCCACATGGGCTGGGCTGCAGTGCATTTTTTAAAAACTTAGCTTTTTGTCTTATAATTTTCTAAAATATTAATACCCAACAATTACCTATATGTTTGGTTATATGACTGATGAATTATAAAGAATTATAAACAAGCAGCTCTAGAATAATAGATAAAAATCTGTATTCAAATTAAAACAAATTCAATAAATATAAATAAGTATAATACAAATAAAACATAATTTACATAATATAAAGTTCAAATAAAAATTAACATGCATAAACATTCTATAACATGCCTATTAAATAAAATTTACAAAGTTAATAGTGCATTTACTGATATGTGTGATTTCTTTTATGTTACATGAAAACCAGGCAGAAAGGTCAACCAATGAATAAAAGATCTGCACTTTTGTTTTTCTATAAGAAACCAAAAGTAAAATAAAGCATGTCTGATATGGTTCTGAATTTCCTTGGGTCTGAACTTAGGAGCACCCAGAAGGCCACACCACTTGGTTTCTGGCAGTTTGGGGAAGCCATGGCTAAGAGAGACCCCATTCCCGTATATTAAGACTGGGCAGATCCATGATTTGGAAATGAGTTTGCAGATCCATGATTTGGAAATGAGTTTACAGTAGTACCCTCGTTCCTCTGAACCCACTAAGTGGCAAAACTGAACCACAAAGCTCAGTTTAGAGGCTCCATTCAGTCATTTAATTCAACCTATGAACATTTAATGAACACCAGTACTATAATTATTATTTGCGGCTCCAAACATGAATTCTAAAAGAGAATCAAAATAGAGGTAAGTAATGGGTGGAATGAGCTATCAGAGAAGCTTTGGCCCAATCTGGGGATTCAGGGAGGCTTCCTAGAGACAACAGCAGAGATGAGTTTTAAAGAATAATGAGGAGTTAGTTTTTGAAGAAAGGGAATAAGGACCTTCTAAGCAGGGAAGACAGCATGATCAAAGGATCAGAGAGATGCAACAGCATGATGTGGCAGGGAACCAAAAAAAATCTGTTCATTTTGAAAGCTAACTTTTGAGGCACAATGATGGCAAAAGATAAGGCAGGTAAGGAATGTAGAGGCTCAGTGTGGTCAACATATGAGTTTGGACTTGAATCTCTAGCACTGAAGAAGCATTTCTGGTCGGGAAGTGACTTGGTCAGATCTGTATTTAAGGCAGTTCAGGTGGTCTGCTCTGAGGCAGTTGGAGCCAGGAGAGCCAGTTGGGATGCACTGTAATAGTTCAGTTAAATCCAAGAGCCTGAACACATGCAGGGGTAGTTGGAATGGAAATAGGGGGACAAAATTGGGACTTATTTAAGAGCTAAAATCAGTAATAATTTGTGATTTAATGGTAATTACTCTCTTGTTTAAAATTCTTCAATAGCTCCATGATTGCCTACAGCCTATAACAAATAGGACTGGCAGTAGGTGGGGGTCAGTCACAGATATGGTGAAAGAGGGGGAGGTATTGAGGATGATTTTAAGATAGAAAGGAAAGGGTTGAAAGAATGGTCATAGGACAAAAACATCTTCTCTTGCCATAACCTCCCAGCATCCCTTCCTCTATCCTTCCTGGAGCTGAAGATCTTCATCATAATGAATTGACTAGATATCAACAGTCATTTTTTCCTGGTGCTAAAACAAGGGTCAGTAATTTGGCCCACTGCTTGTTTTTATAAAAAAAAGTTTTATTGAGACACAGCCATGCCCATTTGTTTATATGTGGACCATAGCTACTTTTTTGAAGAGCTGATCTATTATAACAGAACCATATGGCTTGCAAAGCCTAAAACATATACTATCTGGCACTTTATACAAAAAGTCTGCCAACCCCTGAACTAGAGAAAAGATCGAAAAGAACGGTTTAACAGAAAGTTCCCCTGTCCTCAAAGCTCCATATCCAGAGTCCTTAGAAATCCCACAAAGCTGGAAGATTTAAAGAGCAAATCAGGCCCAGATGGTGTAGGCCAGGGCACATGCCCCAGTTTGGGGCTTGATCCCGAGTAGGGGGCGTGCAGGAGGCATCCGATGGATGTTTCTCTTTCATACTGATGTTTCTATTTCTCCCTTCCTCTCTCTAAAAAATCAATAAAAGCATATTTTAAAAATCAGAAATAAAAGCAAATCATCCTCGGTCAGGTAGCTCAGTTAGAGTGTCATCCTGATACGTACACCAAGATTGCAGGTTCGATCTCTGGTTGGGGCACATATATGAAACAACCAATGAATGACACATTAAGTGGAACAAGAAATCAATGTTTCTCTTTCTCTCTCTCTGAAAACAAAACAAAACAAAACAAAACAAAAAAACCAAATTAGCTTTCAGATGATTCCTTAGTATAGCAATCTTTTACTTTCTGCTAAGACAAACTGAAATGCTCTCAGGACATGGGAATTTTGATGATAGCAGAAAGGAAGAAGAAACAGGTAGATTTAGAGCATGGGGTACTACTAGATGGGGTGTTTTGGACAGTAGAGGGAAATGACATTAGGGCTCCAGAACAGAAGAGGTAATAGGTGGAAGGGTTTCACTAAAAAACAAAAACAAAAAAACAAACAAAAACCACTGCTATCACTGGGGGCTGAGTTGGCTCTGTGATGACTCACAGAAAAATGAGGGGGATAGGAAGAAAACAGGTGAGAAGAGACTATGCCTATATGCATCTTAATGACAATTAGATTAACAAATAAAACAGTTTAAACAAAATACATTTATTTCATTTGTCTTGTAAAATGATTGGTAATTATTTCCTCCTTCCTCAGTTCTGGCAGTCTGAGCTGTTCCCTGGTTTAGAATCTTATCAGTCACAACCTAACATACTTTCCAATTTTTTTTTTTTTTTTTTTTGGTACGTGCCCCTAGTGGGAACGGAACCCGGGACTCTCTGGTCCACAGGCCGATGCTCCAACCGCTGAGCCAAACCAGCCAGTGCTTTTATAATCAATAATAGCAAGTAATACAAAATATGTAATTACATTGATTAGTTGGATTCACCTTACCATAGACAACAGTCTATTGATTGCCACTGCCCGCTGCTGAGCTTCTATATGAGGCATTTCGTTTTGAATTACTTGGTCTGTGATTCCATGAGGGAACTGGTGACATAATTCTATAATCCTAGGAACAAAGGTATTAATATTATTCATGTTTTTACTTATTTCAAGAGGCCATGGGGGAAAAACTAGTAGAACAATTTGAAATTGTGTCCTTTTTTTTTTTCATCCTCACCAGAGGACATTTTTCCATTTTTTGCACAGATAGAGTGGGAGGGAGAGAGAGGAAGAGAGAGAAACATCGACGTGAAAGGGACACATCAAGTGGCTGCCACCCGCACGACCAACCAGGGCCAGGGACAAACTGCAACCGAGGTGCACACCCTTAGCGGAACCGAACCCGGGTTTCCCCGGACCGCAGGACGACGCTCTAACCGCTGAGCCAAACCGGCCAGGGCAAAATTGTGTCCTTTTTCACATTTGGCAGATGTCTGGGTTTTTATGATGGTTCTGAATCAAAGTTTTTGAAATACATGTTTATATTATTATTTAAGGAAACCACTTTTTTCCTTGCTAATATGAACTGTAAATTAGAACAAAAGTCAAATGAAAACACAGGAAAAAATATTAATGCTGCGGTTTCAATTTTCTCAGACACAAGTACAAAAGTTAATATCCAGTGTATTGGACAGCCATAGTCTGCAAGCAGAAGGCAAATCAGAAACTTCTGGAGAGAAGCCAAAATTTATGACAATTAACCACAACTGGAACCTGCTTTTGGAATCATACCTACTAAACAGAAATAAGCCCAAATCTTCACTTTGTCATGAGACCCTCGTAGGTTATTCATAACAGTTTGAAAAAGTTGGGTTTTAAAACAACTATGTGGTAACCTAAAAATAGCAGTGCACTGATAGAGAAAATTGAGAGGCTTTAGGCGCCCTACAATCTTGACTTAAATATTGCACTGAAACCAGTTTTGGCTTAATGTTGCTTTGTAATCACAAACTGCACCGTAATTTAGCCCAAACGTCCTGTGGCGGGTGTTCCCAAAGAGACAACAGCGAACTTGGATCAGAACATGTATCCTCAAGTACTACAGTAAAATCTCTACTTTCTCTGTGAGAGTCGATCACCTTAACGCTGGAAGGCAGCGCATGATCACAACTTCCCCATCGGGACAGCTACACAAAATTGCAAACTGCCTAAGTCGTTTTGAACTTGACTTTTGCTCTCCAGGTGGGAGGGGAGGAGGATCCAAACCCGGCAACCCCGACCCTGCGCGCTCACTGAACCTGTTCCAGTATCTCCCGACGGTGCCCGGAGAATGGGTGCGGGTGACCAAATGACCCTGCCACCAGTCGGGGCTCCCGAGCCAGGGACCTCAGCCACCGATTTACCTGTTTTCTATTTCCACTGGATCTGCGTCGGGTGGCTGCAGCTTTACCTTCACCTCAGCCATGAGAACGCAGTTCCTACCCCTGCGGGGAAGAAAAGCGCGCAGCAGTCAGAGAGCACACGGCACACCTGGAGAACCGGCGGAGACTGCGCCCCGCCTGGCGATGGGCCTTCTTCGTGTCACAGCCGGTCCTTCCTTGTCTGTCGGCTTGAGGTGACCAAGCCGCGCCTGCTCCGCCTGACTCCCCGGCGCTGCTACAACCTTTAATTCTTGTTTTCCAGAATTAATTCTTGTTTTCCAGTGCCTGTCGGAAGAACGAGCGTGGTTTCCTCATTCTGAGTTGAGACGCCACTTTTTAGCATCTTCTAACTTCTGTGAAGGCGTATTCTCAGATACCTACGGTGAAGCCTTAGGAAAGGAGGTTGGTACCACCTCCCAGTCAAACGTCACGGGCAGAGCTGGTTGCTAGGAAGCCGTGTTTCCGCCAATCATCTGCCCAGCTCTCAGTAGGCGGGGCGCGACTTGCAGCGTCTGTGGTAACCGAGACCTTGGCGAAGGAGAACCCGAGGCAGTGAGAGGTGGGTTACCTGGCTGGGGACCGCGGAGGTACCTCGGGGGTCTCAATTCGGCTCGGTGGCCGCAGGTGGAGGAGAAAGATGAGGAGGAGGACTTTCCTCCCTCCTGCCGAAAGGAAGAGAGTCTCTGACTGCCCCTGATGGGCGGGAACGCGACCAGACAGGGTTCCGGATCCAGGCTGCGGAGGGGCAGCGTGGAAGGATGGAGTTGGGGGTTAGGACTGCTGTTTCCCCCACACTGCCACTTGGGACTATTTCCCCCCATTGCTATTTGGTCTACTTCTTGATCCCCTTTGCTTGAGGCCTATTTGCCACCCGGGCCTCCGGTAGCTCTTGGTTGCCGTGCGCGAATTACTCCCTCCCCAACTATTTTTCTTTTCTTTTTAAAAATCGTAACCAGAGAATACTTTTTCCACTAATTTTTTTAGAGAGAGTGGAAGGAGGGCGGAGGGGAGAGGGGAAGCGGGGAGAGAGAAAGGATAGAGAGAGAAACATTGATGTGCTCATCCATTGGTTGCCTCTGCAGGCGCCCGGACCAGGACCGGGCGTCAAACCTGCAACCCAGGCACATGCCCTTGACCGGGAATCTAACCTGCGACCCTCCGGTGTGCAGACCAAAGGCCCTCCCCAACTTTTTATTTTGAACTCATTTTCCAACTATTTTTATTTTAACTGTCTCTCACATAAAAGGAAATGTGAGAATGGGCAAGTCCCCCAAGTCCAGCCATCTTTTCATTGGGGTTACTGATCTGTCAGTATTTGCAGTTCAAGTTCTTGACCTCCAACATGGAACTATCTAACCAGACATTAAGGTCAGGCCTACATTTGTTTATCTCACTTTTGGGAATACAGTCTGTGACAAAACTAAAAACTCAAGACGTTTAGAGCAACATTATTTGGAATAGCAACAACTAAAAACTAAAAGAAACTAGTAATATCCTCAATACCCAAACACAAATTGATAAATAAGATTGTATAAGTCTGTGGAAAATAGTAAATAATAGAGTGAGGGTGCAATAAATACACTATAAAAATGAAATTAATATATAGATTATAGCTGAGTGAAACCTATGTATCCATAATCATTGGAATTTGAATAGGCTAAAGAGTGACGTAAATGGTTCTTATATTAAGGTGAGGGTTGTTTTTTTCCTTCTGAATCATTTACATATAAAAATTATGGTACTGCCCAGGAAAAAGATCAGTTAGGCCTCCAAACTTATACCTAATTATTAATAAATATATTAGATGGAATGGGAAGCTTTTGATTTTGTTGCTGTTTATATTAGTGCCAACTTTCTTTCAGCAGAGGCTTGATACTCTGGCATCCTAAAGTTTTTTTTGCAGCTCTCAAATGCAAGAATTGCTTGGTGAAAATTCCAGGGCCTTGAACACGGAGCTTTCCCAAAGGAGTTGGCTCCAAATTAACATTTCATGCTACATACAAAGTTACTTCTATTTCTCTTTCATGATGACTTGCCCTGAAGCCAAGAGAGGTAGCACATGAATAAAAGGCAAGAAAGACTGATAGTGATCTTGAGGAAACTCTGACCAGATAATTAGTGATGGTCTCTGTTCTGATGTGTTTATTTACTTTTCCCATTTAAAATAATTCCATTCCCCCAGCTCTTTCATTCATGCTCTTTTCCCAAAAGTAAGGTAGATATTTAGATAATAAAAACCCCACACAAGACTGCAACAGCAAAAATAGAGCTGAAGCAATTATTTCAAATAAAAATTGAATAATATTTTAGGTGACATAGTAACAGTATTCTCTTTAGTTTTTACTACTTTTATGTATTTATTTACTTTTTAAATTTTTTATTTTTATTTTTTTTATGAATTTTTATTTATTTTTTTGTTACAGATATTTTACCTTTTTACCCCATTGGCACCCCCCACCCCACCCCACCTCCACCCCGTCCCCGGCTTAGTTGTCCATGTCCATTGGTCATGCATACATGCATATAAGTTCTGTGGTTCATCTCTTCCCACCCCCTCAACCCCCCGTCCCCTCTTCTGAGGGATGTCAGTCTGTGCCCTAATTCAGTGTGTCTGGGTCTACTGTATTCCTCAGACTGTTATGTTCATTATATTCCGTATATAAGTGAGATCATGTGGTATTTGTCTTTTTCTGCTTGGTTTCTTTCACTTAGGATAATACTTTCCAGGTCCCTCCATGTCGTCTCAAAGGATAAGAGATCTTTCTTTCTTACCGCTGCATAGTACTCCATTGTGTATATGTACCACAACTTTTTTATCCATTCGTCTACTGATGGACACTTGGGCTGTTTCCAGATCTTAGCTATTGTAAATAGTGCTGCTATGAACATGGGGGTACATATATTCTTCCTGATTGGTGTTTCAGGCTTCTTAAGGTATATTCCCAGCAGTGGGATCACTGGGTCAAATGGAAGTTCAATTTTTAATTTTTTGAGGTAGCACCATATTGTTTTCCATAGCGGCTGCACCAGTCTGCATTCCCACCAGCAGTGTATTAGAGTTCCCTTTTCTCCACACCCTCGCCAACACTTGTTGTTTGATGATTTGTTGATGGCGGCCATTCTGACAGGTGTGAGGTGATACCTCATTGTTGTTTTAATTTGCATCTCTCTGATGATTAGTGATGTTGAGCATTTCTTCATATGTCTTTTGGCCATTTGTATGTCCTGTTTGGAGAGGTGTCTATTCAGCTCCTCTGCCCATTTTTTAATTGGATTTTTTGTCTTCCTTTTGTGGAGTTGTATGAGCACTCTATATATATTGGAAATTAACCCCTTATCTGATACATCATTGGCAATGATGTTCTCCCATACAGTGGGTTGCCTTTCCATTTTGATGATTGTTTCTTTTGCTGTGCAGAAGCTTTTGAGTTTGATGTAGTACCATGTGTTCATTTTCTCCTTTGTTTCTGTTGCCTTAAGTGATGTATTAGTGAAAATTCTGCTCCGTATGATGTCCGAAATTTTGTTGCCTACATTTTCTTCTAGAATTTTTATGGATTCACGGGTCACATTTAAGTCTTTTATCCATTTCAAGTTTATTTTTGTGTATGGTGTAAGTTGATGGTCTAGTTTCATTTTTTTGCATGTAGCTGTTCCATTTTCCCAACACCATTTATTAAAGAGGCTGTCTTTACTCCACTGCATGCTCTTGCCACCTTTGTCAAATATTAATTGAGCGTATTGCCTTGGGTCCATTTCTGGGTTTTCAGTTCTGTTCCACTGGTCTATATGCCTGTTCTTGTGCCAGTACCAGGCTGTTTTGTTTACAGTCGCTTTGTAGTATAACCTGATATCTGGTATTGTGATCCCACCTACTTTGTTCTTCTTTTTCAAGATTGTTGTGGCTATTGGGGGTCTTTTTTGGTTCCATATGAACTTTTGAAGTATTTGTTCTAGTTCTGTGAAATATGTCGTTGGTATTGTGATGGGGATTGCATTGAATCTATAGATTGCTTTGGGTAGTATGGACATTTTAATGATGTTAATTCTTCCAATCCATGAACAGGGTATGTGCTTCCACTTTTTTATATCTTCCTCTATTTCTTTTTTCAATGACCTGTAATTTTCTGTGAATAGGTCCTTTACTTCTTTGGTTAAGTTTATTCCTAGGTATCTTAATTTTTTTGGCGCGATGGTAAATGGGATTGTTTTTTCAGTTTCTCTCTCTGTGAGTTCATCATTGATGTACAAGAATGCCGTCGATTTCTTGACGTTAATTTTGTATCCTGCTACTTTGCCAAATTCATTTATTAAGTCTAATAGATTTTTGATGGAGTCTTTAGGGTTTTCTTTGTACAATATCATGTCATCTGCAAATAATGACAATTTCACTTCCTCCTTTCCAATTTGGATCCCTTTTATTTTTTCTTCATTTCTGATTGCTGTGGCTAAGACTTCCAGTACAATGTCAAATAAGAGTGGCGAAAGTGGACATCCCTGTCTTGTTCCTGTTCTTACTGGAAATGTTTTTAGTTTCTGTCCATTGAGTATGATGTTGGCTGTAGGTCTTTCAAATATGGCCTTTATTATGTCGAGATATGATCCCTCCTCCGGACTGCAGGCGGACGCTCTAACCGCTGAGCCAAACTGGCCAGGGCAAGAGATATGATCCCTCTATTCCTACATTGCTGAGCGTTTTTATCAGAAATGGATGCTGGATTTTGGCGAATGCTTTTTCAGCATCTATTGATATGATCATGTGGTTTTTATTCTTCATTTTGTTTATGTGGTGTATCACGTTTATTGATTTGCGAATATTGTACCAGCCTTGCATCCCTGGAATGAATCCCACTTGGTCATGGTGAATAATTTTTTTGATGTATTTCTGGATCCGATTTGCTAATATTTTGTTCAGAATTTTGGCGTCTCTGTTCATCAGGGATATTGGCCTGTAGTTTTCTTTCTTCGTAGTGTCTTTTTCTGGTTTTGGAATTAGAATTATGCTGGCCTCATAGAACGTGTTTGGAAGTCTTCCTTCTTCTTGAATTTTTTGAAATAGTTTGAGGAGAATGGGTGTTAGTTCTTTTTTGAATGTTCGGTAAAACTCCCCCGTGA